ATTTATAGTACATGTTAATTACACCTGAGACGGTATTATATTAAGGACCGTAAATTATCTGGAGGCGTTAAAAATAATGGTTAAAAATAAAGTAATAAATAAACTTTTATATAAAGAAGATTTACAATGAAGTGGCGTGCTTGGGACTGTTATAATCATCGAATATGCATTTTTTTATCTGGCCCGAATAAAATAAAGAAAAAAAGGCATTAAAAAAACAGGAGTTATCAATGAAATTGGAGTTTTGCCGGCATCCGGTGAGCGGGGCATTGTGTTCTTGGAATAGCAGATGAAAGTAAAGGGAAGAGAAGCAGTCACGCAGCCGAGCTGGTGTACTTGAAACTAGTTGGTGGTCTCGTCCTAAACGTTTTGTCGGTCTACCTATACAGGTAACGATGTAGAGAGGGATAAGGCCCTTTGTTTGCGCAATAGACCAATGCTTTTGGGCAAGTACTTCCTGCAACTGCAAGCAATAAAAAATTTTTATTATTTATCATTGCATCGTACAGAGCATCTTCAACAATTAAAATTCTTTGTGCATTTTATGTAAGAAACGAGAGAATGCATAAAACTTCAACTGCAATAGTATAACAGTAAACATCCACCACATATTTTTATATTTTATTGCTATTGTTAGAAAAGCTAGACAGAATAATTTCAGCTGTACTCAAAATTAATATTTTTTCAGCTGACTGATTCAACGAATCGCTATTTATGTGTCTATACACTTGAGCTATTCTGTAATGAAGTTAAGGGCAGCTGAAAATCGATAAAACTTATATAAAGACGTCTGATGATATTACTAAAGACTACAGTAAACAATAAATAAAATTGTAGACATTAATATTAATAATAAAAATGCTGCCAATTTTCGGGCGCTCACTTACGTAATTCGTGTAAGATTAAAGCTTTCTGGTTCACAAAATCGATAGCAGGGAAGTAACCAGCAAGTTGGACAAGGTCATTGATCTATACTCTATACTTTTTACTGTAAAATATTTAAGAATTTTACGTTTTTTATTGCTCGGTTTTCGTGAATTTTTTTTTAACTTTTCAAGACCTAAGGTTGATAGTTTGAATAATGCAATAAAAATAAAATGGGTTAAATACTTAAATGTTTAGCATTTTAAGATGGCTGACTTGAATAATAATTTGTATTTTTGCTGTTTAACATAAATAATGCTCATACTTGAACTAATTTTTAGTAATTGCACAAGTTGGATAATAATAAATTACTATCTTCGACTTTCATAATTTCAAGAATTTTGAAACATTAAGTACCAATTACGCAAGGGCTGTCAGCTTAGTTTATCGATCATTTTAATAAATGAGCTTTTGGAATATTACCCTCTAGAAAACTCCGGTCATACTTCAGTTCATAAATACTGTGGTTTTTTTAAGCTTACCAAAATAATTAACGTCAATAATAATTAATATTTTTGAGATTATCGAAGTTATAAATATTTTTGAATATGGTACACTGAAAAAAATAATTTAAAGTTGCAAGAAAATATGATTCGGTTTAAATTAGTCTATCAGCTCTTAATACCTAATCAAAGATTTGGATTCGGCTCTTGACGAGGGTTTCAAAGTTACTTTTCGTTATCTAAACCCTTATCTAAAAAGTTTTTTTTTTTTTTCTTATTGCTTTCTCTAAGATTTCCTTTTAATTAAAAAAGTAGGCGTGGTAATATATATTGAATTCAATCGAATATTTACTCAATACAAACAAGTAGCACAAAATAAAATGAAATTTATGTCAACTATCTTTCACAGACAATCCATAATAATTCAAATGCAAAGTTTCCAGCCGTTCACATATCAAATTTTAACAACAAAAATGGAAACATAATACAGTATTGGTAGTCAGTACACATATGTAAATTTGAATTTTCATTAATTTTGTATCTATTTCTTTACATTTATTATTGAACGATGGCAGTCTGATCGTTGGGTATGAAATCAAGTGCATGTCTATTATTCTTTGGATCGATATAATTTCGTGACGTCTACGAACTACTGAGCGAGGAGGTACTAGTTCGACCTCTATTCAATTTACACTACACATTAGAAAATGCACATGCAGGAATATATGTATAAATTTACATAAAAAGATAAATCGACACTTCATGGATTATCCGTGCCAGACTCGAGATGTCCTGTAGAATAAATTTTATGACCTCATGAGCTGCATATAAAATTGATTGTATCTATTTCACATGTGTATTCACTAGCTTTTCGATGTTCTATTTGAAAAAAGTAACGCTTTTATAGACTTTTTCTTTAATTTTGAAATTTACCTATTTACTTATATACTGTAAAGAAAACGGTATTAAAAATGGACTTATTTTGATACCGCTCGGTGTTAAATTGGATTAATACCAGTGTAAGTTTTGTACTTATTCGGTGTAAAAATACCGAAGGTAGTGCTTAGATAGTTTACAGAGAAAATTAGATCATAATTTTGTGTTTTTTAGTCTTACTTATTATTATGATTATTATTATTATCGTATAAAATAGATCATTTCAAAAAACTTGATTATTAGTCATCTACAAGTTTTCACTATCAATTTTTTCTATATTTTATAAAAGTTTAGTGATTCAATTAGTCAAAGTGTGAAAAAAATTTTTCTAATGATTAGACTAAAATGTATACTTGTCAGAATTTTTTTTCACATTTTTAAAACTTTTTCTGACTTTCAGCAGAGAAATATTTCCACAAGGGTAGCATCGGAAATTTGGCAACCTACACGGTTTGGACTTAAACCGGTTTTTTTTTTTTACAGTATTTACTTGTATATTTTACTGGTGTTCCTACCCAAAATTTTGTATTTCTGTACCCTGAGTTCAATTACATAACAATGTGAGTTGAGTCATAAAAACATGTATAAGCAGTAGCGAACATGAAGAATTGAAAAAGTAAGCTATTGATTCTTGCAAAGATCCGAGAAATTTCTCATCTGTCTTTTGACTCAAAAGTCTTTGTATCTATAATAAAATGATTTAGCATTAAAAAAGAAAAGACTATTTTTTTAGAACAAAGTAAACACAAACCATAGACACGTATTTACTGTCTTAGTTATCGGCTTGTTTCAGTTATCGACCTCGTAACGATTTCACGACAAAATTTTGCAATTTCTTTAGCTGTGAATATAGTTGACAGTAAGGTTAGAGATGTACTCAGTCATTCTTGACATTACTAAAACAATGTTATATACATATATAACGAGCCATTTAACACTGATAATGATGGATTATCATTGTTAGCATATATTTGATATATTATTTTGGCACAACATGGCGTTGAAATTAAATTAAATGTTTCCAAAATTTTCAGCTGATTAATTTTGTGTTCTGCATAGCTAAAATTCTAGATTTTTTTGTTTTGGCACCTTAATTTGAACTAATAATTGTCAAACTGTTCAATTAAGAGTCAAAAATATAATTTATTACTTAGATTTTTTGACGAATTTCTATTAAACAGAAGTGACAAATTTTTTTAGACTTTCTCGTTTATTTTAATCTATGCACGCAAAGTTTATCTCTTCATTTCACTGTAACTCATATTTATTTCAGGATAAAGATCTTATCAAAAGTAGGCCATGAAGAATTATGCAAGAACGTGTCACATAAAATTTCACTCCTGAAAATAAAGTGACAGTTACATCAGTTACAAAAATAAGAAAAAAAATCAGTGTGTATAAATGTATAATACGTAGATTAAATTTAATATTTCATAACTATCTGTATTCTATATACGTGAATACTGAAGCTAAACAGGATATCCGGAGCAGAAAGGGGTAGCTTGAAAAATTTTTAATCTTATAGTTGCAAACATGTATTGCAAGAATATGCGTGCCTAAAATATGAAGACCCTGAAAATTTCAAACATTCTTTTCAATTGGATCTCTCGTGAAAAAAATTTAATCTATTTTTAAAGTTGTGAAAAAGCTTGTAAAAATAATTCCAGAAAAATTATTGAAGTAAATATCTCAAACGTTTTATATACCTCAGGGTGGTATTTATTTTTTTTGCTCATTGTTTCTTTGGATACCGCATCACTTCGCAGGTAATACACAATTGAATGATAAAAAGATTAGTGCATTACAATAGTATTATAAAACATTTGTAACTATACTCTCTCCTGGAATATATTTTTTATGAAAGCTATTGCCATGATTCGATGCAGAACTGTTGTCTATCTTACCTCATGTTAGCAAGGTATCAAATTATACAGTACTAGTTCTCATGCCATTTAATTAAATCTGATCCTTCGAGACATTTCTTAGAACAATTCCAGTGAATTTGAAACCGGATTTTTTCAACATGCTTTATGTGCTAATTAAAAATATTTGTTAGATATGTTATTAAAACAGAAAACCTCTGCTAAAGAGGATCTGTTATTAGCTCACTATTTAAAATTTGGATTGAAGTATAAAAAATCTGTCTGGTCTATAGGAAGACCGTCTGTGGAGAAAACCGGTTTGAGATGCGCCTTTTAGACTCCTCCATATCTTGACGAGCATTGATTGGATTTGATAATATATATCGTCAATAAAATCATTTTTTTATTATTATTATGAATTAAAATTTTTAATGATTGTGTTTGTTAAATTGAAAATAAAAGTTGATGATATTTCATAACCATGAAGTAATAATTGCGCTGTATTAACATCGAGAAAATAATGGGAAACGTGGGAGTCACATATGTGCACAATGTTACGTATTCAACCGTATTCCCAGTGGATATTAAGTTCAATTTCTCTTATTTCCCGATGTCGAGTACTGTAATTAATTCATATACTATTTTATAGCCTCCAATTTTTACAATTTTTCATGTCATTATTGTATGTATGAAATAATCAAATGAAAGAAATACAAAACTATAGTCACGGGAATTCCTACAAAAGAGTTCACTACTCGCCATATACTTATATTCGTCCTTATTTATCATCTCTTCTTATGAATATATTTAAATATTTTATCCTGTCTGTGTTTGTAGGGACGAATTGGCCGCAGCTAAACAGCGTTCCGACGGTTCAAAAAGATCTACGCCAAGCCCTCGTTTAAAACCTGACGATTTGTCTTTTCCTCACACCGCACCTGGTTCAGTAAGTTTATTTATTACCTGTAACAATATTATAACTACCTTACTTTACACTATTATAGGCCAGTTTTTCAATCCGGGATAAAATTTTATCCGAGATAAAAGTACTGTCCATATAATAAAAAAAAAAAAAAAAAAATAATAATTTAGCGACGTGAATTTGGTCATTTATTTAAATAAAAATTAAATATATCATAAAAATAATAATAACCTTTATTGTGTCATTTAAATTATTTTAAATTAATTAACATAATTGAAGAGTTAAGTTTAAAAAGGGTATCTTTTCATTTTTGTTTAATCGAGATAAAAAACTGAATATCTTCAATTATAAATATTTTTATTGAACTTTTTCAATTTAACTATAAAGTGCTATCGGTTATGAAGCTACAATCCGATTTTCATTTAGAAATATTGATAATTCTCAAAGTAATTAATATTTAAAAGTTCAAAAAACTCCTAAGATACCCTTTTGAAAATAAACTCCTCAATTATAGATTAATAATAGATATGTCAAACGCAAGATATGAGCTCGAAGAGCTCAAAAGCATAGAACAGTGACCGCTTGAGCTCGGAGAGCTCAAAATAACACATAAATTGTAATTTGGAGCTCGATAATGTTACAAGCGCAAAGTCATGCGCTTATATATGGGATTAGCGGAAAGTTGCAGGGATAGCCTTCAGGGTCATCCGTTTTCCTAATTTTTATTTTATTTATATACAATCAGCAAGTTGTTACAGTTTGAGATTAATATTTCTGTGGCATAGGCTAATGTTTATTTATTTTAATTAAAAATAAGTGACTGAATTCAGGGAGAACTACTCGTACGCAATATCACTGTGCTGAATTATTTATTTTTATTATTATTATTATTATTATTATATTGGCAGTATGTTTTATTATTATATGGCCCTATGTTTTTTTAATTTTATCTCGATAATGTTTGGAACGGAGGTACTTATTTTATATACTCACAACAGTAATGATAAAGTACCTATTTTTCCATTTTTAATATTTAGTATAGGGTATTATTAATTAAATTGATTATGTGCGGTGTTTATTACGTAGATTTGAAAACAAAATATGAGTACTGTATTATTGTATCTATTATATAAATATATTTTGATTTAAATTGACCCGCAACAATAAATAACATTTAACTTTGTCATGATTACATATCTGTCATAATATATAACTTTATGGATCGAATATTGATATCAACCGAATTTTGTGGGTTTACTTAAAAGCGTTCAATTTTAATTAAAACAGAATGATGTGATAGATGTTTAATTATAGAACGAACCGGTTAAATTTTATCAATATCCTGCACTGGAAAAATTTTCGAGACAACTTTCATAAGGAGCGTATCATTATTGTGGCTGTATAAAAAAAGACTAATCAAAAAATAAATAATTTTTAATAAGCATGAAATTATTTATATACGCAAAAAAAATAATAAATTTATCATAGATAAAAATATGTATCGTGTTTTATGAAGAAATTTCGTTATCCTTCTCGACAATGGAATTTATATTGATTTATCAATTTAAGAAATAAGAAAAAAAGAACTAAGTTGTTTCCTTACTCCGTAAAACCTTCAATTCAATAAAAGTTTTATATGTTTGTACTTTAAAATTTTTTGATATAAAATTTTTTGTAAGAACGTATTATTGAATAATAAATTTCAATATAAATAATAATTTTAACAATCAAAAATGAATTAATAAAACATTGAAAATTGACTGTGTAAAAATAAAAAAACTTTTTTATTAATAAAGATACTTCTTGGAAGTATCCATGAAAAAATAAGACCTCTATAAAAATTTATTGTTATTTTAAATAATGTAAGAGTATATATGATGTGTTCTAATATATACAAGTTTATAAGCTTCATGGGTGCATTGTTGACATTATAAGTATAATTATTTGTTTATTCCGTAGTAAATTTTTAATAGTGTGATGTTAAAATAGTGTTATGATTACTTAGTTATCATTAATTATATTTTAAATTTATTCATTTATTGAACGTTCAAAATATTTAATAACTCAATTCTGATTGTTTATTTTACTGTTTGAATTTTTGAAGCTTTGCAATTAATTACTTTCGTTCCAATCGTTCCAACTAAATAATTATCAGTTAACGCTTCAAAAAAATTAATTATTTTTCTACCATCAAATAGTCTTAGTCTCTTTTTTAAGCCTTAACTTTTTCATTGAATATTACGAATAAATTTATGTATTTCTTCAGCCATGTCATCAGTCAATTTCTCGCGAGACATCAACAGAAAGGAGACGAAAAACTCTTGGGATAAGTCGGACACAAAGACGCATAAAAGCTTCCAGTACTCCAGCACTTCTTGACCAAGATGAAGGGTACTGATTTTTGATAATTTATTTCTTATTTTTTTTCCTATCAGCTCTTCTAAGCTAATATTCAAGCACATTGTTCAAAAATTATATAGAAAATTTTAGTTGATCATAAAAAATATGATATTCAATTTTTGGCACAATGACCTTTTACTAAATTTAAATTTAACTGTTAGCAGTTCTTGTGTTTAAGAAAACTATTATGGCCTATTATCATTGTCATACCAGATAAAGATTTTTAAGTCTTTCATTATCGTGCAAACACATGTCAAATCAATTGAATTTTGATAAATAATAATCTCAATCATGTCCATCTTTTTAAATTTAAAGAGTCATAATATACTATTGTTTTTAGAAAGTTATATCCTAAATGGATGAATGTAAACAAATTTAAAACTAGTTTTATGATAATAACAAAAGTTTCTTTTGTTGTTGTTATATTTAGCCGATTATGGTCGAGCAATACAAATCAGCACGCTAATGACGAGGCACCGCGTAGACGTGATTTGAATACAGAGCATCCATTAATAGAGGCATCAATTCCCTTCGCGCATCCACGTCTTCAGAAAGAATCTAGCATCAATAGCACACATAATGAAGTTCAATCATATCCTTCTTCCAAAGACGGCATGCCACAAAATCAGCACGAAAGTGTAATTCAAAAATTTCGCAAAAGTTTTTCCCTGAGATTTCATAAACGTGGAAGTAAAGAAGGAAGTACTGAAGTTGATGGGCAACCTAGTGTTCTTTTACCCCCTGAAAATGATGGAGATTCATCTGCAGTGACCTGTATCAATGTAGACGATCATAAAGAGTCTATTCCGGTCACCGAACAACACAAAGAAGACTATGCCGATCAAAAATTTCGGTTCGTACCACTATTGATTTATGTTTATCAAATACAAAATTCAAATAAGAATATATATAATATATATTTATTTAATTTAAATAGATTTGGACCTCTCGTCTGGAGATCTAGTAAAGAGAGGAAAAAAAATAATAAAGCCGCTCGTAATGCTAAATGCAACAGCGGTGACAGTGGAATTCAAATTGAGGTAAAAATTTTATAAATATACTTTACTTTTTAATTTTCATTATGAAATTATTATCTTAATCCTTAAAATTATGTGACTGTGCTTTTATGTATACATACATTTATTTAATTATGCAATGAAACATTGAGAAATCGTTTAATCTCATTTTTATTAATTTTTCTCTAATCTTTTTGTTTCTATTGAATAAAAAAAATGTTCTTTTTTTATCATTGCTCAAACATTTTTGTATGCTCTGTTTTATTATGTCACTTATTATGTATTGCCTTTTGATTGTAAGAAGACAATGTCCTACAACTAGTTCACAAAGTACAATTACAATTATTATTATGTTTTTTTTTTTTTATTTTCAGATAACTGGAGGACGGTCAACTGAGGGCAGTAGCGGCGGAAATCACGGTGCTGGTGATAGTTCTGAGTCACACGACACTGATGCACCAGATGAAACCGATAGTCCTCCGGCTCTTCGACGCCGGGTTAATGGAAAATCTCGACCACAATCCGAGCTTATTAACCAAATACTTATAGATAAATTTAAGGTACTTATTAGATTATTATTATCTTTACTCAGTTTTAAATTTTAGTTCGGTAATGATAAAATTTTAACTTGTGTGTATGTGCTATTATCATTCGTAAGTGTTTGTATCAGTAATGTATATATTATGTCTATCACCACGGCATCCTCTAAGTTAAAAGCAGGAAATACATTCCATTTCAGTCACCATTTAACGTTTTATTCAATGTAACATTCGGCAATTTTTCGTAAATAATTGTAATTTTTATTGCCGTAAATTTTATTGTAATTTCAGTTTTTAATGTGTGTTCTTATTACTTAAAGGATTGTTAATAATAATTGTAGACGGATATTCAACAAAATCGCTCCTCTCGGCAGTACAACGTCCGACGAACGAACAGCGATTTAGGTGGACAAAGATTATTTCAGTGGGACAGCAGGACCTACGGTGGTCAATTATATTACAGAAGAATGTTGTCAACACCCTCACCGATAAAAACACGACCACCCAGACTAAGTCCGAGACACTCCTCTCATGATATCGTTACGCTAAGAAGGTACACACTCAATAACTAATTTACTTAGTTGTATTACTAATCCTTTTCATCGTCACATTGATTTAACGTTGCTTTTATATGTATTTATTACATCAAGCCTAATTCAAATTTCATCAATTTTTCATTAAACAACAATATTTTTAGAAATCACGGTCAATCTATCTTCCGGCCACTGATGTTTAATTAATAAATATTATTAAAAAATTGAACCGTTTGAACTAGAAAATTTTACAAATTAATTTTATAAAAATCATGTTAAAAGCTATTGTAATATTTGGTTGCATTTTTATATTATTTTAAAATATTATATGTTATTTTTTTTTTTTTTTTTAAAGTTTAATGTAGTCGCTTTTTAAATCATGCAATCACAAATTCATATACTAAATGAATTCAAATATCAAATCAAAATAATCTATATTAATCATTATACATAATATTCACTGCCAACTTCCCTTTATTTTATAAAAATTTACGGCGGTTTAAATTAAAAGTTATTTGTTCGACACTTTCCAGTAAATCAAAGGACAATAGTGGTAGGTAACAAAACGGGCACCAAACTATACTAATACTACTAATAACTAATATTACTATCAACTAATACTAATAACTAATAATAAATCCTTGGTATTATTATCATTGGTCTGTCATAACACATCACCGTATTATTTGTCGTATTTAACGCATATCCGTAATATTGTTGCTGAATGTAATGTAATTGGTCAAGCTTAAAGTAATTTATTATCATTGACACGCTTATCAAATCCTCCAACAGAACTATACTTCCCCAGTTGATCACCTATTTTAAAACCCCTTGATCAATCATCGAATAAGTTACAATCTTTTCACTAACCCCTGTACTGGTATTTTTTGAATTATTTTAATTTACTATAAAATACATAAAGTTTATTAAAAATTATTTTAACCGCAGTAACGTCAGGGGGAGAAACTCTCGGACAAATTTAAGACGATCGTTGAGTCAACCACTCGGGATAAATCAACTATCTCCGCTGATGCGCACCAAAACTGCAGGTGAGATGATTATTAGTTCAAATATCTACAAATATATTTAATAAATAGATACTTATATGAACCAATCGATGAGACGAATGTAAACATTAGCATGCCTTCATGCTTTTAAGTACATCCTGCTGTATTTGCATGCTTTTATCGGAGGTAATAATGCACGCGTAATTGACTCCTGAATTAACTCTATATAGTATTATATTTCAATATTTACTTTCGACTCATCGATATAATTATTTCTCTTATCTGTAAAGCATTTTATCAATCGTTAATTTACTTGTGGTAAAAGTAGACTGCACGATCACCTGACAATTATTAAAAACAATATAGAAACTCGAATAAATGCATACTTAGTGCATAAACATAAAACTAGAACATTTAATTAATACTTTCGTCAACAAGATTTCCCATGAGATTTGGTAAAATATGTATTTGATAATTAAAGAATTATAAATAAATAATATTTAACAAATAATTTAAATGTTTTAAATACAGGTGCTAAGTTTCCGGGTGGTACTGTTCTGTCAGAAGATGAACAGGATTTAAAATCAGGAGGTAGCGGTGGTACTGGCGTTATCGGAACATCCGATGACGATATGATGTCTGATTCAGAGTCATCGATCGCTTCATTCTCAGAAAGAAAAAAGTCCTTTGAGCAGCCAATGGATGAAGAAATAGCGATACTTGCTGAAGCTGTATGGGATCATGTGGCAATTGAACCTGAAGAACTTGCTTTTAGAGCTGGAGAACTTATTGATGTACTGGATACACTAGATAAAGATTGGTGGTGGGGTTGTTGTAGAGGAGAACATGGGTGGTTTCCTGCAGCATTTGTTAGGGTATGTCTTTATAATAATTAAAGAACTTGTAATTTATCCATTTCATAATTAAATTTTCACGCATATTGGTTTATTAGTTACGTGTAAGTCAAGAAGAAACCGTAGAAGACTGTCTTGCAGCGATGGCGTCCGGTGTATCCTCAAACTCCCAATCACGAAGACGAACTAGTATATCTCTTCTCTCAAATGAACAAGTTCGAAGCAGTGTGGTACGAGAACTTGTGCAAACTGAACGCGATTTCGTAAAAGTGTTACGTGATGTTACGGAAGGTTACATTGCTGAGTGTCGCCGTCGCATTGATATGTTTACTGAGGATCAAATAGAAACTATTTTTATAAATCTTGAAGATCTTCTAGAATTTCAAACAGAGTTTCTTAAAGATCTCGAGGCACGTATCGATTGGAATGCGCCCCATAAAAGCTGCGTCGCTGAATGTTTTCTTATTCACGTACGTTTAACTTAATAATAAAAAATAATATTTAGTTATTTTATTATATATTTATTTATTCATAAGTTGATTTTTAATTTATAATTACATATAGCGTAACGGGTTTCGAATGTACTCGGAATATTGCAACAGTCATCCAATGGCAATTGTAACGCTTCAAGAACTCTACCGTCACAATCGATACAGTAAGTTTTTTGAAGCTTGTCGATTGATGCGCGGCCTCATCGAGATTCCTCTTGACGGTTATCTTCTAACACCCGTTCAAAGAATTTGCAAGTATCCACTTCAGCTTGCCGAGTTACTTAAATATACCAAAGTCGATCATCCGGATTATCATAAAATAAGGGAAGCATTGGATGCCATGCGTGCTGTTGCGGTTCTTATAAATGAACGTAAAAGACGAATGGAGAGCTTAGAAAAGCTTGCAGCTTGGCAACTAAGAGTTGAGGGGTGGGAGGTAACTTAATAAATTCTATTTTTTACTTTTTAACGATTCTTTATGTTTTCATACAGTTTTACATTATTGTCGTACACTAAATAAAAAATGACTTTCAAAAATTGTTTCATAAAAAATTTTTTATCTACTATTAACTGCTTCAAGAGTACCTTTAAGTTACACTTATTTTTTTTTTATTATACTTGTCAGTTCATTAACTTAAATCACTTAACCAGTTTGATTAATTATGGTAATGTTTATAAAAGTTAATTACATTCTTTCAATTAGTACATAATTAAAAAGACAATAGATTCTTTAAAATTATACAGTATAAAAAACTTGCAAATCACTCGCCGAAATTTGAACCATGTAAAAATCAAGTGTAAAAAATCTTAATGAACTATCTTGATTGAGATAAAAATAATTGGAATTGATTGATTCAACATACTGATATTTGCTTAAAAAATCTCATGTTATATTTTTTTTTCAATTCATTTGTAATTAGAATCTATGAGAATAACTTTTAAACATAAAACTGAAATCTAAAAAATTTCATATCTTAATTCCGAATTCTCATAAAAAATTGAAATTAATTTTTTTTAACAATAAAAATTATAAATGGAATTTTTTTTTGTTTCAGGGTGAAGATTTAATAGAAGTTTCATCCCAACTAATTTTTCAAGGTGACGCAGTAAGAGTAACGACTGGAATGTGGACTAATAACATCACTCTCTTCTTATTTGATCACCAGCTAGTTTATTGTAAGAAAGACATTCTGAAACGTGATACGTATGTATATAAAGGCCGAATTTATTTAGATACTAGTGAAGTGATCGATGTTCCCGACGGTAAAGGTTCGTAAAATAAAACAGATAACAAAAATAATAAAAAAATAAAATTTTAAGATAAAATTTCATTGCAGATCATCAACTTGGCGTTACTGTAAGACATTGTCTTAAAGTATACAGTTGTGTACGAGACAAATGGCTACTATTTTGCTGCCGAACGGCTGAAGATAAACGTAAGTGGCTTGATGCAATGGCAGAAGAACGGCGGTTAGTTGAACAAGATCGTAATGAAGGTTTAGAATTTCCTGCCGCCGCTAGGCAACTTGCTCGATTGGCTGCGACAAGACAAGAACATCGTAGGCCACCGATAAAACCTCGAAGTATGTTAAATCAGTAATATTTTTTTTTGAGATTAAATTAATGGTACATTCTCTGTAATATGTTTACTATTTTCTCAGATAAAACTTACAAAAGAGAATCGTATGAGATGCCCGCATTCCAGCCAAATTCTTCAAACTCTCTCGGCCGTAAAGTTGGAACGTGGTTTACTTTCGGTAGCGGCAAAAAAGGAATTAGATTACGGCCATCTTGAGCTAGGCCTACCTTCGTACCATACATTGACTTATGATCACTAGAACAAAACTTTGATCTCAATGGAGACAAAGTTGCTTTGTTGCAACCTATTGTCATTTTTTAAAGATACAAACTTTTTGTATGGCACGAAGGCTTATCTTTTTTACAATATGGCCAAATAAATAATGTTAAACTGTGTTTTGGGATATATATCAGAACTGGGCTTGATAATATAAATCATTTATCGACGACTATATATACTGTGACATCAACGAATGCCAAAGTTACATTAAGAAGGTATAAAGAATTTTATTTCTATTTGTATACTAATTTTCATATAGATTATAGATAATTAAATAAATACTAAATAATAAATTATATTTAAATACATTGATATATTATTATAGAAGCTTAGTATAAAATTTAATATACTTTTTTGAGTACAGTCAGCACAAAATGCAACAATGTGCATCCTTAATTGTTACTACTTATGCTAAGAATGAATATTGACTGCACATGGCATTGACTAGAAACCTATAGTCAATACACGACTATAGAGTAATTAGTTAATAATTATTAAGATTTTATCAATAATTTCAAATTTATTCAACTATCAAATAATTTATTCATTGATAATTAATAAAGTATATTTTTAGAATTTTTAAATTATCATTTTTTTATTTCGTATTATTTATTTTTAACTAAAATAGCTAATTTTTCGTTTAATCAATCTGTCTCTACATTTTTCTCATTTTCATCAGAAAAAAATATCTTAAATAATGACTTTACATATGTTCGGAAAATGAATAAGAATATAATTAATTTTAAAATGGAAGATTAATTTAATTTAATTTTTTTACACTGTAAATAAAATGAGCTCTTGTTCTATATTAATAAAGTTTATTATTGTATACCATATGTATTGGTCTACTTAAACACTAATGAGAGACATGGAAATATTAAAGGTTTGAAAATTAGTTATTGAAGTATGAGATTAATTGTAATGATATGCAATTTTGAAGATTATGATCCGACATTTGTAAATGGATAAATAAACAGTAAACAGTAGAAATTCGTACAATGAGTGTCGAATTTAAGTATTTTCACAACTAAAAATTAGAGTCATTTAAAAAAAAAGACTGAAAGTGAATATTGCTTTTGAACTTGTTTTTCATTCGCACCTAATAGCTTAGTACAGAAAAAAGAGCAATCACTCTTTTAATTAAGCAATTATTAATACACAATGCAATAGTAGTGAAGAATTATTTATAGTAAATTTCAAAGGTCGTTTCTACATTGTTTAGGTTTAACACAATATGTTTACCACTGAGGCTGATAGCCATTGTATTTAAATAATATCGATCTTTAGACAAAACTATACTAAAAATTAATCTAACGCATCAACTCGATGAATTGGATAAAGCTGGAAGAAATTGATTCGCCACTGCCATAATAATACATTGTGGATAAATTTATCGATGATAAAATTGAGAAAAAAATGAAATCAAGTGGAGTTATTAAATGTCTTAACAACTTTTTACGTAGAATAGTATAAATTAACATGTTTTATATAACTGAAGTAGAAAGCATTATAAACTGTCATTAAATTAATTAATAATAAGAATAATTTAGTTAATGAATAACTCTATCGTAGTATATTTGCATGATAATAACTTGCTCGATACGCACATTGTTCTTTTTTAATCAAGTAGAAACTAATAATAATAATAATAATAATTATTATTATTATTATTATTATTATTATTATAAGCTTGCAAGCTTTGTAATACTTACCTGCAAATGCAACGATTACTATGATGATAATTTATATAAATAAATTGTCACACCCATTGAGTACACATATGTATACTGTCCCCATGGAGGTTTCAATACGTATAAACGATGACAATATCATGAATATGAATATATAATTTCCTTATTAAATATTAATTGTAAAAAGAAATAACCTATTAATATATAAATATATACGTAAATAAAGTTAGTGGTAGAAGTAGATATGGTTAATCTTATAAGTAAAATATATTTGTTGTTCAACATAAAAGTGTTATTTTTATAGATAAATTAATGATAATTCTTTATTGACATATTCTTCCAAGGAACATGAGTAATAATAACAATTGCTACATAGCAACATTATTTAAAGAATGTTTTCTTGTTAAAAATATTAAAAATTTGTATATTATAATTATGATACATGAATCACAATAATGAAAACAGTATCTAAACTCACAAAGAAAATGATTTTTTTTTTAATGCATATCGTATCAAATCGATTCGATTAGTAGTATAAATAATTTATATGTATAAATTGTGTTTAATATGTAATGATTATTTCTTGATATTGTGAATACACGAGTGAAATATGAATATCATAGATGTATATAAATAATTAAATTTAGTGAATGTTATAACTTATAACTAATGAAAAACAGACAAAAATTTTGAAGAGGAAAAAAAAACAATGGTATCTAAGAATTAATAGCATGTTGAATGGAAATTTTTTTAATCAGACTTGAAAAAATTGTAACTGATAATTGATATAAAGAAAATAGTAAAGATAAAAGAAATAATAAGGCTAAAAGTCTTAAGAACAGGATATTAATATTAATATTATTAGATGTAAATAATATGATCAAATTTTTAAAAATAATCACAGTTTGAAATGAGTTAAAGTTGTTGAAGCAATAAAAATTTGATCTTTAACTTCATTGTTATTGGCACATATTAGTTGTTTGCCAATTAATTTATTGTTCTAACATACGAAAAATAATTTGTCAATTAGAAAAGAATTACAAGTGCAGGTAATTGTGGAAAACGAAATTTTTTTTTTTTTTAATTAAACAACAGCTAACGAAGTAAAAATAATGTATGAAATCTTTAAATCAGAAAATGTGATAACATAAAATCCACAAGGATCTTGATAAAAACCCATACTATTTATAAAATTGTTTAAAATAATACAAAGTTATTATAAATTTCCATTTTTTTACTTTGATAAAAAAACATTTTAAGTATTATAATTTACTTTCATATTAACTTTCCACGTATTCTCTTGTATTTTAATTATTTTCAATGTAATTGTATATATAATTTATAGTGTACGTTCGTTATTGTTGGAATTTATTATCAATATAAGTACGAATGTCAAAATATTGAGTTAAACCTATATGAATAAACATTTTATAATTGAAAATTAATTTAATGTTTTTTATTTTTCTGTGTATTTATTTATCTAATTGATGAAATTTAGATCAATTATTTCCTACAAGTATTGCTTAAATTAACACACTGTAAATTTTATAATAAATAATACTGTGGTTAAAATTAATGACATTCAAGTTAGCTGTCACTTAATAATTTTTTAATTTTATTTAACAAAAAAATTTGTTCAAAAAAATTATTTTTGAAAAATTGCATTTTTTATTTTTTTAAATTTATGAAAATTAATTTAGCATATATTTAATAATTCTTAGAATTTTATAACAAATAAATTATAGCAAAAAAAAAATTGACATGTAGAAATTTTAAAAAATTCAATTTTTTTGGAACAAACTTTTTTGTTGAATAAAATTAAAAAATTGTCAAGTGACAGCTAGCTTTAATGTCATTTTAAATTTCTAAAAGTCAATTTTTTTTTGCCGTAATTTATTTGTTATAAAATTAAAAAAAATTATTAAATATGTGCTACATTAATTTTCATTAAAATTAAAACGTCGATAAACAACAAAGTTAAATAAATATAATTTTGCTAAAAGAATTAAAATTAATTTATTTAAAATAAATTTAACTTGAAATTTTCATCAATTCACAATAATGAGAAATTAATTATTTTGAAATCCGGAAATCCGATTTCAAATTGTAAGCAGTAATTAATTATTATTCACCATAAATTCAATAATTTCATTAATAATTGACTAATCTACACTGTTATTGTTGATTTTAACGTGGGTGGGTTTATTCAACATTATCGTTTATAAATAGAGCGAAAAGAAGGTAACTAAATAAAGAAAACAATAACTGGAGTGAAATCGATGAAAGGATTAAAAAAACACAGAGAACAGAGAACAGCGGTAAGCTCTGAAGTAGTTCTCGGATCCGTTCAGTGCTTCTATCCTCTCCCTCGCTATCACTTTTATAACTTGCCGCCTGTTGTGAGAATCAGAAAAAGCTCAACGCGGCATTACACCGTTGACATTAGTAGCCGCGCACGAGCTCGCGGAAACTAATACTATATTTTTTAACATTAAAATTGTTATCAGTGATCTAACGTCATACTGTTCGGACGTTTTTAAACGTTGTATAAAAGATTTAAGAACATAAAAAGGAATCAAATTATTCCAGTAATTTTTTTTTTTTATTTGAAAGCAACCTTTTTGATTACTGATAACAAAAGCGTTTCAATATTTCAACGATGATTTGTAGATCGTCTACTAATCTGGCGATTAGCCTAGCTTTCATTGTCTTGTTCAGACCAGCTAAAACTATTGATCTTGCCCGATTTTATGGACACGTACATTCCAAACGTTCAGGTAAGAAAAATTATTTTAAATTATTAATCAAGAAAAAAAAAATCTTTATTTCCGAGAGAAAAAAATTTAACGAAATTGTAAAAACTTTTTTTTTAATTTATCGAAAAACTATAAGTGATTATCTTGTAATTACTCTAAGCTTAAACTTTGATATTTATAAAAATATATCGTGTGACATTGTATACTTGAACCTTTTTTTTTTTTTTTTTTTTTTAATTAACTGGGAGTGCCTTTTTTGCATGTTAGTTATTGTATGCTCTTCTTCGATCGATACGACATGATAACTGCCGAGCAACAGTTGCTGCTTTGATGAAAAATACTAGAGCAAAGTTACATCCACTTGCTCTGACGCCTTTTAATATTTAATTTTCATCACATAAAATAAATTCATTTATGAATAAAATATTTCTTTGAGTCAAAGGAATTAAAATGTACTTCAATCTTTAAAGAGCTTTCTGAATTGGGTCAGGTGTCGATCCGAGCATGTCTGACGACGTATATTCTCAAGGTCATCAATTTTGCCGGCAGTTAAAATTAATGTCCCAACCAGGTCTCTCGGTGATTTATGAGTTCACTATTTCTACCCGACGCTTTTTTACTAAATTATTATTAAGTTGTTCTTACTTTTCAATGAATTTTATAATTAATTTGAAAACTCATTTTTAAAAACTTTTTTTATTTTAAGTTTTTAGTTTAATTATATAAAGTTTAATCAATTTAATTCTACAAAGTCATGAAAATTCATTATAGATTATGTTAATGACGATAATTAAATTTTTATAATATTATATTTATTTATAAGGAGATGCTTGTCACCCTTACGAGCCATTCAAATGTCCGGGAGAGGCAACGTGTATCTCTATTCAGTATTTATGTGATGGGGCTCCAGATTGTCGAGACGGATACGATGAAGATCCTCGACTTTGTACAGCTGGTAAGTTAACTTCTTAAATAATTAAATGATTTATTAATTATTTTATTGTTCATATTTATCAGTGTTGAGCTTATTATTTACGGAAATTTTGCTTTTCAGCTAGAAGACCACCCGTAGAAGAAACTGCTAGCTTTTTGCAATCTCTTCTGGCAAGTCATGGTCCAAATTATCTCGAAAAACTTTTTGGCAGTAAGGCAAGAGATGCATTAGCACCATTAGGCGGTGTTAATATGGTTGCAATAGCACTTTCTGGTTAGTGATAGTTATGTTTTTATCCATTTATAAAATAGAAGGCAAAGAAAATAAAAAATACATATGACCGACAAAAATTTTAAGATTTTTCTACAGAAAAAAAATTTACTTGGACAAAGTAAAAGTTTTTTTAAATCAAAAAATCTTTTCTTGATTTGAAATAACTTTGGTAACTCAAAAAGATTTTTACATTTTAAAATAATTACGGTTACAGATAATAATTTTTTGAATCAATAATAATTTTTAATAAGAATTCCTTTTTTTGGGTGTAATTGATTTTTATACTTAAAAATTAAATAATAATTACAATTGTTAATGTTTTTTTTATAATTTCAGAATCTCAAACAATTGAAGATTTTGGAGCCGCATTACATTTAATGCGTTCGGATCTCGAACACTTGCGTTCAGTGTTTATGGCAGTCGAAAATGGAGATTTGGGAATGTTGAAATCGCTCGGAATTAAAGATTCTGAACTTGGTGACGTTAAATTTTTCCTTGAAAAGCTTGTTAACACAGGTTTTCTTGATTAAAATGTTTAAGACTTAAAAAAAAAAGTAGTGGTTTTTAGCAAAACACCACTACTATTTTGCGCGATTACAAAGTCACAATTACATTTACCCTTAAACATTGCGAAAAAAAAAAAAAATATTTCATTCACAAGTTATAATTAAGAGTAAAAAAATGAAAGTATATATATTTATCGCATTTTTTGCTGTGCGAATTCAACTATATAATCAGAAGGGACTCGTGTTTATTTTTCCATGTATAAGATGAAAAAATTTTTGTCGACTTTAAAAATTTTTAACTATATACATTTTAAAATCGCGATTATCTCGATCGGGATAATAATAACTATTATTATTCTTTCATAATAATATCTTGCTATACAATCTTTACAATTTTCCTATTCGAGCTTATCTGTACAGCTTTGCATAAAATAAATGCAACAATGGTACAATATTGTTAGCTAATTTGTGCGGAGAGGGAGTAGTAAAGTATTAAATATTTAATACTTGCTATTTTAATTTACTTCCTATGTTAAGACAGAGATGATAATCGTAACATAAATATGGATGGCCTATTCAGATTATTATAGGTTGCTATTTAAAGTCAAAGTTAAATAATTAATTTTTTTTTTTCAGTATTATTTTTTTATTTAGATATTTTTATTAATAATGAATTCTTCCACCGGAATAATTTTCTTCCCAACTTTTACGTTTACTCAAACTTCCATATGTTTTTAATTATAGGAAGAATACTAATCACTCAAAAGTAAACTTATTTTTTAGCTTTCAATAAATGTAATTGTGGTTCAATAATTTTTTTCTTCCATCTTAATTGATTCCGTAGATTGAGAAAAATATTGCTGAGTAATATAAATTTTAAGTGAGTTTTATAAGTTTTTAAGATAAAATAAATAAGAGGTCTTTTATTTTTTATTTTTAAACTTTGGATAGAAGTTCTAAGCGTTTTTGATCAATCGCATTTCTTGTTCCTTGTATTTGACCACCTGGACCTCCAGTGTCTTCATTTTCCTCTCGTCTTTTTCGTTGTGTTCGGGCTTCCATGGTTTCATCAGCATCATCATCTCCCTTTCCAGTATCCAATTGCCGTAAAATTTTTGCCAAAATCGGATTATCATTCATTTTATTGCGTATTCTTTGTCGCTCAATTTCTGACTGTGATGAAGCTAACATTGTGCAGTAAGCGATCATAAAACGATATTTTTTCAACTGTTTAATGAAGTCGAAGCAGTCATAACCAAGAAGGAGGACGAGAGAATTTTCACACTCACGTTCATCTACAGCGTCGCGAAGAACAGCTAAAACTTCAACAGCGCGTGCTTGTGACACTATAGCATCGTCGTAAATTCTACTAAGTCGACGTTGCAGCCAGTAAGCATCAATATCAAGTGGGTGTAGTGGTTTCTCTTTCTTGGTTTCTTCTGTTCCTCCAAGATTTTCTGCATGTATAGCACGGTTGTCATTAGCCTCTTCACCTTCTTCTCCATCATCATCGATTTCTCGAATTTCTCCATGTACATCTTCATTATCCTCTTCACTGCTCTCTTCAAACTGTACATTTATACCATAAGTTTCATCGATATTTTCTTCATTGGTTACTGGTTTATCCTCATTGCCGAAATCTGTTATTTTTTTACCTAAATTTACCAACAGAGCAAAACGTTCTTCAGCTAAAACACCACCTAATAGTAATTCCGTTTCACGCTTCTTTTCTTTTTCCTTTAATCGATCATTCTTCAATACAGCTAGGACTTCATCCGCCGCACCGCAGAGAATATCACGTGGCTGGTCACCGATTGCTTCTTGTATGAAACTTAACAATACCTCATAGGTTTGTCGCGTCTCTTGTGTTTTTGGCCGGTAAACAATAGCAGTTATCTCATCGACACTTTCAGATAGTAATGTTGCTCCTTTCATTCTAGTAAAATCATATTGTGCTTCATCTCGTTTTTGACGTCTGGAACAAAAAAAAAAAATATTAAATAAAGTTACTATTTAATACATTTTACTCTGAAAAACATGGTATTAATAAATGAAAAATACTTATTGACATTTGAATTTAGACAAAAAAAAAAAAAAAAAAATTTACTTGAGGCGAATAAATAATTTAAAAAAATTTTATCTTTTTGATTGGAGTAGAAAATTCTTAAATCAAGAAATTTTTCTTGCTAAAAAAAAATTTTACTTGATTCAAGACAATAAAACTCTTCAAAATTATTTTCTTGGTTCAATAATTTTACTTTTGATTCAGGTTAAATTTTTTTTTTTAAAAAAAAAAAAAAAAAAAATTTTCTTGAGGCGAATAAATAATTTAAAAAAATTTATCTTTTTGATTGGAGTAGAAAATTCTTAAATCAAGAAATTTTTCTTGCTAAAAAAAAATTTTACTTGATTCAAGACAATAAAACTCTTCAAAATTATTTTCTTGGTTCAATAATTTTACTTTTGATTCAGGTTAATTTTTTTTTTTTCAGTGTACATAGCCCGGCTGCCCAATTTTAAAACACAGTAACTGCAAAATTTTTATACCTGATTTTTTTTTTAGTATTGCTGCATTTCTTATAACTTTTAGACCTTAATTTCAAATATTTTCTATTCATAAGTCAAATTTTTTATCAATGTAGCGTGCGAATTTTTTTTTAATAAGAAAAATTTTTAAAAATCTTAAAATTCTCAGTTACTGTGTTTTGAAATTGGGCAGCCGGCAGCCGTTACGCAATTTTTTCAATATTTTGTATATACTCAATTTAATGCACCGATTATCTAGATTATATAATTAGTCTTTCTATTAATCTTCACATATTTGAGTTTAAAATGAAAAATTTTTTTTTTTTCCAAACTAGATGTTAACTTTTAATTTTTTCCTAAAGTTTTCAAAGAAAAATTGATTCTGTCTCAAGTCGCTAAATTAAAAATTATTTGTTTATTTTTTTTTCTAAATTATAGCTATTGTTTTTAGAAAATTGAAAATTTTACTCCACGAAAGTCGGATCTTCGTTTTAAATCAAGTTGATTCTAGCGATAAATTTGAGGGTAAGTTTACCTAGAGTAACTGTTAAAGTCTAAAATAATATTTATATTAATAATAGAATATATAATTTCATGAAATTTTTAATGATTATTTTATAAATATAAATTATTATAAAATAATTAAGAACACTCACTTGACTTTACGCTCTTCAACTTTACTGGGTTTACTTCTTTGTGCTCGATCACCCATCCTGGTCCCATCCAACTTGCCCACAAGGGACATAACTTCACCGGTAGCTTCATCACGGCTTCGTCGTTCGATCAATCGTACGTCAGCTTGTAATACAAGATTCGAGTTCTGAAATTTATAAATAATAAAATTAATAATTAATCGAAGCCTAAATTATTAAGTATAAAATAAAACGTTGTGAACGAATTCAATACAAAACATAACCCCAATATACACAACTAATATAGACTTGATTATCTAGTATAAAACAAAAATAAATTTCTACTGTTAAAATAAATTAATTAAATTAAGTGTTATTTATTATTAATGTTAATGTTAATTATTGTACTTACAGCTTTATATTCGTATTGCAATTGACGGGCCGCCGCATCAGCCATGGTGATAGAATAACTGTGTTAATAATTTTAATTTAAACGTTTTCAAACGTAAACCAACAATTTTAGTCTCACACACTTGAACAGCTAACGCTTGTGTAAATACCAGTCTAATCACTTCGCTCACTTCGCTATTGTTGTAGATATACATGAAAGGAAGCTTAAACTTGTGGCGGTCCTGCCGCCTCGGTCGCGCTCCCAGCGACCAGAAGTCAAAACAAATCTACCAAAGCGCCAATCGTCGGAGCGGGAAACTCTCTCTCTCTCTACAATAAACAATCCCACACAAATTCAAATAATCCCGCCTTTCTGCACGCCATAGCTGTGGCGTGACTGTGCAGTATTATTATTATTATTATTATATTATTGATTGTGACCTGACTAATTATAAGGAGAGACGCTAAGTTTTTTATGTAATAAATAAGTGAATAAATATTATCAAACACGAATTATTCTTGCAATATTATTATCATTATTAGTATATAGTGTAGTACCCCTTAACAACTACAAACTTAAGTTAGGTGATGACATCTTGCTGGATTTATGAGCAACATTTTTTTTAAACCAGGTCCACTCCGTTGGTAATAAAGAACTCGATCAGGCGGTAATTAAAGTAATCGAATTATCAAATATCATTGCACTGCAAAATTATATAAAAAATAATAAAAAACCAGAATTATTAAAAAAAAAAATTATGAAAATTTATTTAGCAGATATTTGATCATTTTTAGAATTTTTGTATGACATTAAATTTAGCTGTCACTTGACAATTTTTTGACAAAATTTTTATTAATAAATAAATTGTAGTAAAAAAAAAATTATTAAAAAAATGGACTTGTAAAAATTTTAATCAATTAAAAGTGCAATTTTTTAAAAATAATTTTTTCGAGCAAATTTTTTTGTTAAAGAAAATTAAAAAATTGTCAAGTGACAGCTAAATTAAATATCATAATTTTTGTTACAAATAAATGATGGAAAAAAATGAGCAAAAAAATTGGCGTATAACAATTCTAAAAAATTCAAAATAAATTTTTTTCAATAATTTTTCTGACTAATTTGTTTCTTAAATGAAATTCTGAGAGTTTCTTAAAAATTTTTGTAATATTTCATGACTACTGATTGCTGTTTTTCTTCATTTATTAAGATATTAATTTGTATTTGTAGCATTGACTACACTATTGAGAATATCTGATGAATCTTTGAAGTTGACATAAAATTTGTATTTTTAAATGACTAATTTAATTAGGTAATTGAGTTACTACCTGTTTATAGGTTTTCATTTGTTCATTATAATTGTATAAAATCTAGCAAATTATACGATACTGAAATTGAAAGACATTCTGATAATTTTTAGAAATCCTTTTTACTCATAAATTATAGCAAGAAAAATTTATTTAAGAAATTCCATCTTTAGAAGCTCTAAAAAGTTATTAATTTTCAATACTTAGTTTATTGTTAAAAAAAAAAAAATCAAAAAGTATCTGCCAAATTTTGATGTCATCAAATTTGTTTGTTATTTGTTTTTGTCTACTATAGTGTTTATTGTCACACACTATAATATAATTTTTTATTAAAATAAATCTTATAAATGTTGAATGAATAGCTTGCTAAAGTTTGAAAATAAGTCAAATCGGTTAGTTAGCTTAAGCTTCAATTTCCGTAGATTTTTTTTCGATAAATTTATTTTAAAAAATCAACAAGCGCTTTTTCCACTTTCAAACGGTCAAAGGTGAAAACTAAATTAATTTTTTTATAAAAAAATTTGAATTTAAGCTTTACTTCCTTAATAGTTGCTATTTCTCTTACTGCGAGCGCTGTGTGAGTATTTTAACAAAATCGTAAAGTTTGATTTTCATCAACTCAATGGGCTATGGAGACTATACATATAATATAGAGTGTATAGTCTCAATACAATGGGCACATGGACTTTAACTTCTATGGAACGATAGCTAAAAAGCAAATAAATAAATAGTTTTACACGAAAAAGTGTTATATTTGTGTTTGTGTTAGATAGTATCACAATACGATAATATAATTTAGATTAATCAAATACTGATTATTGAAAAAACAGTTTCGTACTAAATTTATAGAGAATAAAAACAATATCATCATTACGGTTTATTGTGTTTGTATATTTTACTAATTAATCACAATGCCAAAACGTAAGTTAAACGACGACGATAACGACGTTTTAAGCCACGAAAGAAATTTATCACGAGCAGTTGGATCATCGACAATTGATCAAAAACCAATTAACAAGCATTCGTTAGATTCAGATGAAGAGGATGATGATGCCGATGAAAATAATTACAATGTTATGGATGAAAATGAGATTGAAGGTAGGTTATATTTAAATTTTTCACGGTGGTAATGTATAAAATCATTAATTATTATTTCTATCATGCAATGCAATTTTGTTTACTCTATTCATTGTAATTTTCTGTTTATAATATATAATTTAATTTACTTTATAATATACGTTTGGTTTTCAGGAGTTGAAGATGGACCAATGTCGAAGGAAACAAAAGTTGGTTTTACGGCATTTAACATGAAAGAAGAGTTAGAAGAAGGGCATTTTGATAAAGATGGACATTATCTATGGAAAAAAGAAAAACAAATTCGTGATAATTGGCTTGATAATATTGATTGGGTTAAGGTATAAATTACTTTTTAATTTCTCTCACTAGATTTAACTTTTTTTTTATTATACATATTTGATTATTTTTGTTAATAAAATTTTTTTTTCTTTAGGTTGATACTACAGAAGACAGTAAAACTGATGTCCCAGAAAAAACCGAGAAGGGTTTAGGCGATAGCGATAGTGATGATGACGATGACAATGTAACGAGTGGATTATTTGACCCAACTGAACTTTACAGACAAATTTTGGAATATTTACAACCCAGAGAAACGGTCTCAAAAGCATTGTGCAGGCTTGGTAAGATATACTAAATGTTTTTTATTATTGAATTTTTTTTATATTTATGAATAGTCGTCGTCTGCTTTATTTAATTTACTAAGTATAATTAGTGCAGATAGGGAAAAATAAGAAATTAAACTCTTCATTTTTTACTTATTCTTTTAAAATTTGGAACGAAAAAATATACATGATGATGTCTCCAGATATAATATAATTTAATACAGATCACTGGTATTTGGAATTATTGGGCTCGTTCAAGTTTACTAAGTTCTTAGCTAGACTGAGCTTTGATTAATTTACCTTCCATTGTATTCTTATAGATATTCTTTAAAGAGAATTGAAATTTTTTTTTTTTTTTTTTTTTGAAAATTTTACATTAATTGGAGTTGAATTTAAAAATTAAAAAGAAAACAAATATTTTGGTTGATTTTTATTTATTATGACATTGCTTAAGGGATTATACCTAGTTGCGAGTCTAAAAAACCGTTTTTTTATGAATTACTTTCGAAGAGACATTTATTTAATATGTATTAAATATGTACGTATAGTGATTTTTTTTATTTTAAACCCCCGTTGTAAATTTATCTTAACGATTATTAACCATTATATTGTTGTAATGTCTTATCATTTTATTTTTTTTTTTTTCTAATATTACTTGATAACTATTGTTTACATAATAATAATTTTTTTTATTATTTGTATAGGTAAAGGGAAGAAACAAATTTCATCAGCTGAAAGATGGAAACGTAAAAAAGCCGGCTTAAGTGAAACTGACGAGAATTCTGAAAAAATTATTAAACTCACTGAGTTGTCCAATGAACTATTAACACGCACTGGAAATATGGACATCTACCAAGAAACTTATGAGGCAATAAAGTATAAAATAAACCAGGCAGAGAAACATTCGCATCCTGCGAAACACGAAGCTGAATCTGATATGTTCGCCGATGACTTTGATTCGAAGACAACGGAAACTAATATATCTGGAACTTCAAAATCTGACGAAAATAAAGAGGCCGAAACACTGAAGGGAGATGACGAAGTGAAATGGGAGCTAAAGTGGTCACAAAATGATGATGATAAAGTAAATGGTCCTTATACGTCAGAACAGATGCACACGTGGGCTAATGAAGGCAAATTTAAAAAAGGAGCTTGGGTCAGACGAGTTGGGCAAGCTGGTCAATTTTATAGTGCAGCAAGACTCGATTTTGAACTCTATTTATAGTTATTTTTTTTTTTTATCGTTCATAAAAATTTATGAATAATTAAGAAGTATTTTTTATGATTTGTTTATAAATTGTTTCTTTCAATAAAACGCATTTTTTGGATCCTAAAATTGTTCATTAATTGTTATATCTATAATTTTTGAAGTTATTTAAAAAAAAGATTTAAAAGCTTTTGTCTTTAATTATAATTGCTGAGTTTAATAAAGCTGAAAAAATAACAAAAATAAATAATATTAAAAAATTAATCAATTTAGAAGATTAACAATTGATAAAACAAGTTTTTCAAGATTTGTAACTATCTACAAGATGGATTAATATGAAAATCTAAGGTCAATCAAGTCCAAGAGGATGCTGGACATTTATCATACGATAAAAAATATAAACGTTTTATAATTGAAAGGTAAATATTTTTATTACCATTATTAATATAAACTACAATAATATGATATTTAGATGTAAAAAAAAAAATACTATTTAATTTTTCAGATCATTATTCAGTAAATCATTTAATTTTTTTTTTTTTTTATATCCATTTAGAGTCTTATTTATCCAAGACGCAGTGCCTTCTATTTTAACATGTTTGGACCAATGTTGGTTGTGTTTCAAAAGCATTGCAGCTAAAAATAAAGTAGCCGGATCTTCATTGTATCGGCATATTAAAGTGCTACCAATTGGTAATGGCTGGAAAATTAAATTAAAAGAAAATCAAATAATAATAAGCGTTTAGATCTTTCCTGTTGGCTTATTGAAACTTTTTACTTCTTTTTTTTTTATATGCTATATTTACTTAAACTAGCTTTAAGTGACAAGAATGATATCAAATAAATTTTTTTATTTTTTAATAATAAGTTTGACTTAAAATTCAATGAAACTAAAAATAATTGATACATATCACGTACTTTAGCAATTGTTTGATTGAAAGCAGCACAGAGAATTGTCTCAGGTGTTTCTGGAAATTTTGCTTCATTTATAGGCGTAATAAATGATTTTGATTGACACTTTGATACTTTCATGTATTTTGCATTTCGCTTTTCTAATATAACCGGATCTTCATTATAAAATAGAAAATTGAGAAATTATGTTATTTTGGGATAATCATATCTAGTTATATTTGCAATATTAGAAAATCGAAATTTTCAGTCAAAATTAATTGAAATGTTCTCTAACAAAGTTAATATGTTTTGATTAATATTATCTAATTGAATGCATCTTATCTACGAGTTTATTCTGTTGATGTACTTACTTCGAATATGATCAAAGAGACTCACAAGAAGACATTCATCGTAATTAACACTTCTCTCCATCGACGGTTGTAAAATTCCGATCGCTGGATAATAAATTAAAGCGATGTTAAGAACCATCATTATAAGATTACGCTTGGATACCGTAGTACGATCATCATGAGTCGATTTCCAGTGGTAGAAAATTTTAACAACATTATGTTCAACATGGGAAATCGGTAAATTAAGATTTCTTTTGGGCTGACTGATTATCGGATCGTAGCTATGAACTTACAGATGTGGTAATCTTGTACCTCTAACCATTTATAAACATTAATTATAAGTTAAATGAATTAAATAGTTTATGAAAAATACATTAAATAGGAAGAAAGAAATAAATTATATCCATTACTTTGTAATGCATAAACCTGGAGCTAAAACAACTTTTGGATTAATGAGTGCACCTTGACAAATGAATAATTTACTGTGTTTAACGTGTTTGAAAATGCCAACAACCCAGCCGAAATTTTTCTCATATGTTTTTACATCAACTGGATCGATTTTGGGGTGCATATAATCAATGTCATATGCAAAAGTTATTAAAACACATAGTTTTATTATCGTCAAAAATAAAAGCGACATCGTGTACTTTGAATCAATTCTTGAAAAATAATTTGCTTAAAAAAAAAGTTAAAAAATTAAAACTAAATGCCTGTAAGAAACAACACAATGTTTTTTGTTTTGTTTTTTTTTTTTTTTTTTAATTATATCCTATCAATTTTAACTTATTTAAATATATAACCATTTCTTACCCAATTAGTATCAATTAAAATAGTTAAATTCTTAAAAAACTTAAATTCTTACTGTGGTAACAAAAGTTTATTCTTCAATATCTATCTTCAGCGACTGTAAAATATTTTCAATTTGCTAACTATTTATACTTCTAAAACCAGGAAGAATTTTTTTTACTTGTTACCGTATTTCCGCATCCTTTGTTCCTTTAAATACATTTTATCAATTTTCTGGAGAAAACATGCTTCGGACAATAAATACAAATTTTTCTTTATTCGCTAATTTGTTGGATTTATGCTCAAGCGTTTTTCAAAAAAAAATTATTGCAAATAATATTATTGCGAGTCTCAAAATAAATAAATTCATGTCTATGCATAAATTTTTATGATAAATAATAGGAAATTTTTTTAATTTACAGATTATGGACCTTCGTTCGTGTACAAAATAATAATATATCATTAAAAAATGTATTTTATTACTTGCTTCCAAAATTACCCAATTCTTTTCTCTTTACTGTTTTAAAACTATATTGTAAGATTCAGATTATGAAAAAATTCACTTTTTTTGAAGATGAAATATATTTAAAACTTTTGAAATTTCGCACTTTAGTAGCTTGATAGTCATATTGAATATTTGATATTCATTTTTGTAGTTTAATAATAAAAATATTATTAATATTTTTTATTTTCAATCTTAGAGCCATTCAAATATGTAATTTGAAATATAAATTTCTTGGAACTTGAAATGTTTTTATTTTTCAGATCAAAATATGTTTGTAAAGTGATTAGCAACATAAGTGATTAGCAAACAAAAGAAATTTTTATACGCCCTTTTGGCTTAACAAAGGGAAAAACAAATTTTTAAAAACAAAATTTGTTGTGAAAACTGATACCACTTTAAGTTTAAAATCTGCATAATGAGTTTATTTTAATTAGATATCATTAATGTTGTTTTATTATACCAGGATAATTCAAAAAAATTTATAGAAATCTACTGCTGAGACTCTTGCAATAATCTGAAGATGAATATTTGCAGAAAAAACATGTTGATCTGATGAAAATCAAAACAAATTTTGGTATTCGTTACCCGTTTTTGCAACAGACTGGACCAAGCATCGCTGTTTTTATCAGATAAAATTTTATATGTTTAAACAAATAAATTATTATTATTGTGTAAATGTAAAAAAAAATTGTCTAGAACCATTGAAATTGCCTTTTATTTCACTCAAATTCTTTCAGTATTTGAAAATAAATGAAATTGTCACATATGAGGACTTAATTCATTTGTCACTACTGAATAGAAAAATAACTCTAATAACAATTTCTAAAATAGCTTTATAGTCTTTAATCATTTAAAGTCTATAAAAAGATAAATTAACGTTAATAACTTGTATTTTTATAATTATATTATATTTGCAAAAACTATCACAAGTGAAGTATCATCTATATTGAAAATTCAATATTATTATTCATATGAAATAAAAGTAAATGCAATAAAAAAAATTTACCAAATTAGAATAATGCATGACTTGATGTTTCATGCTTCAAAAATATATACATCAAACATAAAAAGAATTTCCAAATTATCAATCTTTCTTTCAATGTTTTGTTGTATATAACAATATTGTATAAAATTATAATTATCGATTATATAATCAAGACCTTTATTATCTTGATAATAATCAAATATTATATAGTAATAAAAGTAAAAATAAAAATAATATCATAATAATTATTATGAAAAAGTAATACCGTGATTTAAAACAAATTTATTTGGATTTATTGTACTTAATTTCATCATCTGGAAATGCTTCTCTCGCAGGTACAAGACTTAACATCATAACGTGCCGCGTACAAGCTCGTGAATTGCGAAATTGGGTGTCAGTACCATGAAGACGATCTAGTACACCTAAAACTCCATAACACTGATTAAATCTGAAAATTCAAAAGAAATGTTTATGGTATAATAAAGTATTTATAAATAATAGTTAGTAAATTAAAGAAAAAAAATTTTATGAAAGTAGAAAATTATTAACTTACTTTAAATGATGAAAATCATGTGCTTCTGGTGATGGAAAAAACGGCAAATGATAACCAGAATGTGCGTTCAAAGTTGACAAGATAGCGAGAGAAAACCAGAGCCAAGCTGTAGCAACATGAGAGCCAACAAGAAATACTCCAATAAACGGTGGAACTAAATTCGATCCAATATGCTCCAATGGATGGCAATAAATTGCAGTCACGGCGATAGGTGCTGTCCATTGGTGATGTTGCTTGTGGATATATTTATATAAATAACGACCATGTAGTAGTCTGGTATAGAAATCAAAAAGTTATTAATAGTGACTTTGTGTATTTATTCCAATTGTATGGTAAATGATGTTATTTGTTTCATGGCTTTTTTGACTAAAAATGCTCGTATGTAATTCAATATGTAATTTTTTCGCGGCTATGTTAGGTCATAAAAATCAAACTGATTAAATTTATTTTTAATTATCATATATTGTTTTCATTCAAATTGATCAAAAATAAAATAATTAAGAATTATAAATTTTCTAATATGTAAAAAAAAAATTTATAAAATTGTAAAAATCTTGAAAATGGAAATTTAAAAATAGAATTTTTTTTTGTTTCATTTTTGAAAACAAAAAAAGGTGGTAGTACAGAAGAAATTTAATATAAATTTAAACCAAAAATTTACGTTTGTGAAATTTATCAATTGATTTTTGTCCTAGAATATCTAATTTTCATAAATTTATGAGTTGGTATTAATTATTTATTTGCTTGAAATTACAGTATTCTACATGAAAAAAATATATTTACCTGACATTAGTTAAAAAACACTGAAGTGAATAACTTTTTGTATTTTTTTATGAACTTTTAAGTTGATTCACCGAATCAATATTTTATTTCTACTGTCAAAAGCTTGAAAAATAAGTTTGTTTTTTAAATTAAATATTTTTTAACTTTCTTCGATTTAAATCAAATAAATTTTGTAATTTTTTTTTTTTTTAATTACTCAGTCATATTTTTTAATTTTATTGAGTAACATGAATATAAAATTCTATTGGGATTTGAAATTTTTAATATTATATCTTTTGAAATATTTTAAAATGTGAGTATCAAATAAATGAGATTCTATTTGATGTAAAAAGATTCATTGAGGATTCCGATCTCAAATTTACCTGTGTGAATAATAGAAACCAATCTCTTCGAATAGAATGTGAATAGCTATTTCAACCAGTACCCAATGAAAAGTTGGTAATTCACGGACTGGTGGATACCCTCGCCATTCCATTAGATAGTAACTCAAGTATACAACTGGAAGACCCACGACGATTTGATTGAATAGCACTTGGGCGATTACTTTGAGCAATGCTCGTGTATCAACAGGCTCGTTGGTTCCAGGTTGAACTTTATAGCGTCGTAATGCACCAGGACGGTTCGATATGTCTAAAATCGTATAAATTCCTCCAAATAGCCAGTAGACAACAAATGTCAATGATAAGGAACCGTAAACCCATAGAGTTTGAGGATCATCGCCAAATTTATCAAGGATTTTATCCCATTGTGCTTGCCAAAAGTCGCCTGATGCACCCCAAAATCTCTGTAAGTGCCTGAAAATCCATTTAATAATTAAATAAAGAATGATTAATGTAAATTAATTAACAATTAAATTTTATATAAATCTATACCTTGAAATGTAAAAAGACATTTAGATACATTTACTTAATCGATCGTTTAAAAATCATACTGAATGAATATTCTGATGATAAAAAAAATTAAAATAAAAAAATCGATATAGCGAATAACATATCTTTTTTTATAGTGCGCAAAATTAATTTTTTTAGTGAATTGTAAAAAAGCAACTAAATGAAAAAACAATTAAACATTTAATACAATTGCATAAACATAAAATTGACATGTTTAATAATTATATATACAAAGTGATAAAATAGTTTCGTTAAGTGTTAGTACTGTTATCATCGATATCCTGTGAAAAAAATTTTCTTATATGGTCTGATATATTCATAAATCTATTATGGGTTAATATGCAAATTTGCAATTTTTTCATAAGACCATAGTTGTCCTGATACAGAAATTGGCCATATGAGGATATGTATATGACCATATTGGTCCTTTCAAAAAATTATAAATCTGCATACCAGTCCATATCAGAAATTTTTTTTTTTTTTTGGTGATATGACAGGTCAACCTTGACATTTCCTACTGTTTTCAAGCTCAAAACTGATATTCTTTATGTTTACGAGCTGTCCTAGGTTGAAGGAAATGACAAAGAATGTCATTGCATACTCTTGAAATGAAATTGACTTTAAAATCTAAGTAGCGATACACTTTTTTGATTGCTGAATAAGCGATTTTGATTGGTTAATTAATTTAGACGATATTGCACAACATTTTAATAACATACATCTATATGACTGTACTTACTGAACAGCTCAATGAAAGTTTGATTTTCGAAAATAAAATCAAAAATAATAACTTTTTTAATATTTTATACTTTCAACTCTTATAAATATTTTCTGCAACACTAGTATAGTAAATAAATATTATAAAGTTGAAAAGTATACTTCGTCAAACGAAAAGAATTCTTCGTTAATTACCATGTACACTTACCAAGTTAATGAATTACAAAATGCAGCAAAGCCAATTATAACAGTACCGATAACAAAAAGTACACTCCTTATACTTGATAACAATGTTGGTGGAACACTACTTTTTGATTCTATCATTCCATCTGAAATTCAATTAGAACAGTTAGTCAAATTATCCTTATCTATATATTTACAAATCTCTGATTCAGAAAGATGATTCAAAATGATTTTCTTCATGTTAATTGTATATCTATATAGTATTCAAATCAAATGCTTTTAAATTATTTCAAATCGTTTCAAATTAAATTTCTTAATCAGGGATAAGCGAAATACCACTGACTCATCACCAGATCTCCGAAACTATTGGACCGATTCATTTGAAATTTGGCATAGGTACTCCTTTTTCATCGTAGACGAGAGATAAGAAGGGATATTACGGAAATCCCTTCTTATCGGAATCGGAAATTAATTTTTATATTTTTGCCCCCTCCCCCCTCCCCCTCCCCCAACCCTTCCCGTTAACAGTATAATTTATTAAAAGTTCCCCTGCTGGCCGTTACCATGGTGATTATTACCCTGGTTACCGTTGCCATGGTTATTGTTACCATGGTTACCGTCACCAGAGTTATCGTTACCATAGTTACCGTTACCACAGTTACCGTTACCTTGGTTAGCGTCACCACGGTTATTGTTACCTTGGTTAGCGTTACCACGGTTATTGTTACCACGGTTACCGTTACCAGTGTTACCGTTACCGTGGTTAGCGTTGCCATGGTTACCGGTTCCAATGTTACCGGTGCCATCGTTACCGGCACCATTATTACCGGCGCCATCGTTACCTTCGCTATCTATAAATATAAAACAAAGTCGTGTTAGTTACACTATTTATAACTCAAGAACGGCTGGACCAATTTTTAAGATATTCGATTTTTGGATTTCTCTTCCGGAATATGATAATAAGTATTAAAATATAAAATTTATCAATAAAAAAAAATATTAATCAAAATAATAATCTAGCCAGTCATCTATCTCCTATATATATAAAAAGAACTTTCTATATATGTATAGTCACTCATCACGATATCTCTGGAACTATAAAGCCTTGAGACTTGAAATTTTGCAGGAATATTCCTTTCGCTAAGTGGAGGTCAGCTAAAAACGGATTTAACGAAATTCCACCCACAAGGAGTGTTGCGGGGGTGTTAACAATAAAAAATTCCCGTTTTTAAACTATCGCGCTTCTACAGGCTTCAAATTTGGTAAGAATCTTCTATATATGATGTAGAAATTATCTAAGAGCGGATTTTACGACAACCTATCCCCAATACGGATTGCGGGGGTGGATGTTATCAATTAAAATTTTTAATTTCCTAGCTATAGCTCCTACAGACTCCAAATTTGGTAGGGGTATTTTATTTGTCATGTAGAGATCATCTCAAAACGGATTTCAATAAATTCTACTTCCAATAAGTATTGCGGGGGTGGCTGTTAGAATTTTTAATTTTAATTTCCAAACTGTAAGTTATTCTATAGACTCTAAATTTGATAGGAATCTTCGTGTATAATTTTCGTGTCAAGTTTAGCTAAGAATGGATTATATCAAATTCCAACTCCAATAGGAATTGCAGGGGCGTTAGCAATGAACAATTCTTATTTCCAAACAATAGTTTTTATGGACTCAAATTTTTGTAGGAATCTTTCATTCATGTTGTAGAATTCATCCCGAATAGGATCTTACGAAATTCCTTCCCCATATAGAGGTGCAGACGTGTTAATTGTCAAAAAATCCATATTCTTCAAATCCACACAGTACTTACAGACATGAAATTGAATAGAACCTCAAGAAAAACTGGAAATTCCAGAAACGTCCTCCAGGGTTAACCGATTTAAATATTTTTCTTTCTTAAAAATTAGATATCAGCTAAAAACGAATTTCATGATAATTGACTTCATATGCAAGCTGTGTCAGAGAGATAAGTAGAATAAAAAAAATGTTGTTGTTTATAAACTAGTAGGACTTTTTGAGACATGAAATTTAGGACATGTCTACTAAACTTCAATAAAATTTATTGAAAATTTCCTTACAACAATCGTCTCTTTGGCAAACTCTAGCGGGAAAAAAGTCATTGTAAGGTTTCCAAAACTTAACATTACATGTAGTTATTCAGTCAACAGACTAAGAACTTTACATACATGTTATTTTTGCTGATCACATAACCGATAAATTTTTCTTATCGCGGAATTGCAAAAATGTAACAGATTAAAATGAATGCATTTTCCAAACACTTGATATGTGAAAAATAAATTTGGCTACTTGTTTGAATAGAATTCGTAAAAATATGTTAAATTTATTTTCTACAAAAAATTGATGTCACTAAGAAAATTTTAACCAACTGAAAAATTCGTCGCACTTGAAACTATATAGACAGATTTCAAATTTACTTATGAGACTTGCAATGACTTTAACTAAAATTTTTAATGCTCATTTAATATCTGTGCAAATCAAAACAATACTCCAATTAAATTTCAAGTCTAGATCTAAAAATGCAATTCTATAAAGTTCCCAGCAAAGCAGGAGAGTAACAGCTAAATACATATAAAAAAAACATATTTTCTTTTATTATTGTTTATTTTTGTACTATGTTAACTTGAAACTGATATCAACAATTCTATAGATCTTATCTTTTATTGGTCACATCTTTTTATAAATAATTCAACTTACTTCTTATAATGGAAAGAACCATAAAAAAAATCAAAAAAAACATTTTACCTTTGCAAGATATTTCTGATTTCATTTTAATGTTTTTTTTTATATTGATTTTTTGTTTATAATTCAAAGTTTGATGATCTATTAACTATTATATTGTTATTGTTATTGTATTATGATTGTAATTTTTTAACTATTTTCAGTTCCAACACTTATACTGCGCACCACATCAATAAAACGCGAAATATATACCATTGGCAAATGCGCAGTTGCTAAATTTCGCTATCGCTCGATTGGTCGGAAGATTAATGCGTCATTTTATAACAGAACTTTTTTAAAAAGAAAGTATTTTAATAAAGAATGACTAATTTTGCTGATTACAGTCTCTTTAAATAATTAATTCAGAGTAGAGTTAATAATATGATTAACTAAAATTTTAATGTTTCAAGATAAATAAATTTTTTGACTTAAATTTTTTAAATAAAATTTTTTCCCGCCTGTTATGTCGATGGTCATTAATAGATAATTTATTACAATTATCTGTTTGAAAAATTACTTTTATGATAAGCAAGTTTGGTACAAGTATTTTTTAATAGTAAGACCAAGAGAAAGAAAACTGTTTTTAATTTTCAGAATAATGATTTATTTAGTTTAAACGAAAATAGTAAAAACATATATATCATGAATGAGATTTTTGATAGATAACTGAATAACTTTTTTTCTTAATTCAAAAACACATGGTTTGTTTTTAGGCTTTTACAGCAGCTTTTTGTTGAGCCATTTGGAACATTTGTTGCAATTTATCAAGACTTTCACGTTGACTTTCTTGTTTAGCGTCTAAATCATTGATTAAGGTGTCTACTCGTTTTCTAGAAAAAAAAAAAAAATAAAGAAAACAATTTAGTAAATAAATTCACTTATCATTGTGTCATTTAACATAAAATAATTTGAAATAGCGTCTGAATGGTGAAATTAAATAATTTATTTTACTTAATTATCCATGAATTGGAAAAGGCAATATTAAAGATACATCAAGATAATTAATTAGTTGAACTTTATGTACACGCGACTTCTTAGTATTAGAATGTGTTAAATTCAAGTTAGCTCTTAGAAAATTACAAAAATTATAAAATCAGTCAGTTAAATAGCCCAAATAATTATGACAGTGAATGAAATCTAATAAACTAAATTCTAATTTTATCTGAAGAAGAAATTCAATTTGGTATGAAAATTTGAAGACTTGGAACATTTAATAAACTATTTAATTTGCGTAAATTACATGAAAGTCATTTTTATCAATTACCTTTATCGCCAATCAAATATATAAATAATCTTATTCAAGTTTTCTTAGAAATAAAAAATTATTATGTGATTGTATTCAATAGATACTTACAATTCATTAGTAATAAATTCAATACGTTTATTCACGTTTTGTTTGGCTTCATCCAAATCTTGTTTTATCAATACTGGTCCAATTAATTTAAATACTTCATTACTGGATTTCAGCAAATACAATTCATCTTTTACAGTTGTTGTTTCGTTTAATTGACCATCAAGTTGTTGACGATTTATCAATGCCTTGTGATAATCTATTGAAGATAAAAATAATAATTAGTGTGTTAATATCAATCGACATGTTCAATAATATCATTTAATAAGAGCATGGATGATGTGAAGAAAACAAAATATTTAATTTTTATTTGATTAAAAGTATTAAAAAAATTCGTACTAAGGTAAAAGACCAGTTATTGATACTTGCAATTTTACTTTAATTAAATAAAAGAAATCGAATCTAATAAATTAATAAATATAATTTTTTAATTATAAATTTTAAGATAATTGGGTTTTTGTAAACATTTTTTTTTAATTAGAATAAAATTGCAAGTATCAATCAACTAGCCCAGTGTCAATAACTGGGTCTTTTACCTTATATGAACATATATTTTTTTCATTCGTTAATCTATTTACTTATCGACTTCAAGATATAATTTTCAAATTGTCTTGTTTTTTTTAATCAATTTAAGTAACAAAAATTTTATTTCCTACAGACTAAAATTTACTTGATTAATTATTTTTTATTTTTAGAAAACTAAAGTAAATTTTCTGGAGAAATATAGGTTACCTCGTTGAATTTGTTTATAAACTTCTACTTCATTTTGCAATGTTTTTTGTAATTCTTCCATTGTCCCAGAGATTTTTTATACAATTGATATACGTTACTTTTTTTTATAAATTATAAATAGTTTTTATTTTAACACAAGACAAATTATTGTAGTAAAACTAAAAATAAATGGATTTTGATTGAACGATACAGTAAGGCTTCGTAAATACCATGGAGACTAGATAAAGACATAAAGACATAAAGAGCAAAATGCAAAATGAGAGGGCGTTAGTGTTTCTTTTTTACCAAAACGGCGGGAAGTTAAGACGGTAGTTTCAAATAGAATTAACACAATGAATAAATTAATTTATCAGATAATTATTATTATTATTAATTATTGAAAGTAAATCAAATAAATATTTAATCAAATTTCAATAAATGGATAAATGAACAAAAATTTCAATAAATAAATAAATAAGTGAGTAGCATAAAATAATTAAATTGTCAGATGTCAGAAGATATTCATACCCGTATCTGTGTAACTCAGATAAAATTTCCAAAATTGTTCGTAACGTTACTTTAAAATCCGATATAGAGATAGAAGATATAAGGAAAAAAATTTTTTTTATTTGCATTTTGGAGTAGCTTTGTTTGATACTGAGTTTTTTGAAGTTAATTTTCTTAATACAGAATTTTTTAAAGTCAAATTTTGTGGAGTAGTTGCTCGTTTTAAGTTATTTGGTGTAGAGTTTCTTGGAGTCGTTCTTTTTGAGCGTGTGTTTTTAAGAGTGGAGTTAATTGAATAAATAGCTTTTTTTAAAAACTGCATTTTAAAGGAGTAATTTAGAGTTACTTATTTTAAAACAGAATTTTCTGAAATCGAGTATGAAAATTAATTTAGCGGATATTTTATAATTTTAAGAATTTTTTTTTACAAATAAATTATGTCAAAGAAAATGAGAAAAAAAAATTGACTTTTAGAAAATTAAAAAAATAAAAAATCCAATTTTTTAGAAATAATTTTTCGGAGCAAATTTATTTATTAAAAAAAATCAAAAAATTGTCAAGCGACTGCTAACTTTAATGACATAAATCGAGTTCTTTGGAGTAGGCACTTTGGAAGTTTTTGTAGTAGTAAACATTTTTTCTCAATCCTCTAAAAAACTTAAAACTTAAAACTTGACTTAAAAAAGTAAAGTTAAAACGGCTAGTGTTTTAGAAAAAAGAATAACTAATTTTAATTGCTCGTTTATCAATCAAGCATCAATTGAAAAAATTGAAATATAATCTTTCAAGCACAATGAATTTTATCCCAAGTACATCAAATAATGATAATATTTCAATATAAGTTTGAATACTATCCATTCCTGATAATTATCATTAATAATATTAATGATAATAAGAATAATTATCATTATCACTTAATTTTAAATTTTAGCATTCAAATAAAAAATTAATTTTTCAATTTTTATCCCAACATTACAATTAAAAATTGAATTTTTAATTTGTAATCCCAACTATTAATTCAAAGTAATTTTTAAATTTTAATCTTATTACTAAAACGAAAAATTTAATTTTTGATTTTTAACGGAAAATTCTCGAATTAATATAATTACTACCCTGAATGGAGAAATTATCAAGACAATTTATTTTGAACCAAAACCGGCGGTACTGTAGAATCTGTAGAAGTAGCAGCAAGCGGAAATGTGTTCCGTTTAATAAATAGTAACCAGAAACCAGAAACCAGTGTAACTGGCTATACTCCATGCTATGGCGTCAAAATCTCGATCTTCACGCCATCTTGGATTTTAATACTTAATTATTTTTATATCGTCATCAATTTTTATTAAAAATACAATTGAAGTTTCTCAACTTGGTTATAGTAGTAGGTATTCTACTCAGGGTTTTACACTACAACCCTCTATTACTCAGTATCAAACCAGTATGTATACATCCATTTTGCACTTTACTATTACATATTTTTTTACACTTCATCATTGCCGTACTTTTCCATTATAATAATATTGGTTACTTAATATATATTTAATTGGTTATTTATTTTTTGTAAGGACTTATGCATTAACAAATTACAACTATTCTTATCGAGAGAGGAGGAGAGAAGACACAAATAAACATTCAGGACACTTCTTAAATACTTGGACAGTACCTGTCGTTGTATTATTCGCCTTGGTGGAATCAACGCTTACCATTACAGCAAATCAGCTAATTAATTTTATTCTATTTTCTGCAACTTTGGATTGGGTTATACATCACGGACATCCGGAGTAAAAAAGGTGAGATCATTGTTAATACCATTTTTTTTTTTTAAAACGTAATGTAATTTATCCGGTAATCATTGATAAACTCTGATATCCAATAAAATTCATAAAAGTTCATAATAGTCCTTAATTAATTTTAACCATTTCTTATCGAATTGATGATTATTAAAATTTTTCTTTTTTATTATATTTTATCGGAGAAATTTTTAGAACTATGATTCCATTGTCACATGATAATCTATCGAGAAGAGTTAATATACAATCGTCCACTTGATAATTATTGTGGTTGCATATATTTTGCATTTCTGTCATTTTTTTTTTTTTTTTTTTTTTTTTTTTTAAATTTAAATATACAAACTAAAATTACTTCGGTTTGATAAAAAAAAAAAAGATATTTTATTTTATACTTTATATATGCAATCAGTATTTAAAAATTTATAATCTAAAAAAACTCTTAACCTTCAAATTAAATTCTTTTAATAAAAATAAAGAAAATTAATTTTTTTTTTTTTTTTTTTTAAATGAAAGCAAAGATTATAATTATTTAGAATTAATTATTGTTTAAACCTGTCTCTTTATCAGTATGTCCAAACCAAATTCTTTCAGGTGAAAAAAAGTTTACTTGCTCTAGTGCAGTACCCAAAAAGTTTAAAAGTTAAAAAAAAAAGTTTTCTTTTGCTTTGTGTTGTGTTTGAAATTGTAATCAAGTTATAAGTAAAGTAAAATAAAGTAAAGTAACAGAAAGAAAATTATATATAAACTCAGTTTCGTTGAAAAAAAGTATGTAATATGATCTAATGTAACAAAAAAGTTTGTTTGATGAAAATTTCGGTAAATAAAAAACAAAAAAAATGTTATAATAATAACAATAATAATAATAATAAAAAAAATATAATGTTGTGTCGAAAAAAATAGTATCAACACGTCGAGTTTTTGAGTAAAGTATAAAATAGTTAAAGTATACGAATAAATTAAGTAAAGTAAATAATTAAAAAGTAACGAGAAAAAATCAAAGTCCGGGTTTCTGATGTGTCGTAAAATATTTAAAGTGTTGCGAATAGCGCGTGTTGCGTCCTCAAGAACAAGTACTGCACGAGCATTATTCGACACAGGTAAGTTTTATTCGTCGGTTACGACGTATAGACACGTTGGTGCGATCCTTTCGTAGGTATGATCGCATAAAAATGATGATTATTTTTATTGCCATAAAAAATAATAAATATAATATTTTTTTATCAGTTCTCTATCAATTGTTATAATAAACTTTATTGTTGTAATATTCTTATTATTTGATACAATAATGTCAAGCCACACTAACTTGTTCGGTTTTAGTATACCGAGGCTTCCTTCAGCCAACGTAAATTTAATAAATTCTACTTTTTTAAAATAATTTAATATATTTTACAGGCTAAAGTAAAGTTCCAGTATGTCAGATTCTGGCTCTGAGAATTCTTCAGATGGTTATGAAGGTCATCGTGGACGAAAAACTCCACCTGGTGGTGATGATTTATCACCTGGTTATGATCATAAGTCAAGTCCGAAATCACCAATGAGTTCAGCTCCGTCTTCACCTCGTGCCAAAAGTCCATGTTCTCCACCGGCATCTCCTCTGTCGCCCCGAGAAAGGTCGCCGAAATCTCCAAGTGAACCAGCGTCGCCTCAATCATCTCCTTCTCATCAATCACCTAGATCTCCACAATCACCGCGATCTCCTCGTTCTCCAAAATCTTCTCGCTCAAGACGCAGTTCCGTTAAATCGGGTAGTTTATCGCCAAAATCTTATCATTCCGGTAATTCCATTGATTCACCAAGATCTGACCGTAGTTCACCACCTGCATCACCTGTAAAAAATTCAGATTCTTATAGAGGTACCGTCGGTCCAAGTTCTCCAAAATCACCGAGAAATGATAGAGATACTCCGAAATCATTTACGTCAGATCCGCCTTCACCACGTTCACCGAAGTCTCCTAGGAATACTGGCTCTAGAGATAGTTCACCTAAATCTTTATTATCAGGACGTAGTTCACCTAAATCACCGGTTTCTGGACAGAGCTCACCGAAATCTTCAAAGTCTGGTCGTGATTCAATGACAAACAATCGTTCACATCGAAAACGATCTCCTCATGATAAATCTAATCACAAAAGTGATTCTTACAATGATTTAGATGGAGAACAAATTTCAGATGGTGATATTGATGATGAGCCGGAGCTTAAATCAAGAGCACAACCAGTACCAATGACACATGGAGAAGATTTGTCCGATGTTTCAGATCTTGATAGCATGGACGGCGTTGAAGAGCCAGAAGAAAGTCATGATAAAAGTAATCGAGAATCGAATCATTCACGTACGGAAGAGCAGAAAGATGATAAAGATGAAAAAGTATCGGTTAATATTGCTGAAGAGAGTGAGCAGCTTGATTTCGAAGCCGAGGGACAGTGGAAAGATGATCGTGAAGATGCTGAATCTGAAGCACCGTCTAAAGAATTTAAAGATTCTAAAGATAAAGATCCTAAAGATAAAGATAAGGTAATTGAAGCTGGTGAAATAAATGATGAGAATGGTAAAGAAGACACGGAAGATGGTGAAAAAGTTGAATCTGAACTTGAAGAAGGTGAATTAAGCGATGGAGATGACGCGCGTCCGGAAGAAACAGAACCACGACCAGTATGTCGTTTTTACAATCGTGGACAATGTACATGGGGTGTAAGTTGTCGTTTTCTTCACCCTGGCGTTACTGATAAAGGTAATTACACAATGTTTGACATGGTAAGACCAATGACTTATCCACCACACCCGAGTGGGGCTCACGACTTCCGACCTCATGTTGAACGACCAAATATTCGACCGATGCCAGGTTATCCATCCGCTCATCATCCACCGAAGAGTGGTGAAGAATTTCCACCCGAGTCAGCTTGGGAACGTGGTCTTCGTCATGCTAAAGAAATGATGCGAAAAGCGAACAAACGTAAGGAAACAGATATGGACTTTGAAGAAAAGAAAATGAATCTCAGTCTCGGTCAAGAAGACGTAGATCGTGATGGAGGAGGATACTATGTAAGACCAATGAGTCCAGCTGAACCACTTGTTGAAAGATGGCCTCCACGAGAAGCTCCTCCCAGGAGAGTTCAACATCCACGTATGACTCCTGAAGTTTACGATGAGCCAGAAGGTTATTCATATCCACCCTCTGGTCCTCCTGAATACTATCGGAGAGTTCAATATAAAGTTGATCATCCACGTTCTTCGGGACCAGAGTACAGAGAACGCGTTGAACATCATCCTGTACCTCGCGGTGCTCCTCATTCTATGTCTCCGCCGCCGATGCGTGAACGAGAAAGAGAACGTGATAGAGAGCGTGATTATTATGAAAAGTATGAGAAAAAACACAAGAAACCATCTAGGGAAGTTATTGTGGAGAGAATTCCAGTTGCTAAACCTTGGCGAGAGGAAGAGCCACCACCAGCAGAGCGTGGACGCGGTGATGAATGGGCCGATCCATGGATGAGGCGTAAATCGCCTAGTGCTGTTCGTCGTAATCCATCTTCTCGTCGACCCAGAAGACAATCATACTCATCTGGATCATCATATTCAAGCACAAGGTAAGATATTTAATTTCAAATTTTGTACATGGCGTTATTCTAGTCACATTTATCATTTTTTTTTCTATTCCATTAAAAATAAATTAATTTTTGATAAGAAAAAAAAAAAGTTGAAGAATAATTAACATATTTCATTAAAAAGTTCAAAAAAATTTTCAAGTACATCTACTGTTTGTAAAGAAAAGCTCGTTGATCAAAAACAGTTTGAAATTTAAAAATTGAGTATCACTTTTGTCACTTCCTTTTATAAATTAAAAATCTATTATTTATCGTGAAGTAGAAATAAAATGCAACTGACTAATGTTTATAGCTCCAGTCGTAGTTCAAGCCGCAGTAGCTATTCCTCTTATGACTCTTTGTCCAGGTCCCGTTCCCCATCTCCCTCAGTCCGATCTAGAACCCATACCAAAGGAAAATATCCTCCATCTTCACCTCCTGCCGCAAATCCCTTACCAACGTCACAATCACGCGGTGCAATGCTGATGAATCCACCTGCGCCATCACCACGTGGTGGTCCTAAAGGTTCTATTTCACCGACTGGTACTCTTCATCGACGTGCTGGACTAAATCCACCAGCACCCAGTCCTTTAACTACAACGCGACATCATGAAAAAAGCAGAGATAAAGCTGCACTTGCTGCTGCCGCTGTTGCTAAAGTTATCAAAAGTCGTTCACGATCAAGGTTAATATTTATTACATTATTTCATTATATGATATTATTTTATTAAGTATTAAAAATTTTTGAATGTCTAACAAAGGTCTTCACACAGTAGTTCCGGATCAGAGAGCAGTGGAAGTAGCAGTGATTCAAGTGAATCAAGTTACTCATCAACATCATCAATTGAAGTTAGACGAAGAAAGGCTATTTCACCTCAAATTCGTAAAGAATCATTAAAAAATAACGAATCCATCAAAATACCTAATTCAAAACCACAACCCGTTAAACTTACTCTTAAACCACAAAATAATTTACCACCGCCGAAAAAAATTGATCGTAGCGCAACAATAGCTGGTAAAAAACGACCACTTGAGTCACCACCTGCATTAGATAATAAAGCAAGTGCTGCTGCAGCAGCCGCCAAAGCTGCAAAAAAAGCTAGTTCACGTCGTGAAGAATTACTCAAACAACTAAAGGCTGTTGAAGATGCGATTGCACGTAAACGATCTAAAGTTTGAAAATAATTTTGTTTTCTTTTTTTTTTTTTTTTTCCGACATTATATGTGTAACTCTGGCGATATTGCAGCAATTTTGTGGTTGCATTTCTTCGTTATTAAGATTATATAAGTAACAAAAAAAAAAAAATTAATCATTTACATAATTCTACTGATCATTCAATTAAACAATTATAACAGTAAAATACAAAAATAATAATCATAAAAAAGAATTATTTGTACACTTGGAGCAATTTTTTGTTTGCTTTTACGTGCTCTGTATTATTAAAATTATTAATCACAAATATTTTATATAAATATACATATAAAAACAATAGATTAGAAAATTAAATAATTTCAAACTGGAATGGATTAATTATCGAAGAAATTGTAAAAAATTATTTTTTTTTTCACTATTTTAAAACTAAATTTAGTCTATAGCTCATACAACCGTATTTTATTTTAAAAGTTTGTTCCGTAATTAAAATTTTTAAATAATTAGTTAATAAGTTAGTAAACAATTTTAATACTGTCTATGTGAAATGAACATAGTAAAAGTTCATTATGATAATGAAAAAATAGCTTTATAGATATGGTTTTTTGTTTATAAAATAAATTAAATTGAAATGGCAGTAGCACGTACTGCAGCACTTAAAAGCGGATTCGGATCAGGTTCTTCAGTCAATATTGTCACTTTAGTCCATTCACGACGTTTATTACTCTGTCTCAGAGCGTCAATAACAGCTTGAATATACAGACCATCTTCAAAAGTAGCAGCTTGAGATACTGGTTCTTTAATCCATCCTCTTTTATCTTCTACTGGTTGAAAAGCTTCACGTAGAGCTTCAATCATTTTTTTAAGTCCTTTAATATACGGCCGTGGTATTGAATCTGATACATTTGGATAACAATTTTGTAAACATTCTATATCACGATAAAGTATTTCTTCTTGGCCATTACGACAACCATAAAGGTCACCACCTCGTACAAGTAAATGACCATTTACTCCACATATTAAAACCTCTTGTGTTAATTGACCCTGAAGATGATTGCTCAGTGTTGCTGTTACTAATGTACCACCTGTTAATTCGATCTGAAAAGAACAAAAATCCGGCGAAGTAACACGACGTATACCGTTAATATTACTCGTAGTTTGTGTGAAAGTCTTAACAACAGCATGAACTCGTGATGCTTTTTGATTTAATAAATGAAATATCAAGTCTATGACATGACTACCAACAAGTGCTAGGATACCACCACCCATTGTATCATCGCAAAGCCAGTCATATGCTGTAATAAAACGTACAATAAAATTATTTTTTGATTAATTGAATAAATAACTAAATAAAAAATTTTTAATTATTGTATTTATTTATTTATTTAATAATTTACCATTGCGTAGCAGACTGCCCATTTGAACTCTAATGTCAATAACTGTGACAGGACCACCTAGATAGCCATCATCCAGGGCATCCTTCATTTTTACAAACGCTGGAAGGAACCTAAGACTATGGTTTACTATGCTGATTAATGAAGGGTAATACTGAGCAGCACGAACCATTTTTAATGCCTCACTCTGGCTCAATCCAGCAGGTTTATCACACACTACATGTTTACCAATTCCCAGTGCTTTCACTGCTATCTGTGCATGCAAACTTGGTGAACACATAATAAATATAAGATCTACATCTTTACGAAGTAAAACATCATCAATACGACTAGTATGGAATGGAATGTCAAGATCTTTAGCTACTTGTTCAGCTTCAGCAAGTGTCCGACCCCATACAGCTTCTATTTTAAAACCTTTCTCTCGTAAAAATGGTACTATCATACGAACAATACTTCCTGTACCAAATAAACCAATTCCTGGTAACATTATTAGTTTATTTTATTATTAACTTTTATTTTTTGATCATTTATCACTCAATTTTTTTTTTTTTTTTTTATTACAAAATAAATGGTTAGATTGTGTCAATGAATATATTATTAATAAATTATAAAAGTTTTAGAATACTTTTTCGATGAGATCATTTTTAACTTATATCATTATTAAATATTTCTTTAATCCAATTTTTTTTTTTTTTTTTTTTTTTTTTTTTTAGAATGTCAACAACTTTCAATAATAAATAAAATAAGTATTTATTGTATTTATGTCAAGTCAAATCTGTTTATTTGTTTGATAACTCTTTTATCGACTAGTTCTATATGATGATTATATGTAATATTAGTTGAAACTTTTCACAGCGGCGTTAAATGTAAAAGGACAAAACATTAAACGACGGCTTATCGACTGGTGTTCTTATTGGAAAAAGCTACGTTCTAAGTTTATGCTTAACAATATGTCTTTTTTCGATACCTCAGGCATCGAGCGTGTCACAACGCTGATTTTTTAATATAAATCTTTTTAAAAGTCGTACATCCGACAAAATTTATTTAAAGTAAGATGCATATTCAATTTTTTATTAATTTTTTATATTATGAGACTGTTAATTTTTGTGTGAAAACTAAAATTTTTGCGATTTTATCTTGCGAAAAGTAAATGTGTTTTAACGGGCAACCTACAAATTTTTGTTTGCATACATATTTAAAATAATTTTCATAGTTTATCTTATTTTTAAATAATTATTTTGAATTTTAATGTGTGTCTGGCATTTGTTTAAATTTTACATGTTTCATTAAAATATAATTGTCAGTGGATTGTTAACAAACTAACCTTTTACATCAATTGATATCATGTTGAACTTGCGTCAATAAATATATGTGTTTTACACGTGTTTACCCCAAAAGTTAATAGTCTATTAGTATAAAAGTAATTATAAGACTAAAAATTGTAAACATCCGTATATTTGTCACTCATAAGTAGATAAACAAAATGTTGATACAGTGCAAGAGAATTTAAAAATTTTTGAGTCCAAATTTTTTTAACAATTACTTTTATTGAAAACAAATTCTTGGATGTCTGTAATTTAGTGTTACATATTAAGATCAATTAATTAATTTATATATTTTGCTTTCTAGATGTTGATGCCCAAGAAGAATCGCAATGCAATTTACGAACACCTCTTCAAAGAGGGAGTTATGGTTGCAAAAAAGGATTACCATGCACCTAAACACCCGGAATTAGAGACTATTCCCAATCTTGAAGTCATCAAGGCTATGCAGGTAAACAAATGAAATATTAATATCTAATTAGAAGCAAGCACTGTAAGAATGTTACTCGTTAATCATCTCCATTAATTATGATACTAAAATTAGTAGTAGACAATTTTTTTATTTTTCTTGAAAAATAAACCAGGTCTAAAAAATGACCTTTTAAAAATAATTTTTCAGAAATTTTATTAATAAATTTTTCTTGCTCTAATTTATTTGTTAAAGAAATTTTGAAAATCATCTGATGTCTCTCAATTTCAGTATCATCCTTTAACTATCTATACGGTTCAAAAATCAATTTAAGTAAATAATTTTAATTTAATTTTTTATTTTAAATTTAAATTTAATAATCTAGCCGATAATTACTGTAAAGATTAAATATATATCTTTACCATTAAGTCAAAAATTATTTATAATTAAAATTTTAAATCTAATGTTGATAATTTTTTTCTTTTATTATTACAGTCTTTGAAATCAAGAGGATACGTAAAGGAACAATTCGCATGGAGGCACTTCTACTGGTACCTCACCAATGAAGGTATTGAATTCCTCCGTGGATACCTCCACTTACCCCCTGAAATTGTTCCATCTACATTGAAAAGACAACCTCGTCCTGAGACATCTCGCCCACGTCCCGCTGCTTCAAAGAGCGAGTCCTCAAGACCAGCTGAAGACCGTGCCGGATACAGACGTGGACCAGGTGGTCCTCCAGCTTCTGGTGACAAGAAGGCTGATATTGGTCCTGGTACAGCTGATCTTGAGTTCCGTGGTGGATTCGGTCGTGGCAAAGCTCCTCAATAAATAATTTGTAATAAAATTGAAAATAAAATATCTTATTGAAAATTTCGTATTTTTTAATTTAGCTTAATAGTTTGATAAGTTAGTAATTATTAGTCATTAGTTTAATTATTTTTAAATAATTACTATAGTCAAACAACTACTTGGTAATTGTGTTTTGGAGCGCAAGTTTTTCTTCTAAAGTTGGCAGTCAAAATATTTCTATTCACTTCTAGCAGTTGGTAGTCAGCTGTCAACAACAGAAAATGTCGTTTATTTAAATTTAAAGAGCTATTTATTTTATTTATTTGTAAATTGACATTTATTTTTATTTTTATTAATAAGAAAGTAATATTTAATAATGAAACAATCAAATTAAAAATATATTTATCAAAATCATTAAATAGAAATGTACATAAAACAACTTCTTATAAAATTTTCTAACCAAAGAAACGTAAGTTTATTTTTATCTTATCTAATGAATCATACATATAATTATGAGAAATAAAAATTATCAATTATCAAAGTATATTTTAACTATAAACTAAATTATATTATTTTTCTTTTAATTTTTTAGATTGAAGTTATAACAAGTATTAGATCCATTATAAATATTTTCGGAGTAACATTATATATATAAATGGTTGGTTCATAGGTGACAAGTGTTGATCAACAATAAAATACAAAAAATATATAAATACGTATTTGTCAAAATGCAGTCGATGGGTGACAGGACTCTAGCTGGTTTTTTGAGTGCAGATTTATCAAGTTTTAGTAATGTACAATCGAAAAAACAATTTAAAAAATCTTTTAGTGACATGACAAATAACTCGACTCACTCAAAAAATAATTCGACCAGCAAAAAAGAAGATGAAACTGACCTAGCGCAATATTTTAAAGACAGTATTATATCATTTCCAAGAAATGTAACAAGTCCAAAAAAATCAAATAGTCCACGAAAACCTGGTACTCCGAAAAAGTTAAACAGTCCAAGAAAGCCTAGAAGCCCGAAGAAAAATAATACGCAAAAGCCAGCTCTTGATATAATTATCGAAACCGTAAAACCAAATCGTGTTAAAGAAAATAATAACTCGGAAATTTTACACTCAACAGGTTCAAAATTTTTTACCGAAACTGAAACTCCAGATGGATTGGAAGAAAAAAATGAACCAGATTGTCTAAATGTGAGAGAAGATTTAATTGAACCAGAACCTTTAAAAGATCAAGATGATTCGGATACTGATGACATATTTAACATGAGTTTGGAACTTACAAGATCAAGAGGAGTTGGTAACTCGAGAAGCCAAAAAATGTTCCGTAAAGCTAATCAATTAATTTTAAATGATAATGAAAAACCAAAGAATGACGTTCAAGTCTCACTTTTACAACGGTTAAGTAATCAATTAAGTCAAGATCATATAGATGCAAAAATAAGCCCGTCAAGCAGTCAAGTATCAGTTAGAAGTAATGATAATAGTGATATAAAATCTTTGATAAAATCACCGTCAATTATTTCGAGCCAAGATCGTTTGAAATTAGTTTACTGGGGTTTACCATCAACTATTTTACGACAATATGAATCTCGTGGAGTAGTAAGTATGTTCCCTTGGCAACTCGAATGTCTAAGTAATTCTGATACTATAGAAAGATACAAGAATCTTGTTTATTCAGCACCAACGTCAGCCGGAAAAACTTTAGTATCAGAAATATTGTTGATAAAAAATATTTTTGAACGTCGTAAAAAAGTTATTTTTGTTCTACCTTTTGTTTCAGTGGTACGAGAAAAAATGTACTACTTTCAAGAACTTTTATCAGAAACTAGTATTAAAGTTCAAGGTTTTATGGGAGGTGTCCATCCACATGGAGGTTTTGCTGCAACTGATTTAGCAATTGCGACTATTGAAAAAGCCAATTCTTTGATAAATCAGCTTATGGAAGAAAAAAAATTAGAAACTCTTGGTGCAGTTGTAATTGATGAGTTACATCTACTTGGTGATCCTCACCGAGGTTATTTATTGGAGTTATTATTGACCAAGTTAAAATATATGATCTTAAAAGAAGAGCATGTTCAGATCCAACTGATAGGAATGTCTGCAACACTTCCAAATCTTAGTTTGTTAGCAAACTGGCTGGACGCTGAGCTTTATAACACCGATTACCGACCAGTGCCACTGAAAGAACTTTGTAAAGTCGGTACTAAAATTTATGACAATCAATTGAATATTTTAAGAGAATTAAATCCATATTCAGAACTTCCTAATGATCCAGATAATATTATACAATTATGTTTAGAAACTGTTTTAGATAGCCACAGTATATTGATTTTTTGTCCATCAAAAAACTGGTGTGAAAGTTTAGCAAATCAAATTGCCGCTGCATTTTACAAAGTAGGAAGTGAGAAATCCGAATTAGCTGGTAATTTACGTGAACAATTAAGTAGAGATGCAATTATAGAGATACTTGAACAACTTAAACGTACTCCAGTTGGTTTGGATAAAGTTTTGAAACATACAGTGTCATATGGAGTAGCATTTCATCATGCAGGGTTGACGATGGACGAACGTGATGTGATTGAAGGTGCTTTTCGTACAGGAGCTCTGCGAGTCCTGACAGCAACGTCTACATTAAGCAGCGGAGTTAATTTACCAGCAAGAAGAGTAATTATTCGTACTCCGATGTTTCACGGTAAAGTTATTGATACTCTGACTTATAAACAAATGATCGGTAGAGCTGGACGAATGGGTAAAGACACTGCCGGTGAAAGTATTTTAGTTTGTAAACCAATTGAACGGAATACGGTGTCAAATCTTCTAAAATCTGACTTAAAACCTATTGAATCATGTTTAGAAGGCTCTAGATTATTAGTTCGTGCTCTACTTGAAGCAGTGGCCAGTGAAGTTGCCTATACAATTACTGACATTGAAGCCTACATGGGTTGTACACTTTTAAAATTTACAAATGATACGAGTCTAGTGGAAGAAATGACCAAAGAAGCTATTGATTTTTTAGTTAGTAATGAATTATTACTGATACAACAATCTGATGGAGTACGTAGATGGGTGGCTACTCCACTGGGAAAAGCTTGCTTAGCAGCTTCAGTACCACCAACAGAAGGATTATTTTTATTTGAAGAACTTCAAAAAGCTCGAAGATGTTTTGTACTGGATACAGAACTCCATGTGATTTATCTAGTGACCCCATTTAATTCATCTAATCTAATCGGCCAAATAGATTGGTATACGTATCTAGAATTATGGAAAAATATTTCAGAGAGTGAGAGACGTGTTGGACAGCTTGTTGGAGTAAGTGAAGCCTATTTATTGTCAGCTGTAAAATGTCAACCGAAACAAACCAAGACATTGGACATTCACAAACGTTTTTTCACAGCTTTGGCACTTCATGATCTTGTCAGAGAAGTGCCTTTACATGTTGTTTGCAGAAAGTACGATTGTGTCCGAGGTGTTATTCAAAATCTTCAACAGTCATCTTCAACTTTTGCAGGAATGGTCTCGCAGTTTTGTAAAAAGCTCGGGTGGAATTGTATTGAATTGTTGGTCTCACAATTTCAAACACGTCTACAGTTTGGAGTTTGTCGAGAATTATTGGATCTTTTGCGACTACCAATGTTAAATGGATTGAGAGCAAGAAGTCTTTTTAAAGAAGGTATTACTACAGTAGCAGAGCTTGCTAGTGCTGATGCAATGGATGTTGAGCGTGCATTGTACAAAGCGTTACCATTTGAGAGCGAGAAAGAACAATGTGGCGAGCATGAAACTGAAGCTGCAAGAAGAAGGGAAATGAGAACTGTTTTCGTCACTGGTAAAGATGGACTTACGCCATGTCAAGCTGCTATTATGCTGGTTAAGGAAGCCAGAGCTTTGGTAGAGGCTGAATTAGGATTAGAACAAGTAGAGTGGAATAAAAAGGATCGGTCGAGAAGAGCAACTGGATCTGATTTATCAAAAACATTATTAGAAGCATCTCAAGTCAGCAAATTATCAGAGCCTGTCACTTTGTCTCGAGGTAATTCTGAACTCAGTAGTGGCAGCAATGTTTCAGAAAATGCTTTGATACCTTGTGCACAACCCGAAATTCAATCACAAGTAATGAATCCAAATATTGCTCAGGAGGAAGATCAAGAAAATAGTATTGAAGACGACTTTGTGTTACAAATTAACACTCCAGATGTTATTGAAGATATAACCGACGATGAAGAAAACAATTTTGATCAACAAATTAGTCAAGAAAAAACACAAGAATCTGTTCCAGAAGATGTTATAGAATCAGTTACAACTCCCAGTTCCTTGGTAACTTCAACTTCAAATCGACGACATTCATATTCACAGAGTCCTAGTTTATTTGGCGATAGTCTAATCTTAGATACACAAGAATGCAATCTTTTAGATCAAAATATTGTCGATTTAGATAATGTTGTGTTTGATGATACAAATTTTTCTGTTGATCAAGCCTCCAAAGGACAAAAAACAGAAGCAAGTACAAGCAAAATCAAATTAAATAAGTCTGAAGAGCTACGGAATGCAGAAGGATCTCAAGTAACTTATAAGTCATTAATATGGAATGAAGATACTTGGAACTCTACGAGAATTTCTTATGATGCTAATAAACGTCTGCAAAATCAATTAGATTTGTCAAAAACCTGTAGAGAATCAGCGGTACAAATTTTGAGACAAAAAAAATCAAGAGACTGCAATGAAAATCGTACTCCGAAGAGGAAACGGTCTACTGATTTAGATAAATTACATATAGCTGCTAAACGAAAGTACAATTCTCCTACTGCTGAAAAATCACCGATAGCTAGTTTAATTACTTATGAAACTAACCGAAGACGATCAACGGGTTCAAATAAATCTGAAGATGACATTATTAGTCCTTCACAAACTAAGGAGTCTTTTGGGATGAATAAAAAAAATCACTCAAAAATAAAAATAATGTCCTTGAGAAATCGTACTCAAAAAAATATTCAGGTAATTGAAACTTCTAATATTAATTTGCGATCAAAAAACCAAGCTGATATAAATTTAATACCGACTACATCTAAATCTAATCAAATTCAAGCAGAAGTTCAAGTTCATAATGCGGCTGATTCTGAGGATGATGACATGTTTTTGTGCGATGATTCACCTTGCGTTGCTCCAATTGTAAAGAAAAATATTCCAACAGAAACTACTTACTTAGTTGCTGAAAAATCAATTCCATCTTCAGTGCTAAAAAGCAAAAGTGAAAAAAATTTTGATAAAAGATCGCTGTTAAAAGAATTATCAATTGTAAATATATCTGATAAGGTAAAATTTAGTGAATTTAAAAGTGAAATTGATAACAAGGAAGAAATCGCGCTGGCGCTAGCATGTGAAATATTTTCCCATAATAATGTGGGTATTGGAACTAAAATAATAAATTATCAAGCTTATCAAGATTCTAAAAAAAGAATAGAATATACTGATGGAGTTAGTGACAATAGAAAACTTTGTGGAGTAGCAATTACTTGGGGTGGGCATATTTACTATCTTCCTTTTGAAAATGTTCGTGAAACTAATTGTATATCAGTGAAAGAACGTATGTCATTGTTATCAAAAATATTATCAACAAGTAAATTAACTGTAAAATGCTTCAATCTCAAAGAATCTTACAAAATGCTGTACAAATGCTGTGGAGTAACACCTTCATGTAAATTTATTGATATAATTACCTCAAATTGGTTGTTAAATTCTCACATCACTTATAATAATTTTGAGGAATTAGCTAAAGAACATTTACCTGAAAGTAAAATCCATTTAAATAACATCAAGCGTACTCCAAATAATACTGGACCGGGGCTGAATGTCAGAAGCGAAGTACCAAGTAAAATAAGAGCTGGTACTGAGGCTTTGCTGAGCTGGTTTCTTTTAGATGGTTTTCAAGACAAATTGATAACGCAAGACCCTGTTTTACTAAATACCTTCAAGGAAATAGAGATGGGAACAATACAACTGCTGGCTCGTATGGAATTAACAGGAATGGGAATAAATCATCAGTCTCTAGAAGGATTATCAAAAGCTATTATTGATGAAATGTCACAGCTTCAAGGTCAAATCTATCGATCAATTGGAAAAAGTTTTAATTTTTTATCCTCTCGAGTTGTTTCAGAAGCTCTTGGCTTGAATAAAGGCAAAAAAGCTTGTGCTAATAAAGCAGTCCTCGAGCAATGCAATCATCCAGTAGCTAAGATGATTATTTATTGGCGAAAGTTAAATACCATTCATGTAAGAAATATTTGTCCTTTGCTACAACATGCCGAAGGATCCAACAGGATACATGGAAACTGTTACACCACAACAGAGACAGGCCGAATTTCTATGCATGAACCGAATCTTCAAAATGTTCCTCGTGACTTCAATGCACCTGATAACAGTAAACTTTTCAGTATCCGTACTGCTTTTATTCCAGCGTTGGGAAACATTTTGCTGTCTAGTGATTACTGTCAATTGGAATTACGAATATTGGCACATTTTTCCCAGGAGCCAAAACTCTGTAGCGTCTTGAAGAAGCCCGGAGATGTATTTAAGAATATTGCAGCACGTTGGTACAATACAACTGAATCAAGAGTTGATGATACAATGAGGCAGAGAGCTAAACAATTGTGCTACGGAATGATTTATGGAATGGGAATAAAAACACTAGCTGAAACGCTTCAAGTAAACGAGACCGAAGCTCGAGAATTCTTAGAGACTTTTATGGGTGCTTATCCTGGAATTAAAAAATGGCTAGTTGAAGCTCTTGAAGAAGCTAAGAAACAAGGATACGTTACGACACTACTGAAACGCCGAAGATTATTGCCAGATTTGAACAACGAGTCATCAGCGCTGAGAGCTAAAGCTGAGAGACAAGCTATTAATACGAAAATTCAGGGTTCTGCAGCGGATATTGCCAAAAAAGCGATGATTCTTATTGATGAAAGGTTAAAAAAAGAATTTCCTGATATGTTGATGGTTTTTTCTGGAACAGATGCTAAGAGAAAACTCAGACGTAGTAGAGACACTTCACCAAGAGGCGCTTATTTAGTTCTTCAACTTCACGATGAGTTAATTTATGAAGTTAATGCGGGCGATCTTGAAAAAGTAACGATAATTATCAAAGAGTCTATGGAGCATGCTTGTTCATTATCTGTACCCTTGCCCGTTAAAGTTAAAGTTGGATCTGCTTGGGGTGAATTGAAAGAATACGAGTTTGAAACTTGTTAATTATTACTCACATATTTTTTTTAAATTTGTATTTTAATGAACTTGTACATATTAAATCGTGTATTGTTAATTACTGTCGTTGTTTCTTTTTTTTTGTTGTAAGTATTTTTTTCTGTGATTTAAAATCAATTTTATACATATTGATATTTTCAACAATTAATCAAAATTTAAATCATGATAATATAAATTTATAGATAATATTATAAGATTTTTTTCATGTACCTTTGTTGTTTTAATTATTTATGTAAATAAAATAACTTGTAAAAATTATTTTTTGTTTTTGCGTTATTATGATTTTTATTAATTTTCCATACAATTACACTGAAAAAAAAAAAAAAAAATTAACTTGATTTAAGAAAAAAATTCTTGAACCAAGAAAATAATTTTAGAGAGTTTTATTGTCTTGAATCAAGACGAAAAATTCTTGAATTAAGTAAAATTTACTTAAACCAATATTATTTACTTGATTCAAGTAATAATTTTTAATTTTTTTTTTTTTTTTTTTGTGTAATATTATTTTATGCTATGTATTTTTTATTACATCATTAGTTAAAAATAAAATTAATTTGGTATTGAAAAATTTTATACCTTATTATCATCTGGAAGATTGCGTTGTCATCATTATCTTCATCAATTTCGTAGTTAAGTTATTATTTAAAACCTATAATTAAAATTAAAACAATAGAATAGAATGACAACTGTTTACAAAAAATTCATTTTATTTTATAAAATTATTATACATAATTATCTTTTTAAGAAAAATAAATAATAACACAATCATAAAGATTCGCATGGCGGCGCCAGAGATTGGTGAAGTTTAGTGACCGCAGTCTGAACGATTTGTTGGAAAGTTTCATCCTCGGGACATGAAACATTAAGGTTTCCAAGATCTATATGAGCTTTCTTACTGTTAACAGTGACGTACAATTTTTCCCCGCGGAAAATTTTAGGTACCGAATCTTCACCAAACATTTCTTGCAACATTTCTATTAGACACTCTTTGAAATGCATGCGATCCATTTTGGTTGGCGCAGATAGTGTTTTAGGTGGTGCATCAATCATTTCAGATTGAAGAAGTGCTGTGAGGACAGAGTCAGCATACATATCATTAACAGGACTAGCAATCCATTCCATCGTTACTATTTTACCTTCAACAATAACTTCTACACATTTGAATACTCGCATTTTCTTATCATCAATAATATCTATATTTCCAGCTATCTGAGTAAGAAGATGCCTAAGAACAGGTAATGAAGCGCTGAAATAAATACTTTGCCGTTGAATAACTTGACTCATACTCATATCCGTGTACTTTGAAAGATCTGATGGTGCCAATAGATGATAGTTGAAATTCCTCTTTACTAAAATACCTGATAAAATTTCCTTTGGTTTTGGAGTATCCATAGCAAGAGTTCCCATAACTTTAGCCGTCTTCTCACCACGGAAATTAAGTTCCACAGCTACTGTATTGCGTGGATTGTGTATTTCCATTGAAGTAGTAGGATCATCCTCATATTCACGTTGCAAAGCTGATTTAAGACGACTCATTTCATTTTGTTCACCGTGTACCAATATTACATGAGGTGGTTTTAAATGTCTAATAAATTCAGATGTTTGTTTATAATCAGTGTGAGCTGAAAATGAAATATAATCTACAGACATTTTTAGTGGCAACTTTTGTCCACTCATTGTTGTTATCTCCTCGGGTTCTGACAGTATTGTTTTGGCTAATGTACCCTCGACACAGTACCCGGCAATGATAACTCCATTTTTAGGATCTGTACACCAAGACTCAAACAGCTCGCGTGATAAACCGCTTTGCATCATACCCGGCGATGCCATGACTACACAAGGTCCAATGTCATCAAAATGATCAATTCCTTTAAGATTGGAAATATGTTTGAATACAAATGGATTATTGATAGCTATTTGGCGACGAATTTTGTCATTCATGGCATTTATATAAGTTTGATAGACTGCCATACATTTTTTGGCAAGTGATGATGCGTAGTAAATAGGTATTTCATGTAGCTCTGTATGTTGACTCCAGTACTCGTCTAAAATTAATAACAATTCTTGAGCTCGCCCGAGAGCAAATACAGGAATCAGACATCTACCACCTCGATTAACAATTTCATGAACTAAATTAGTAAATCTGCTTTCACGATCTTCTCGTTTTTCATGTATATGTGTACCGTACGTTGATTCAGTTATCAAAACATCTGGACGAACATTAGGAATCTCAGCAGCCATTAAATGTCGGTCTTCTTGTCGACTGAAATCTCCTGTGTAGAGTGTTTTAACACCCGCTATTTCAATCATAAACATTGCAGCACCCAACACATGACCTGCATTGTAAGCCCAAAATTTAATACCAAACACGTCTTTTTCTTCGTGAAAATTAATCGTTTCTATTTTATCCATACTCGCTTCTAAGTCCGATTCGGTGTACAGCATTTGTTCAGTAGCAATATTGCTTACTTTTATGTAATCTGATAATAACCATCGATAAATAGCTTTTGTGGCGTGTGTCATAAAGCAACGTCCTTTGAAACTGGTTTTCTGTAAGAACCAAGGTAGAGCACCACAGTGATCCAAATGAAAGTGTGATATTAGCAATAAGTCTATTTCATCAGCTTCAACTAAATCAACAAATGGTAGAGCGTCCATTCCTGATAGTCCCGGGTGAATCCCACAGTCGAGCATTATTTTTTTCCCTTTGAATTCCAGCATGATGCACGATCTTCCAACTTCTTGACCAGCCCCCAAAGGTTTTATTGATAGTAAATCACTTTCTTCTGCTGGGACTAGAGTGTCCGCTGCTTTTCGTTTTGATGCCATCTTATAACAATATTTAAAATATTGTTACTAACCTGAAAATAAAATTTTATTATTATCAGCTGATTCGAACAAATAAACTACATCAACTATGAATTAGTAATTTTATGCAGGTGCTAATCTATTAGTTAAGACAATGTGAGTAGAAGATGTAAAAAAATTTAGTTTATTTGCAAAAAAAAAAAATTAAATAATAAAAAATATATTTTTAATTTATCTTAGAGTTGCAAGAATTTTTATGTACATATTATTTAATAAGTTTTTTTTACCTGTTTCTTTTTTTTTTTATCGAAATTGTTTAGTTAATTTTTTTGAACTTGTATAAGTAATTTTTATAAAATTATTAATTATTTTTTACACAATACATACCCTCACGTGTTGTGTTTTGTGGTGTTGTTTTCTGTCTTTTGGAGAGTATATAACAATTTACATACACTATATACCCCCACTATCGACGTATCACTGAACTATAATTACAGCTAACTTCAAGACTACTACCGGCGTTTGTAGTTTGTAATTGTAAACAAATATTTTAACCGTTAACTTGTTAAGAAAAAATTTTATTTATAATTTAATGACATAACTGTAAATACTTTTATCTAAATGAATAAACAGCTCATTAATTAAATTAATAACCATTCAGAAAAATAAAAAATAAAGATTATTTTGTCGTTATAAACATTTTTTATAAAATAATTTAAAGTAGAATGACTTTTTATAGACCTGGAGGTTTATCGGATTATTCTGATGAAGAATTCTCTGATGAGGAAGATTATACTATAAGTAGAAATAACGTACGTAATTAAAATATATTTTTTTCTAAATAAAATTTCAAAACGTGTATTACATTAATTATTTTTTTCAGAATGGTAATTTCAATGGAAGTAATCAAAAAGATGCAGAACTTAATGATTTCCAAGATCAACAATTTAGAGTACTCAATGCTTGTATGACGGGTGACATTGCTATTATTGATGAGTACATAAATGGTAAATAAATTTAATGCAATTTTTAATAAATAAAACAAAATCCCGGAAATTTATTTGTTATATTAAAAAAAAAAAAAATTTCCACTTGTAATACTTTTAAATTTCTAGATGTAAAATTTTTTTCATGATAGTTTGTTTAATAGTTATAAAAATCCAAAAAATTGACAGATGTCTGTCAATTTCAGTATTATTAATCTGTAATTTAATGATAAAACAAAATGTATCCATTATTTATTTTTCAGATGGAAATGATGTTAATGAATTTTTATTCAGTGGATGGAGTCTGCTACTTTATGCTTCTTCGTCAGTACTACCAGAAGTTATAGAGCATTTATTAAAACTTGGAGCTGATGCAAATCTGCACAAAGGTATTTGAATCGTTGAGAGTTATTGACCTATTATCTATAATCAAAAATGTTTTTATTATTTTCAGATGGATACACCCCGCTGATGGCAGTATGTGACTCAACAAAAGGAACCACTGAGCAAACTTTGAAGTGTATTGAAATTTTATTAAATGCAAAAGCTAATCCTGATGCTGTTAGTAAAGATTTGTAAGTTTAAAATTGTTAATATATATATTTATTAAATAATACAAGTTAAATTGTTAAACATATTGTTAACAGACAAACACCATTGATGCTCGCTTGCAAATCCAAAGAACCTGAAGTGATTACATTTCTTCTGAATCATGTTAAAAATATTGAGATGTGTGATAAAGATGGGCGAACGGTAATAATACTAGATTAATTTGTGCATAAAAAAATAATCGACTCTATTATTTAAATTAATTGATTTTCAGGCTGTATTTTATGCAGTTTGTGCCAATAAGCCGGAAGTTTTGAAAATACTGATGAAAGCCAAAGCTTCTGTAGTATTAGTGGACAGACGTAATTTAACACTTAGAGACATTGCTGTTACCAAAAATTACGATGAGGTAATTTTATATTTTGATTTTATTTTTATAAAAAAATTAATTTTTATTTTTAAATAATTTTTTTTTTTTTGTAGATTAAACAGATTTTAGATTTCGAAGATGATGAGATTGATAATTATTGTTCAGTAACAAAGATAGTAGATTGGAAAGATGCAATTACAAATATTACTAATCCAGATCCTGAGTGTGTAGATCCAGATATTGCAAATATTTTATACTCATTAAATTTAGAAAAATACCGGCAGTCTTTCAAAGGAATGAGTGTTAAAAAATTTTTGCAACTAACTGAAAATGATCTTATTGAATTAGGAATGGACATTCAGTATCACAGAAAACAATTTATGAATGGATTATTTAAGTTTCATTCTTCCAAGTGGAAATTTTCGAATACCGTTAGAGTTATTAAAAAATCTTCCGAAGTTTCGTAAGTACACTATCTTTTAAAAATTATTAATTTATTAAATAAATTACTTGGTAATAATTAACTATAAATAATATAATTTAGATTATTCGATGGAGTTATATCTTTAGGAAGTGTTGCTCGACAACTTAATGTCATCGGATCATGTTTTTGTTACATGAGGAATAATTTCTTTGAAGGAACAAATAAAATTATTCTTACAAATAAAAAACTTTGTTTAAAAGAACTCAAGGAGACTGAACTTAAGTTGAGTTTGATTAAAAAAGACTTTGATCAAATATTAGAATTTGTTGAAAAGGTAGGAAATTATTATTTTTTTCTTTAACATTATTTACTCGAATAGCTCAAGATTAGACCTAGCAATCAATGAATATTGTTTATATTATATTTAGTTTGAAAAAAAGAATCGCGGAAATCCACCAGCAGCTTATATTGGAGCAAATGAATTCAAGAATAAAACATCATGGACGATTTTATTTACTGTTTCTATAGTAACTGGTATATTTATCACTAAGACTTTTTTTGTTAAAAAATTGATAAATTAATCATAGTATTCTCTATTCATTATATTTCATTCTATTAGCCAAAAAAAAAAAAAAAAAAAAAGTATTATTACTCCTTAATAATTTATTATCTAAAGATTGATAAAAAATCTCAGGTATAAAAAGTCTTTAAGAACTTGGATAATCATAGTATTTATTTTTTCAATAGCCCTAAGTATGAATTTTGGGATTAAAAAATTTTTATTGTTTTGTTCAGTAGATTTGTAGTTAATCTTTATATGTATCCAATCCAATTGTTCTTTAGCTAATTATTCAACTACTTATAAAAATAAAAAAAAAAAAAATGAAATTTTTAAATATATATATAGCTAAAAATGTATTTCAATCACAGTTATATTAGATCTAATACTTAATAACTATTTTGTAAAATTAATTATAATTCTTCAATAAAATGGTACATAAAATCTATTATTTACAAAAAATTTAATTCATCATTTATTGTCACTTAAGCTTACAAGCTTCATCATTAAAGGAAATAGTGGATGAAACGACGGAAGATTACGTTGTCTTATCGTTAATTCATAGCGTTGTAAAGTCCCGGAACATAATGTTAACCGATCTTTTTCACTTGGATTATTGTCCAACCATTGAGACAACCGACTTATTGACCATCCAGCGCTCTAAAATTTAGATTTAAATATTGAAACATTTAAAAAATCATAACATATTTATGACACAGAAAAAAAATTATTACTTGATGTGGAGATTGTAACTCGGGTGGAGCACCGGAAAAAAGATGAAGAAGAACAAGCGAAGGTGGCACACTACCTTCCCCTTTCATCTCCAATACTTTCTCAACCATTTTTGCCGGTCCTAGTGCAATCAGAGATTTAAGCGCTCTCAATGTACGGTATTGCTGCTGTTCCAACATTCCTAATTGACCTCCTCGACATAGTGGAGCTACGGCAACCTCCATCTGATTATAAAAAAAAATATTTATTCATACTTGAATTTAAAACTCATAAAATTAAATACAAAAGATTCAATTGAGACCTGAGAAAAATCATTGATCAATTTAGCTTTGCCATACTCGCTAAGAGGTCGTATCAAACAAGCATGACGAACAAAAAATTCTATACATCTCGATGCAACAGAATTACAACTGAAATATTAAATTATTAATTATTTTACATTTTTATAAATATTATTTATTAAATGATTGATCAACTCACCATTCTATTACAACCGTTTGATTTTTATAAGGTGCAAGGAACGTACTAACAGTTCGCATGATGAATCCTTGTAGTTCTTTTATGTAAAGTGAACATCCAATTTCACGATTCTGAATACTACTTGGACTGAAGAAGAAAAGTTAAATAAATAAATTAACTGAATAGTTATTATATAAAATCATGATAAACATAAAACATACTCTCGAAATTCCGGATCATCATGCATTGTCAAAATAATGCTTTCGATAGCATCAGTAATAGAAGCTATAAGTGGAGAAAGTATATTTTTTGTCAGTTTATTCGTATCCTCAAGAGCAGTAGCAATAATAGCAGCACCTTCTTGTGGTAAACTACCCGCTAAATTACCGACAACACGGTTCATTTGCATAGCAAGATAATATAATAAATTAGCAAATGTAATATTAGTCAACTGTCCAGATGTAGGTGTGTCGATAACTTGACTAGCTTCACCGCTAGTTATTAAACCTTGCTCACATTTCAAGCAAAATAATCTAATAGATTTTCCCACATTACGTGCAACAACTGTTGAAAGATTTTCATCAACTAATGATACACTTAATTCACTGGTAACAGTTCTTATTAAACTATCAATTTCGTCTTGACTCGGTGCAGCATCACCCGAAAACATAGTATGAACTGGATCCAACAATCGTGAAATAGAACGTGACAAATATGCATTTTCAAATGCCAACAAAATATCTTTACTTATTGTATAGGTGCCAATTAATTGTGATTTTTCTTTTAAACGTTTTCTCAAGTCCAAAAATACACGTAAAAATTTTGGATATTCTCCTTCTAATGCTTGTTTTATAAAAGAAGATGCCTGAGAACGTTCAATAAATATTTTTGCCAATAAATTTATTATTTTATTCCAAAATGATTGGGATAAACCTTCGAATTCTTTAGTAAAATGCTCTAATAATATTCTTTCAAGAAATTCAATTTGTACGCAATGTGTGTACAACGTATCTTGAAGTAAACGATCTAAATTTTCCCAAAGACGTACACGAAGATTTCCAGATGAGCCTGGAGATGGTAATGCTGCTCTACCTGGTCCAGTTCGTTTCCCTAAATCTTGGTTCGTTGGTAATGAAACATCTAAAGCTTCTCGAGCAACTTTTTCTATTTCTGATAATGCTAATTTTTCTGTCTTCTCAATGGCTTTGGACAAAATTCCTAAATTTTCAAATACTTGAAGTGCTGTGCTAACTTTGACATTGTCTGAAGCTTCTAATCCCTGTGACAATGTAATGGTTGCGATTTTTTTAACCGTTAGTTTGTGAGCCTTTACAGCTTGTTGATCATTGGCTATTAAATTTAATCCAACTAAATCATCATCAAACATCAACTGCTCGAGTTCATTGATACTTTTAGCAGCTTTTATTATTTCAGAGCTTTGTGTTGCATTACTTATTTGAGACTCTAATTTCTGTGAATGAAGTAAATGTTGAACTCTGCCAACTTTTCTCAGAAGATTCGATGCCTCATGGAGCCTTTTTAATACTGTTGTTTGCGATTCTAATTTGTTAAATGGCTCAACTATTTTAGCTCTCAATCTTTCAACTGATGACAGTAAACTCTGAAAAATATATAATGTATTAATAAATTATAAATAAAAAAATTAGATACATAAAATCATAAATTACTTGAACGTGAGTTTGCATCAATGAAAGAACACCTTCTATTTTTTCAACCCATGTTACTTGAGATAATAAATCTTCATGATTTGTAAGAACTAATTGATGTAATTCTGCATCTAGTATTTCTAAAGCTAATTTTTAAATATATATTAATATAATTATCAAATAAAATTTTAGCTGTCATCACTTTAGTAAACATAAATATAAAAATATACCTTTGCCAAATTTATTTAATTGTTGCGCAACAGTTAATAATTTTCTAGCATCACTAACTGAATTTTTTGGATCTAAAAATTGCTTCAGAAAATCTAAAATATTAAAAAATATAAAAAAAGTAAGTATTAAATAAACAAACGGAGTTATTTATTTATGTCAAGTAACTTACCATCATTTTCTATGCTTTGAAGATCTACAATTTCACCCATTGTTTTTAGTTAAATATGTGAAATATTGTTTGCAAATTTTCAATTATTTTTATTGATAATTGTTTATCACAAAATTATATAATAAAAATTATGTTTATCAATTCCTTTACGAATCGTGGCAAGTAACCTAACTTTTAAACTACGCATGCGCAATTGATATCAATAGCGCGAAGCATATCATTCCATTTGACACTTACGAACAATAGTACTTGAGTGACTTAAAAACTGATAATTACATTACAGGGCTAAAATGAAGTTAATTATTATTGCTACTACAGGGAATAAAATTGATTCGATTATTTTTTCTTGATTCATTTTTTTAGTTTTAATTTTTAACATAGACATTATAAATCAAATACTTTTATCAACTTAATTCAGGGAGGAGAAAAATTTACACTAAACCTCCATAAAATTCATAAATTTAAAAATTAATGATCTGATTTATTTTTTAAAATAAAAAATAATTTATAAAAACAATTTTTAAAAATTTTCACTTATAATTTTTTTTAATTTCTAGATGTGGAATTTTTTTATAATGGATTTGGAATAAAAATAAAAAAAATTGTCAGGTGTCTGCCGATTTCAGTATCATTGAGCTCCACGTTTACACTATTAATTACATAAATAAAGAGGATAAAATAATTGTTGAAAAAAAAAATGAAACAATTTTTAAAAAGTACCTCAATACATAACGTTTATTAAGGTGTACACATGTTGACTTAAATGTATTATTTTTTTTTTTTTTTTAATTTCCTTAAGATTTTTAAAATTGTAATTATCCTACATTAATTTTTTATTTATTCGCAATAGTATGAATGAATATTTCATACTTTGTATTTTATTATTTTTGCCAAGTGAAACATTCTGTTTTAGTTTCATTGACCCTATTATAAAATAGCATTGATATACATATTTACAGTTTATATGTACAGTTGCTTCAATTCGTTCTATATGAAATAGACATTAATTTCATTATTTTTTACGTTGTCTCTTCATTTATTCATTTATTATGACTAATTATTTTAGTTATTTTTTTTATATCTTTTTACTAAACAAATTGCACGTTTGGACATCGATGTTGGCTTTTTAATTATGAAAATTTACGAGCAATTTATTTATAAAGATTTATTTACGACTTTTTCTTCATAATTATACGATAATTTAAGAATACATCCGACATATTAAATATTACAGACAATCAATTGTATTATTTATTTTTCATACTGCTCTCTTAACAAGTCGACTTTTTTTTCTCTACTCTTATTCTCGCTCGTTTTCTCATAAATAATCACCATCATATTAATTTACAATAGTTATACCAACAATATTTCGAATACTCGCGTGTTTTCTTCAATTAATTCTCCTTAATTATTGTTTTGGTACAGCGTTGAAGAATAATTTGCGTCTAACTATTTAAATAATAACATAAATATTAATAATAATGTGAATGATTTTTCCTGGACTCTTACTATAATTATCCAACTTTTATCATTCACAATTATTTATTCATTTTACTTTTCACAATATTTATTAATTATTATTAAATCATTATTTTGAACACTAAATAACTTAAATATTACAAAAAAAAATAATATTATGTCCAAACATAATAACAATTACAATTATTTATTTTTTTTAATATTATTGAGTTAAATTATCTATATGATCATAGTATGAATTATTTATTTAGTTTTATTTTTATTTGCAGAGAGCAGTACACAGAACCAACATCGATCAGTCTTAATATTGGAATTTACCAATAAAAATCACTTTATGCATTGCAAAATATATAAATATAGAAGAATAACAACTAAAATTATATCGCGATTGTTATCAAGTATATAATTATTATTTATTTTTGTTTTTTTTTTTTCATTTTTTTTTTTTTCATTATTTTACTGTATAAATTAGTGATAAAGTTGTTTATTCTTTCTTTTGTCATCAATAAATTGTGAATGAGCTTACATTTGTGATTCACGGCTTAATAAACATGCATTATCAATTCAATTTGGCCGTCATTGTTATTACATACTTCATTTAAATATTAATATGTGTTAAAACTTGCATTATTCTCATTCAATGTCACTTTGTAAAACAGTAAAAAAAACTCGCAATATCTGACATGTTAAGAATCCTCGCATTAGTAATAATAATAATAATAATAATAATAATAATAATAATGTATTCAATATATTTATAGTATTTATTTAATTTTTTTTTACTATATTATCTAATGATTAATTATTATTAATGCTTTTTATTTATTATTACTTGGCAAATTTATTATTTTAGTTTTCGTTTTTAATTTATTACTTTATGTTATCCCTGTACTCTCAATTCAATTACTCCAAGAGGAAAACAAACCAATTTTCACTTTGCTCCAATTTAACATACATTCTTTTTCTTACTCTCACTTTTAACATTCACTTAATTTTTTATCAATTAATATTACTAGGTATAAATATTATTTAATATCTTAAGTAAATGGTTAGGGTCATGAGTGACTGAATTTGTGAATCACAATATTTAAAGGTCATATACATATTATGAAATTAACGACGTTTGTTTAGACAATTAACGTCAAAATAATAAATTAGAGATTATCACGATAAATATTAGTTACTGAAAGAAAAAAAAAAAAGTACGAAAAAAATCAACAAATTTCAACTAATTAAAATAACATATCGTAATAACAAATAAAAATAATACGATTTCTTAAAACAAACACAGATAATTCTTTAAGAAAAAACATATATTTATAATAACTATTAAGATAAAATTGGATAAAAAAATCCACAATCACAATCACTCGTACTCAATTAAATATAAACCCACTGGGTGTGCATTGTCTACATTAAATTCAGTACACTCTAGACAGATTAGTATTTATCATTATCACACTATCCACGATTATACTCGAAATAAAATTAAAAAAAGGAAAAAAAAAAAAAAAAAAAATTAAAAATGTTGGCAATTCAATTTTCGGTATTTACAGGCTCACGAGCATGATGAATTCTTACATGCTTATTGTGATTAGACTTGGTACTGCTTGATTTGCCGCATATGTGACACGTATATGGTCGTGCACCACTATGAACACGTAAATGCTCTTTAAGATAGTATGATCGGTGGAAAGTTTTATTGCATACATCGCACGTGTATGCTTTATTTTCTTCATGTTCTTTAACATGTCTTAAACAATTGTATTTTCTTATAAATTGAGCGCCACAATAATTACACGTATATGGCCTGACATTTCTGTGAGAATTCATATGTGCCGTGTAGTCACTGTGACGATAAAACGCAGCGCTACACTGATTGCACTTAAAGGGTTTGGTGCTACGTGCTGCATGAGTCCATTTATGTAATTGTAAATTCCACTTGGTACTGAATGCTTTTGAACACACCTGACACTCGTAGGGACGTTCACCATTGTGTACACGCATATGAACTGACAGTGATGAACGTAGATATATGCACTTACATATTGGACACTCGACATTTTCATTTTCCCGTTGAGCATCTGGTACAAAACGACGATTATGAGCACGTCTCATGTGACGTGTTAAACTAGCCATGTGTATAAATCTTTCATTACAATAGGTACACGCTTTAGGTTTCTCATCGTGTGTTTCCTTGTGCCAAGCAAGCTTCTTTTTAGTATGAAATACTTCACCACAGTGACATATATAATCTTTCAACTTACGTTTTATATTTAAATGATGACGATTTTTATGTTGAGTTAAATTTGAGTATCTACGGAATGTTTCATTACAGAGGTTGCATTTAACTGGTGCATTACCTGTATGCCCATTCGTATGTTCATCTAATTTTTGTTTTGTTAAAAATGCTTTATCGCAAATAGTACATGGAAATGGTTTTATACCAAGATGACGTTTCATATGTAATTTGAAATTTTGTTTACGATAGAAATATTTACCACACTGTGAACACTCCAGCGGATGAATTTTTAAATGAGCGTTAAATAAAGCGACTGAGGGAAATTCTTCGTTGCATATTTGACACTTTGAAATATCATGAAGACGTCGTGCAACCTCTGTACCATGAACCCTTCTATTGTGCATCTGTAAACTTCGTTCAGAACTAAAACGTTGAGTACACATAGCACAGGAAATTTCTATACCTTGTGTTAAAGCTAGACTTTCAGATTTTTCATCCCCTTCAACTTTGCTTATGTCTGTTAATTGTTGTGGTGGTTGCATTTGATGTAGCAACGGCTGTTGCTGTTGATAGGCCTGTTGAACATGTAGACCAGGAACAAATATATCCTCAAAAGGATTCATGGGGCCATCGAGAAGTTTTATGTCTTTTGTTTCAGACTGTTCGTTAATACCACTGTTACTGCAACTGTTACTTGGACCAGCTTCTTTGTGTACTGTTGTACTGTGAACACGACGTTCTTTCGGGCAGTCAAAAACCTCTGTACACTGTGAGCACTTGAATGTACGTTGTTTTGTCGGTGTTTTTCTGTCTCGATCAAGAAATAAGCTTGAAGTAAAGTGGGTAGCGAGCGAACGACTGTCTAACAGTGGAACCCCGGCTTCATTATCAGATCCTTCTGACTCTTCCCAGCTTTCACGTGCCATCAAATCGTACGATGTCGACATACGGGAAGACTCTTGACCAACATACAGCTGTAAATATATATATATATATATAGAAAAAAAAAAGTAAATAAATAAACATCAATTGGCATTGTAAATATTATTATTAAAAATTTATAAACCGGTTGATTTTCTCACCTGCCAAGCCGAATGTTCTGTGCAGCCGTTGCTTTCCTGTTCAGACAGCTCTCCCCTTGGTGGCATTGTCTCGTCTGCCCGCATGTTGACACTCTTTACTTCTTCATCGATACCCGTACCACCTTCACTGCTTGCCATTGATTGTTGACTCGTTGCGCTAATTGCTTTCTGTGATGATTCACTTATAAATGTACTAGGAACGAGAATTTGAAGTCCATCAAATTCAAATACATTCATAGGACCTGAATGTGCATCTTCATTGATATTAAGAAGCTCGGTCGTTGGTATGTGATTTACTGTTTTAGTTATTGTTGACTGGAAACTCTTAGATTCAATACTTGTCGTAGGGTCAGTTGCTTGCGACAAACCACAAGTTAAATTTGATTGATGCGTTGTAATTTTATTACTACATATCGTATAATTTTCATTGGTGATTGATTGTTGCGAGTGAATTGCTGGAAATGAGCTAACGTGCTCCGTAATGACCGACTGATGAAAGATGCCATTACTATTATTCTCGGATTTCCTTGCAGTTTCAATGCCGGCACCTTGAGATTCATCACGATTTAATCTTACTGCTGCGTTGTTGTCGACTTGTAAGCAATTAGCTGAATTTTTATGTTGACTTATAACAGAGTCGTTGGTCTCTTCATCATGACTGTCAGCTTCCATTTGACCAAATGACCGGATTGATACAGGGGATGACGGCTTGCTGAGATCTCTGCGTACTCGAAGACCAGAGATACCACTGATAGCGGATAATGGCGTATGAGAACGTACATTATCTAAATCATCATCATTTTGTTTGGCAAATGGTGTATGGGGACTAGCTATTTCTTCAATCTCCATATCCTCTTCATCAAAATTATCACCTACATGTTTAGATTCTTCCTCTTCCTCCTCTTCTTCATCATCATCATCATCATCATCTTCATCCTCTTCTTCATCGTCGTCGTCTTCCTCATCTTCATCTTCATCATCAACATCAACTTGCAATGTAGATGCGTCAAAACCAGCTGGATAAAAATTAAGATTTTCATTAGAACCACATTCAGATCTCGTTGAATAAGAATGTGATATTTTTTTTGACGCTGATACTGGAGACGCAGGCGCTGATAAACTATGTTTATACCGATATGCATAGTCAAAGTCGCACTCGTCAATAATACTTGTGTCAATGCACTTTTCTGTTTCTACGCAAGCTTCGGTGTTATTAATATACTTAATGTCTTCAGGAGTAAGATGATTTTCAGATTCTTCTTCCATTTGTTCTTCATTTTGCTGTGCAGTTTTAATTATTTTTAGGTTAGATTCTTGAATGGGCTCATCATCATCATCATTTGTTTTTTCATGCGTCTCGACAAAACCTGACTCAATCATTGTAATAAGAAGATGTTCCAGATGATCTTCTTCATTTTTCTGACAAGTATCTATAATTATTGGAGTTGGAGCTGAATTAACTTGTAATTCAATAGACTCTGATGACTTCAATTTTTCTGAGCTCAATGATTCCTGAGACTCCAATTTATCTTGATCTTCTGTAAGGTGATTTAATCGCGTATCAGTATTACTATTTTCATTGTCAGCTTGACTATTGTATGTAGATGAAAATCTCTGATGTCGATCTTGATTATGATGTTGTCGTTGTTGTTGTTGTTGTTGCTCATTTCTACATTGAATATCAGCATCAATATCGAGCTCAGGTTCCTCCATATCTGGAAGAATACTCTCGGACTTATCTTCTTCAGAAGCTGGTGATTCACAGACCACTGAGACAGTGTCATTTCTCACAATTTCACTGTTATTTATAACCGGCCTTGGTGAATTACTCTGGGTCTGTTGATCTCGATGATCCAATTGTCTAACAGAAATATTATTATTATCATTATCATTACAATTATTATCATGTCGTATATCTGTTGACTGTTGAGTTGAAGTTTCACAACTCTCCATGTCTGGTAAAATCCTTTCCATATTTGCCTCTGAAATAATCTCTGGAATTATTTGTTTATGTTCATTAGTACTAGTTGAAATAATAACATTTCTATTAGTTTCAGCATTAGCTACAGTAACTACCGGCCTGATACGAGTCGTCGGGAGTGCTGATACCGGTGAAATCATCTGAACAGTCGGTACCTGTTGCTGTTGATACATGCTGTACGGATTGTAAAGCATCTGCATCATCTGATTGGCCTGAGGTGGTGCCATCGCGTACTGTGGAATCATCATAGTACCATTGTTGACAAATTGTTGATAGTTAAAAGAGGCAAATTGCGGTGGCATCATTGCATTGATCGGTGGACACTCAAAGACAGGACCAATAGGAAACGGGGCCTGCGTAGGAATGTGAGCAGCAGCAACAGCTGCTGCTGTTGGTGCTGAAGTTGAGCTTTGGGCATTGACCTGCTGTTGTGGCGGTGACGGCTGAAGGGTTTGCGGTACCTGAGGCACTTGGGTTTGAGGTAACTGAAGAGACGACAAACTTGACGACGAGCCACTGGCTTTTATCAGTGCCTCTATCACTTGTTCCTTTGGATGGGTGTCCAAGTGCCTCTGAAGACTTATACCTTCTCTGAGATATAATGTACACACAGGACATGCGACCGCCCCTCCGATATCTGTCGTAACGCCGAGTTCCATCTTTACTGTTTCTCTTACACTCGCGTTTTCTATTCTATTGAGGCTTTTATCCGTCCTGTAGTTAGGACATGTTTGTCCCACACATTTATATATATATATATATATATATATATATTATATACACACTATACAAGGAAAAAAATTAATAGTAAAAAAATTTTTTCAATAACAAAAAAACTGGTACGTATATGTGATGGAAAAAAAAAAGATATTAAAAAACGAGACAGAGAAAGAGAGAGAGAGAGGAGAGAAAGAGTGTCGTTTTAGTATTGTTGAGTGTCGTCAAAAGATGAATCTCTCAACCGTATTAAATGATTGTCCTTCCTCAACCTCTCTCTCTCACACTTTTCTTCCGTATCAATCTTTCTCACTTTTTTCAAGTACTCGATCTTTCTTTTTTCTCCCTTGTTTGCTCTCGCTCACCAGTCGTGTGATATTTTATTTCTTTCTAACTTATCGGTCGTATGTGTTGTGTATCTCTGTCTTGTTCTTCTCCTCCTCCTCCTCCTCCTTCAGCTGCTCGTTACACTGGTTTATTTGTTAACGTTAACGTATTCCTGGGGTCCTTGTAACATTTTATTTATCTATTTTTTATTTTAAAATATTTTTTTAATAAATTATAGGTGTAGTTAATTAATAATATTAAATAAGTAATTAAAATATTTTTGTGTTTGGGCCCTATCAGGCCTTTACACAAGGCCTTAGACAGCTCGAACGATAGAGCCTCAACACGGTAAGCTGTGCCCCAAAAATATCGACGTCCATGGCCGCCTCCTTCTTCAGCTTCTTCTCTTTGCTCTGGCAAATGCTGAATGGCAATGCAACTGAGTGAGACCAGAAAGGCACACACGACACGGGCACACACTGGCTCCGCTCTCGCGGGGGCCACAAATCGATATCCTGTTAAATCGCCAGCCTCCCCTGTTGTGTGCCACTGGTGGGCTTTATTAAATTATACCTGCGTTCACGTCGTGCCAACCCAACCGTTTGGTACACTCGTCGTTGTAGCTCTCTCTCTCCATACCATATTCCTATACCAATTATAAATCAGATATATATATATATTATATTATATACATATTTATTATTTATTTAACTTATCAAATTCACAACTCACTGTCTGTATCACACAACTATACAGTACTACCCTTACTCACGTCACTTTAAATAGGTTTTATCAAAACGACATGATTTTTTTTTTTTTATTTATTATTCGAGTCCGCTCGCAGGCCCCGAAAACACAACAGATAACACGACGATCCAGACAATACTCCAGCTGGGAATAAGAGCAATATGAGAAACTGCAGCACCAATTCGATATGACGGTAGCGCCGTCGGGAAACTTTTACACTACAGTGATATTGCAAATTAATAAAAAATCATGTTAAATAAAAAAAAAAAAAGTTAATATAACTTGAGATATTTATTCAATAAAATCACTTAAAAGTCAACAATTATAAATAAAATATTATCTTTACGCGTTGATTAACATTTTATTGTGATAACGAATTAATATTATTTTTTTATTGCTCTATTTTCTACTCTCACGTTCTATTTACTCGATTGATAAAGACTAGGAATTGGATTTTAATCTCATCTATTGATGAAAATTGTAAATATTGGCAGTTTCACCGAAAAAAAAGTAGGTAAAACAGGGAGGAGATATATAATGTGAAGGCGGGAATGCGCAAACTTTAAAATTAGCGCATTGGCGCTGCGATAGATGAAACAACAATTATTGGAAAAACAGGCTAAGAGATGGTGTTAGTTAGACAATTGAATAAAAATACTTGTAATACACTATGAAATCACACTAAAGCAACTTTTAAAAAAATAAGACCCGTAATAAAATTATATTATGACAGATAATTTAAGATTAATTTTTTCAACAAATTATAATTACTAGCAGTCTATATTAACTAAAAAATCATTTTATTTATTTAGAAAAATAAATAGAAGAAAAAAATTAATATTTTATTCATGAATTATAAAAAATAGTAAATCTATTAAAAATTTATTGCCACGATATATCATTGATTGAGAGTAAAATGCGAATTATTAATTACAGTGTATACACATCAGTTATCAATGATATGCTTAAAATTTATGATATACAAATTAATTTACGCTATAAATTATATCAAATAGTTGACGTAAAATAATATTTATAGTATTCTAGAATACATTAAGTAATGTAGCAGCTTTTTCTTAACATAAAAAAATTATTCCAAAACTTCTATTTATTATATTTAAAATAAATAATTCAACTTCAATTTATTACACACCAAACTTTTCAGCAAATATATTAAAAACTGAAAAATTTATCAAAGACTTCATTTTTTATTCTAAAACACAAGAAATATCATATTACGTCCGGAATTTTCTCTTTACTTTTTTTATTTTTACTATTTTAATTAAAAATATTCTTGTTATTTCATATATTTCTTTATCTTGAGTTTTTCCCTTTTCTTCTCACACTCCAGACGGCGCCATAAAAATAATCCAAAAGTACTCTTCAGGTTTACTTAAATTTGATATTTTTTAAGTGCCCTTCGAATTTTTTAAAAATGATAATGAGTTTACTAGGCACACAAAAGTAAATCCTGTAATGTAATTTTAATGATACTGTAGACGAGTATTTTCAATCACAGGTCATATACAAAAAGAGATTAGAAATGAAATTACAACGTAGTTGTAAAAACTTTCTAAAAAAAATAAGATTAGATTAAAGTTTAAATAAATAAATTAATATTTTAAGAATAAATTCAATATTTTTAACAAATTAAATTTTAAATTAAAGTAATATTTTATAAAAATAAATAGCAACTAATTTATAGAAATAATTAAAAATATTAAATATTAAAATTAGAAAATTATATCATTTAAAATGTTTTTTTGTGAGGAATAAGTAAAATTATTATTATTATACTTGGACACGTGTAAGTGCTAATACACGTGGTCGAAAATATTTTAAATTTCTGAACGCATGTAAAAATAGAAGGGTTCAAGGCCCACGTTAACGTAGACGATTCCCCCAACAGTTTTCTTGAGAGAAAGGGAAACGGTACCCCGGAAAACTAGGTCCTAATTGGATGGAGCAGTTTTCCCCAACAATTTTCAAGGCGAGCCTTCTAAATTCTATAAGAGGGCTGTTTCGGCGTAAACTCGCTTTCTCGTGTGTAACAAGTCTTAGTGATCGTCACGCATTATTTCAAATCAATTTTTTTGTTTAATTAACAAGTTTTAGTGACAATCACATATAATTCGAATCATTGTTTTTTATTAGAACAACTAACTTTTAATTTAATAAATTTAATAATCAAGATAAATAAGTATCAAATTGTGAAATTCTAACTATCTATTGAAACAAAAATTAAGGTAACAATTTAAATTAACCTAACTCAAATATTCAATTTATTTTTAATTCAAACTACCCTTAAATAGAATAATCTTGTGATTCCGGTCTATTGGTTGTTAACTAGGGCCGAAAATAAAAATAATCTTGTCAAAATACAGTGCGGGCCCGAAGTGTTTTCTCGCTTATAATTTGGCGAAGTTCCTATAAGTAGCAAAGCGTCAACTTCGACATATTATAGCCAGGACACGAATTTTGCTCCACTTTTGACATAACAATTATTTCATACTTCTAAATAAACGCGCACATTTTTTAAACTCTAGAGTAAAATAATCTCATCACGGTCTCTAACGGCGAGTTTTTTAACTCACTGGCTTGATCGTCGTACAGCAAATACATACAGCGAATTTTGCTCTTTATTCTCGGTCAATTTTTTATTATTTTTCATTATTAATTTTATTTCACATAGTAGGTGAGTGAGAGGAAAGAAACAGGAAAGAATATTCCAAGTGCGGTCGTGTGATCAGGTTGTACCAACTGGTCATATGTACTATTGCTTTCATTATTAAGAGTAATGTTTTAATATATATATATATTTTTAATAAATATTATTGTCATTTGCTAGAATATGCAGTGTAAGGGCAAGGTAACTGTTGTCCTTGGAGCACAATGGGGTGACGAAGGAAAGGGGAAAGTTGTTGATATGCTTGCTGCTGACGCTGAAATAGTATGCCGGTGTCAGGTAATTTTATTCATAACATTACTTAACTACTATCATTTACATAAATTAATTTAATATTTATTTAAATAATTGATTATTATTATTATTATTATTATTATTATTTTTATTATTATTATTATGAGCAATTACAATAGAACAATTATTCTGGAGTTTGTCAAGGTCTCGTTAATTTATCATTTGGCTTCCTCTATTGTGTAGCGCGTGACTTGGTAAACTATTAGTTTCAACGTAGTATTAAGTCACATGCAATCTGTGTATTTATTTCGTTTTTATTACCCATTAAAATTACTCTATATATGTATGTTGATGACTATTATTTATATTTTTATTGTTTAGCTGAAAATAACATTGATAAAATAATTTTTAGCATTCTACACCAGTAGATGGTGTGATTAATTTTTAGAACTTGATCTTGTTGTAGATGAGCTAGAAAATTTAAACGTCTACGACTGTTGAAATAAGACCTTGGCAGTAATCGAGGTTGATATTTTTAGCATTTATCTTTCCACCTTGAAAATTTTATATTTTTTTTTTTCCTCAGCTATCAATTTTAAGCGTTCCATTACATTTAATTTCCTGATAACTCTAATTTTATCGTAAAATTTTTATGTAATGTATTATAAATTTTATAATTAGTTATATTTTTTCTTGTTGCAACTGTACAAATGGTAGATTAATAACATTAATACTATTTAAGTAGTATTTTTTTTCTTAGCTTATCATCTGTCTTGTTATGACTCGTGACAAATTAATCGATAAATTAACGCATTTTATAATTTGTCATCTCAATTGACAATTTATTTTTTTTTTTCTCTTAAATTTATTGCAAGATAGTGTTGTTATTTTGTATGACGAAATGCAAGACAACTTTAAAGTTGTATTTAATAGCTTATTTCAAAATCTTTTATAATATTAATAGATTTTATATTTATGTCAGCTATTGTGAGGAATTTTTTTGTAGTATTTTAGGTTTACTTATCATACTTATCGTGCAAGATTATTTTTTTCACGATTATACTTTATCATACATTAATGTCTGATAAAATTTTATGTTCAAGTCTGACTAAAGTCTACATGTATTTAATTTATATAAACGACAATTATTAATTTTTTCAATCGATAATAATACCAAATATTATTTCAGGGTGGAAATAATGCAGGTCACACAGTAGTTGTGAATGGTGGTCAATTCTTTTTCCATCTACTACCTAGTGGAATTATCAATCCCAAATGCAAATCCATTTTAGGTAAAAATTCGTTTTATTTCTGAGTCAATTAACTCATTTTTATTATCACATAATCTTAAACGTATTTGCATCAAATAAGTTACAATTACTCGTTTTCTTTACTGAGATATGCGCTAGTCAATATTTATTTACTCATTTATTTATGTATATTTTTATTTATTAATCACATAAAAAATTAAACTTTCCGTTTTTGATAATTTAATAAATTCTGAATAATCTTATTTTTACTTGTTAAAATTTATCTAAACATTATATTAATGAATAGTTGTATGACCTTTATAGTTCATAATTTATATGACAAGTTAACGTCCTTGCTTATTACTAGATTTAATAATGTCATGTTTAATGTCAATTACCTAAATTGCTTATCATCATAAAATGATAATAAAATAGTTTCTCTTGAATCAATATATTTAATCGATTTAATATTAAAAAACAAAGTCAGCAAAAGTTAAACCGACTAAGATTTTATTTATTAGACTCATAACAGAACAACTATCGAACATTTATTGTCAATAGTTTTTAAAATAAAAGTTTTGAACTGTATGTAGGTAATGGTGTTGTGATCCATATACCCGGCTTGTTCGAAGAATTGGAGCAAAATGAAGCTAAAGGTCTTAAAGACTGGAAAAATCGACTTATTATATCCGATCGAGCCCATATTGTCTTCGATTTTCATCAACAAGTTGATGGTATGCAAGAATTGGAAAAAGGATCACAGTCATTGGGAACGACAAAAAAAGGAATTGGTCCAACTTACTCGAGCAAAGCTACGAGAAATGGTCTACGAATTGGTGACTTGATGGGCGACTTTGATAAGTTTTCCGAGAAATTCAAAACTCTGGTTGCAACGTATCAAAGAATGTTCCCATCGTTGCATGTGGATGTAGAATCTGAGTTGGAGCGCTATAAAGGGTATGTTCAATTACATGAATTATACAATTTTTTTTTTTTTTTTTTTTTTTTTTTAACAATTTTGTCATAATTTATTGACGTTTTATCCACGTGATAAATTATAATTTTTACTTAATTTGAATGGCATTTCATTGCGACTTTATAATTTAATTGATTCAGTAATTTTATAAATATTTATGTGTTTTAATTTCAGATATGCTGAACGAATAAGGCCGCTTGTGAAAGAAACAGTTCATTATTTACATACTGCACTTAAAAATGGTCAAAATGTTTTGGTAGAAGGAGCTAATGCTGCAATGTTAGATATTGACTTTGGCACTTACCCATATGTTACAAGTTCCAATTGTAGTATTGGTGGGGTTTGTACTGGTCTTGGTTTACCACCATCAACCATTGAACAAGTTATTGGTGTTATTAAAGCATACACCACAAGAGTTGGTGATGGTCCTTTCCCAACAGAGTTAACGGACTCTACAGGTGAATTATTGCAATCACGTGGTCATGAAGTAGGTGTTACGACAAACCGTAAAAGACGTTGCGGTTGGCTCGATTTGGCACTTTTGAAATTCACCAACATGGTCAATGGGTTAGTATATTGATAATTGTGCAAAAATAATATAATGATTACTTAAATTCTCAATCTTAATGGATAATTGTTATTTCTCAATTACTAAATAGTTTTTTTTTTTTTTGTTCAGGTACACATGTGTTTGCATAACAAAGTTAGATATACTTGACACATTGCCAGAGCTAAAAGTATGCATTGGTTATCGATACAATGGAAAAGAAATCGATTATTTTCCAAGCACTGCTTCTGAATTAGCCAAAGTTGAACCTATTTATGAAACACTTGAAGGCTGGAACTCAAAAACTGAAGGAGTACGTTCGATAGATGAATTACCTCCTAATGCACGGAAATATGTTCAATTAATCGAAGACAAGTTGAACGTTAGAGGTAACTATAGAATTTATTTATTTTATAAAAAATATAAATAATTATAATCTTTACATTGTATTTATTAATTTTAATAATACTAATAATATTTAAATTTATTTTATTTTCAGTCGGGTGGGTTGGTGTTGGTGCAGGCCGTGAAAGTGTTATCAAAGTACCCACTCTCTGACAATTTAAAATTAATGAAAAATTTTTTCAACGCCATCATTTTTAGTGTATCATTAATTACAATAATTATAAAAACAACAATGTTGATGATGATAAATGTATTCAAAATACCAATTAGAAAAAAGCCAATGTACGCACAAAGTCATTTTAAAATTAGGCTAATTAATTGAGAGCCATCTCAAATTATTGTTATCTATCAATTTTAATTATTAATTAAAAACTTATTTCTGTAACTGTCTTATATTGCCTGGGTAGCATATAAAAATTAAAATAATAATTAACTTTCCATATGAAAATAAAACGTATTTAAATATTTTAAATTAAGCTATTGGTTATTTGGGTTTCTCTTCTATCTCGCGCTCGACGATTTTGAAACCAAATTTTAATCTGTAACATCACATAATATAAGTAACAAGCATTAAATAAGATATTTATTTTATTTATATTATTATTATTATTATTATTATTATTAATAATTAAGTCAACACTTACTCGATTGTGAGGTAAACGTAAAATTGTTGACAATTGTACAACATCTTTGCGCGATAGATAAGCACTTTTTTTATATTTTTCTTCAAGTGTTTGCAATTGAAAAGAGGTGAATGGAATCCTTGGATGAGTTGCGGGTTTTCTTTTGCATATTTTGCCTGCTAATGATTTTCTCGGTAACTTTGGTGGCCGATAACGTGTACACTGAAGCCAAGAAAGATTATTATTCGGCAATAATTTATTATTATCATCATCACGAGGTAATTCACACTTGATATTATTAGGAGTTTTTATTGATTCACTATCATTCGTTGTTGATGAAGATGATGGTGCACAATGAGTTTCACCGATAAAAAATCCAAATTGCGTTCTTGATAAGTTATCATTGTCAACTGTACTTGTATTAAAAATTGATTGATTAGATTCGTGACAATGTCTTGTATCATTATAACTTTCTGGAATTTTTACACGGTCTTTTGCCAATTTATTCATAATTAAATGTAAATTTGTTGATTGATTGGTCTTATTTGAACTTCGAGATAGTATCCGAGCTATACTAAAATCGCTGGACTTTCTGTTAGGTCTATGTGATCCAGACATTTTGTTGGCGATAAACTAAAAATTTAAGTTAGTTTACCCCTGATTTATATGGAGTCCCAGATGAAGAGATTCAAAAAAGAAGGGGATGAAGTACCAAAAGCCGGGCGCCTATTAGCTCTTGTTGCTAAACAGTATCTATTTCGCGATGAATCTGAATTAAACGCATAGTTGCACATGATGACTATCACATTGCACAGTTTGTGGGGTGATATCGGGCATCATTTTGTTGGTAGCCCCCATACCTGCTCATTGTTGTGTATGCTCTTATACCAGTGTATTATCTCTATTGGGGTATCTACCCCAGGAGCCACCAATAATAACAATGTAATTGATACCACTGGCGGTTTCTTGGGATGTGATCCGCTACTGTTATTGCACACATCTCAATAGACCAGATGTCTCAGTGCAAGAGAGCTTGCATAATTCGAAAGCCACAGGGGTCATCTAATCCGTTAATATATCTAGTATAAACATACAAGCTGCTTTACTTTGTTCCTTTTTTTTAAGCTTATTATTATTTCATTTATTTTTTTTTAACGTCTCTTGAGTATTATATTATTACATGCATATATTTGATATTTATGAATGGGTAATTAATATAAGACAAATTATTTTATTTATCTTTATTACATATTTATATATTTATTACATAATTATCTTTATAGAATTTACATTTAATTAATCCATTTTTTATAACTTCAAATATTTATTTAATTATTTAGAATAGAATAATTTTGAGTTCTTTAATTATTTGAAAATAAAAAAATACATATATTTGATATTAAATAAAATTTTTACTAATTTCACTGAAATTAGCAGACATCTGACAATTTTTTGAATTTTTATAACCAATTAATTATCACAAAAAAAAAAAAATAATAATTAAAAAAATGTGGAATTTTTTTGCTAAATTTTTTTCATTATAATTTAATTGTTATAAAAATCAAAAAAATTGTTAGATGCGTCTATTAATTAAATTCAGTATGATTTTTTATTAGTATATTTTAAAACAGTCAACAAATATTTATAATTTTTAAGTGTTAGAGAAAAAAATTGAATTGAAAGATTTTAGGGGGATTGTTTTCAAATATTCTCTTTTTTTTTTTATCTGATATCTAGGTAGGCCAGAAGAATTTCAAGAGCAAAAGAGAAACTGGGAGAAACTGTGGGTTATACGACAATGTCAAAGTAACGGTAAATATAGAAGTTTGTGAAAACAGAAAAAAAAAAAAAAAGTCAAGCTTGACGAGTTTTACTGAACGGTTTTCTTCTTTTTTGGTAATATATATTATTAAAGAATATCAATTATTTACGATTTACAATTGAAAATTATAAAGTTTACTGTAATCTAACCTTAAAATTCATGATAATTTAAATAGTTTTCGGAGTATTGACAACAAAAATAAATAAAATAATTATTATAACTCCGTAAAATAACATAAAAATATTAAAATGGATATTCTGGATGTTCTCTAATTCCAGCGAAAAAATCAAAATCACATATTCTGGCGGAAGGACCTTGATCTAATGAATTTACTATTTTTATATCATTAGAGTCTAATTCAAAGTCAAACAAATCAATATTTTCTTGAATTCTTTTGGGATTAGTACTCTTTGGAATAGCGGCAATACCTTTTTGTATGATAAACTTCAATGCTATTTGTGCTGATGATTTATTATATTTTTTACCAATTTTAATCAGCTCACTATTATCCATAATACTGGGAATTTTGTCATTTTTTCCAATAAGATTAACGAATCCTCTCGTACCTAATGGCGAATAAGCTGTTACAGTAATCCCTTTTTTCTTGCAAAAGTTGACCTTAAAAAATTCAAAATAAAACAATTTCAATTATTCAATAAATAATTTTTATAAAAAAATAATAAATTTTTAATTACCATTTCATTTTGCTGGAAATAAGCGTGTAACTCAATTTGTAGATTAGCAATTGGTTCTTTAGCGACCGAAATAACTTTTTCAATTTGTTTAATATTGAAATTTGACAGTCCAATAGCTTTGGTTCTACCAGCTGATACTTGGTTCTCCATTTCCTTCCATACTGCAATATGATCTGTAGACTTATCAATTTTTATCTTTCCACTCTCATCTTTCGGGTGTAAATCATCACCAATTTCCTCAAATGTAAACGGAGTGTGAATTAAGTACAAATCTAAATAATTCAATTGTAAATCATTCAATGATTTTTTAATCCACTTTTCCACACCACCAGGCCGGCTCCCTGTCGGTGGAAGCTAAAACATTTTTATTATTAATTAATTAATTAATTAAAATAAAATTTTATCAAAAAATATTACCTTGGTAACGATAAATAATTCTTCTCTTTTAACTTTTCCAGATTGAATCCATTTGTTTAAAACTTTACCGATGACATGCTCATTTTCGTAAACCGGAGCGGTGTCAATATGCCTATATCCGGCTTCTAAAGCACTCTCCAATGCTTTTGTTAAGACAGCCTCATCTTTGGCCTTAAAATAAAAATATTATTAATAATGATAAAAATTAATTTTTTTATATTATAAATATATTTAATTTACCTGCCATGTACCAAAACCTAATGCAGGCATTTTTTGTCCATTGGGTAACGTAATAGTAACTTTGGAAGCCATAATGAAGTGTTCACTCTGCTCTTCCAGGCAGATTAAAAGTAAATGTAGAAAAATAAATATACGTGCTGTTACTTGACATTATTTTCATGGAAAAAAACTATCCCCACCAAGATCTTATTTTTATATGAAAAAAATAAACTGACCTTACTTTCACCAATACATCAAGAGTTAATACTGAAGTACAAAGCGTATTAAGATAATTGTAGAAAAATTTATAGATAATCACTAGGAACTCAAGGGCATAGATTTTTTGATAAATAATAGAATTAACCACTACACTGGGACGCTTAATTTATAATTGCTATTTTTTATTTCTATTCCTTGACGTGATCATTCAATCGTGAAGGCAATTAGTTTCTTATAATAGATTATCACAACAATTGTTAATTAGATGAATAATTTTTTATTTCAGAAATAAACACTGAGTAGCGGATAAAAATTCAATTAAATAATGTATACGTGCATTAATTGTGGCATTGAAGTCGAAGAACTTTATAGAAGATACAGTCCAAGTGTTTTGAAGGTTTTAAAATGCGTTAGTATCACTTTATATAACTACAACAAAATTTAATAATTACTTAAAAATGATAATGTTAATTTTTAATGATTTATCAGGGTAATTGTGGTAATTTGGCAGATAAGTACATCGAATATGATCCTGTTATTGTATTAGTAGATCTAGTTTTGCTTGAAAAACCAGCTTATCGACATCTACTTTACAATAGTAATTTTCAATCCTACTGGAAGCTGATGGTTGTTTTACTTTTGGGCGAATCATTTAGAGCATGGTCAATATTCAAAAATTATAAAATTGATCAAGACTCAGATGATCATCAGAATTACCTTCAAAACAATAAATTTGATAGCGAAAGAAGTTTTTATATACTTCTTGCTCACACAGCACTATCGTTGGGTGCTTTCGTCCTTGCTATGATAATTAGTACAGAGATAAGATGGTTAATTATGGGTGTACGACCACAAAAGTATAAAATTTCTGATCTTTTTCACGCATTAATTGTTGGAGGCTGTGCTAAACTTCTAGGACTTCTTGGTGTGATTTGGCAGTACGTTGCTCCAGAACTTTTTTATGTACTTATTCATGGTTACACTATGCTATGTCTTTTAACTGCATACTCAGGTAAGTTGCAATATAAATAAATAAAAATTTATTGCTATAAACATCTTTGCAATTATTAATTTATAATTTTTATTAGGTCATTGAAAAATCGTAACAAATAAGTTACAATAAATTTTTAACAATTATAAAGTCCAAAAATATGCGTCAATTATAATCTATTGTTTTAAATATTGCATAATTTATTTGATTTTATTATTTTGTTTTTTCTTTTAATGAAATTCTTTCATAAATTTTTTACAATATTATGACGAATTATTTGAAAATTATTTATGTCCCACAGTAATCTGCGAGAGTGGAAGGACTGGATCATTAATTGGATTATCTAGTGGATTAATAGCATACAATTATGTATCCAATTTGATTTCTTGGTTTCCATTAATAATTACAAATACTACAGAAACTGATGATGTTACATAATATTGTTAGTTCTTTAATCGACAGTATTAAACCTGGAAATATATCTATATCATATATATATATATATATTTATAAACGTATATATTTAAACATCTTTAAATGGAAGAACATTCCAGCCCAATACGAGTCGATCAAAACCACATGAAAATAAATTACAAATAGAGCCTGGCTCTTCTGCCCATGCTACTGCGCACACCATTCGCCGATGGCCCTGAAACATTCAAGTAATTTAGAGCGATTCAATATTGTATAAATATATTTTTATAATTTATTTAATTGATTTTTTGTAAGTAAAAATAAATAATAATTAACAATAAAACCTACTCGTCTACTAGTTCTTGGAAGCCGAGCAAGTCTTTGTCCACTAAGGTCAAATAAACGAATTTGTCGATTATCATGAGGAATAGCAACTACTCCATTACTGGATACTGCTAAACGATTAGCTGCACTGTCACCACGAATTGTTGCTAGAGGACTTCTTATATTACGTAGTTCCCAAACCTTTACACTTCGATCATCTGAACCAGAGACTATTTTATCTTCTCTTGTGAAAACTGCTGATGTTACAGCTCTGTAAATAAAAACAATAATTACTTTTCATTTGAAAATAAATATATTTATAAATATTTAAATTTATTAATCTATATATATATATAAATGAATGACTGGACCGATTTTGATAATTTTTTTTTTTTTTGTGCGTTATAGTTCAAGAATGGTTTAGAAAAAAAAAATCCTAAATATTAAAAAATCAAAAATATCAAGTAACATTAATTGTTTCCTGCTTCACAGCAGTATTTCATTTGTCACCTACATAAGTCTCTCTATATATTTAAAAATAAATAGCTGTGCGTTAGTCTCGCTAAAATTCAAAAATGACTGGACCGATTTCAACAATTTTCTTTTTGTTCTGTTCATTATAGTTCAGGGATGTTTTCGAAAGAATAAAATTTTTGAAAAACCCGAAAGTTCAGCTAAGGAAATCAACAGATCTAAAATTGTTAATCGTATATCTTTTACATATATGGAGAAAAAAAATTTCATAAATTTAGTGCTCATTTTTTGGGATCTTAATTTTTAGACGATAATGAGAAGCGAGTTTCATTTGAGAACTTGACAAAATTCTAACCGCACTTCATACAGCAAGTATTTATTTTTTATCGAAGTAGATTAGAATTTAAAGATTGATAATCGCTGTTCGAAAGGTGTAATAAAATATATTGTAGGTGATACGAAGTTCACCGAGTCAGCTAGTTAGTTAATAAAATTAAAAACCTTTTAAAAAATAAAACAAAGATATTTAAAATTTCTTACTCGGTGTGTCCTTGAAAAACGGATACAGAATGAATAGGTTCTCTAAAGTCCCAAAGTCGGAATGTGCTATCACGACTTGCAGTAACGCACAACCGTTGTGCATGATGAGTGGACACATACGTTAGTTCTTGATCATGTCCACACAAAGTGTGAATGATTTCACCAGTTTCAGTGTCATAAAGATTAGCAGTTCTGTCCCAGGAAGCTGTAACAAGTTGGTCAGCACCTGGTAGCCAGTCAGCAGCCATAACAACACCAGAATGTCCCAATAGTTCTCGAACTGGTGTTCTCAGTGTTGGTAAATCTTCATTGTCATCACCAAGACAAGAAGCATTTGTTGGCGTACGATCAGCAGACAAATCCTCAGATGATGATTGTCGTTTAGCAACATCCCAATTGACAGCTGCTTGCCAAATGTGAGCTGTACAATCTCCACTAGCTGTAAGTGCTAGATCTATTGTTGGGTGAAAACGAATTGAATTAACGGAACCACTGTGACCGATATACTGAAGTAAACAACGTCCACTGTCCATAGCAATAACACGTGCCGTATGATCTGCCGATGCTGTAGCTATAATCGGTTGGCCAGGGCGTCCAACACTTATTTCCCACACACCATCTTTGTGTCCTGCATACTGACGATGCATTGTACAAGTCATTGTTGGGTTTTTAAAACTAGATACTATTTTACTGGTTTGGGCTTTCAGTTTATGTGAAGCTTTTATTTTTTGAGCAGAACTAGGAGTGCCTAAGAAGTAAAACAAAAAGTAAAAAAGTATAATAAGTAAATAATATTTTTAATATATTTATAAGAATAATGATACTTACTCTTTGGTTTAAATGGATTTTTGGAATAATCAGAGTAGTCTTGGAAATCACCTGGTGGTAGACTGCGTTCACCTGATCCGTAGCATTCACGCTCAAGCCTTTCGTTCAAAGCATCAATTTTCTCTTGTACTGCAATAGAAACTTGAAATCAATAATTAATTAACGATGGAATGAGGGTCATTTCTTGGCCATCTCTTACACCCGATGTTCTCCAGGTAGACCATCTCAAATTCTTTGTGGATTTGTTGAAATAGATCAAACAAACGTGAGTGTACGGCAGGAGGTATTGAACTATCCTCAAAGTCTGTTCGAAAGTTCAGGTGATGAAAAGCCATGGGTTGGAGCGGTGTCGAGCCACTTTGACTTAGTTGAGACTGTAATTCGGTGTCCGTACTGCTTTGTACCCTGGGTATTGATATACGTTTGACTTTGCTACTGGATTTAGTGCCAGTGGATGTTGGTGGTTCGCCAGGCATTATGTGTCTTTAGTGTGCTCTAACTCTGCTTTTAATATTTTATTTTCGTCATCTAGCTAGTACATATAGCTGCTATGTGCTATGATCATCTATGCATGTGTATGCGAATAGCGAGTGATGGTTTTAGTTAATAAGCAGCCTCTCACCTGTAAAAATCAATGCTTTTAAACACGAATAACTTATATTCTGAAATATTCATACGATGTTTTTTTTTATTTTTTATAGTTATTGATTATTTCATCAACTAACAGTGTTATAAAATAATAATTGTTATGCAACCTGTCTTTTTAAATATTTTTTTCAATAATAGAATATTTGTCAAAATGACGTATGTAATTACACTAATACTGTACTAACTTTTATTTTACTTGCAGTTCCTCTCACGTCCTATACTCTTGTATATTTACTTGTATACCGTTCTCGAGTTTCAGCACCATCTGAAACTCTTTATACCGGGTGTACATTTATTTTAAGTTACAATTTTAGATTTTAACTCATATACTATATGTATGACGTTTCTAAAAATATCTTCATTAAAAATTTTTTCTCTATTTATTCAATAAACAAATGAAACTTACACAAATTTTTAAAAATCATTAGTTAATAATTTTTATAGAAATCATATTCAGCAATACAATTTTCTAATCGTAAAAATTAGGTCGTGATACTCAAAAACTAGCTGACGTATATTTATTATGTTTTCTGTTTAAATAGTATATAAACAAATAAACCTTTAAAATCTTAAAAAATTTTTTATATGCTTTTTTTTATTTTTACTCTATTAATATATTGAATTTGTTTGTTTACAAAAATTATATGAAAATTAATTTAGCAGGTATTTATTGATATGATTTTTAGAAATTTTGTAACAAATAAATTATGACAAAAAAAAAAAAAATGAGAAACAAAAATTGAAATGTAGAAATTAAAAAAAATAAAAAATGTAATTTTATTAAAATAATTTTTCTGAACAAATTTATTTGTTACATAGAATTAAAAAATGGTCAAATGACTGTGAAAATAAATAGTTAGCCGACGTCTAAAAAATTTTATGATTTTTTATATTAAAGAATTATTACAAAAAAAATTTTTCATTTGTTAAAAACTTCAAAAACTATAAGTGCAATTTTTTAAAAATATTTTTTAGTTATAATTTAATAAATTAAGCAAAATAAAAAAATCAAAAATGTCGGCTAACTTTATTATTATCGAATGACTATACTAACTTTAATGTCATAAAATTAGTCTAACTTCTAGTATTATCAAATTTTTTATTATTAATAGATAAATTTTACTGTCATTAATTGTGAAGCTTATATAATTGTAAAAAAAAAAAAAAAAAGAAAAATTTTACTAATTGTCCATTTGAAGAAAAAAAATTATTTCACTCGAGTTTAATTTTTTTATTTAAAAATACTATATCACTATCTGATCGTTGGGAAAAAATCTATTATCAGTTTTAATAATAATTTTAATTATCAATATATTTTTTATTTCAAATATTCATGGTTATAGATAATAACTGAATAGAAATTATAAAAACAACTATAGTAGATAAAAGATATAACTAAACTGTCTTAAAGTTATGAATCATCTAGTTTTTTTTTTTATTGGATATGATCTTCAACTTTATCCGTCTTTCATTGAATTTTAACTTAAATAAATACGGATGACATAAAAGTAAATAAAAGATAAGAATAATTTATATTGCAATTGGTTAAAAGATATATTTTTAAATAAATTTATTGATATGATAGTTTGTATATATATTTATACATGTAGCGACATCTGATGCCAGTTAATTATTAATCCGTAAAAAAATAAATGCCATTGATTTTTTTCATTCACTGGTGTAAACTTTATAATAAATTATAATAAACAATTTTTGAAAAATCAACGTTAAATCATGTAGAATTTAATAAATCTTTTATTAATAAATATTAACAATTAAGAAAGTATATCAATATTTTAAATATTCACGCCAACACTGCAAGTTGTTTATCATTTAAAATTTACAAATTAACATAATACATACGTCTACACTTGCCAGTAAATATTATTGAAAGTTACTATTTTATTTTTGTGTTATTGCTTACTCGTGCATAAATAAAACTTGTGAAGATAAGTATGAATTTGCCTTCGTGGCTATTTGATAAAAAATTTTTTGATTCAATAGTTTTAATATGACTAGACTTGAGACAAACGACTCCAATACAATTAAATATTATTATGTCATAATTACATGATAATTACCATTCAAAACACATAAGTATAGTTAAAAATAAATACTTTTATGAATTAACAATTGGTATATAGTTGAAAATAATAAGCAATAACAATGAGATCTTCATTAACGTTTCGTTATTTTAAATTCTTCGCCGCTCTTGGCACTGGAGGTATTCTTGCCTGTTGTCTCTTGATGTATCTCTTATTAGATTTGACATTTACACCAAAAAAAACAGCCATCAAAGATTCTGTTGAAAATGTAAGTAGTTAATTGCATATCATTACTTTTAGAGTTACAAATTATACTATTTTTTTTCTTTTTGTCAATAGAATCAATGGGTTCATCTTGAAAATAGACTGACTAAGTTAGAGGAAGATTTGAGTAATCATCATAAAGTAATTGATTCAATAAAAGAAGCATCAAATTCAATACAAAGTGGACATCATTCAGTGAATAATAAGAAAAACAACGATTTTACAGCATCAAAAAAATTATTAACATGTAATTTCAATATTGAAAAAGCTCCAGAAGTTGATATCCAAATGTTAGATTTATACCGTCAATTAGAATTCGATAATCCAGATGGTGGTGTTTGGAAACAAGGTTGGGCTATACGTTATGACGAAAAACAGTGGCATCCTAAAAGAAAGCTAAAAGTATTTGTTGTTCCTCACTCTCACAATGATCCAGGATGGTTAGACACGTTTGAAAAATATTATGCTCAAAAAACACAACGTATTTTAAATAACATGGTGATGAAGTTAGCTGAAGATAAACGGAGAAAATTTATTTGGGCGGAAATATCATTTTTCAAATTATGGTGGGATGAGCAGACTAAAGCAACACGCGAAATGGTGAAGCGTTTAATTGTTGATGGACAATTAGAGATTGTAGCAGGTGGTTGGGTAATGCCTGACGAAGCTGTGTCTCATTGGATGGCTCAGCTAACTCAATTGACAGTAGGTCATCAGTGGTTGAAAACAAATCTAGATTATCAGCCTACCAGTGGATGGGCTATTGATCCCTTTGGATTATCACCTACTATGCCATATTTATTAAAAAGTGCTGGATTAGAAAATATTCTTATTCAACGGGTTCATTATGCTGTTAAAAAACGTTTAGCTAGAGATAAGCACCTTGAATTTCGGTGGCGTCAATTATGGGATACCACTGGATCAACTGAAATATTAACACACTTAATGCCATTCTACAGTTACGATGTACCACACACATGTGGTCCAGATCCGAAAATTTGTTGCCAGTTTGATTTTTTCCGATTACCTAATTTCGGATTAAGCTGTCCATGGAGGGTACCACCGCAGACAATTACAAAAAAAAATGTAGCAATGCGTGCTCAATTATTATTAGATCAATATAGAAAAAAGTCACAACTATTTAAATCAAATGTAGTATTAGCACCGCTGGGTGACGATTTTCGCTATGCCCAAAGCTCTGAATGGGATGCGCAATTCGGTAATTATCAAAAATTATTCGATTATATGAATAAAAATGAACAATTAAATGTAGATATTCAATTTGGAACACTAACTGATTATTTCAATGCTTTAAGAGATGAACAAAATATTAATGAATTACCTAGTTTATCTGGTGATTTCTTTACGTATGCTGATGAAAATCAAGATTACTGGAGCGGATATTATACCTCACGTCCTTTCCACAAGAGACTTGATCGTGTTCTTCTAGGTGCCCTGCGGGGAGCTGAAATATTATCAGCAATAGCGTGGGCACGTGGTCATGAACATTTAGCAGAGAGTACCAATGAAAAACGTATGGTTGAAGCAAGACAATGGCATTCGCTGTTCCAGCATCACGACGGTGTGACTGGTACTGCAAGAGATGATGTTGTCATTGATTATGCACAAAAAATGATAAACTCTCTCAACAATACAGCTCATATTATTCAACAGTCTGCAGCGCACTTGTTAAGAAGTGCCCAAGGGCCAGCTTTACAACCAGAATCTCTTTATTTTTCTCTAGACGAAGTTAGATCTCATCATACAAGTATTGGCGAACGATACGTACTTGCACTTAGTAGTGATCAATCTACTGAGGCAGTGAAGCGTTTGAAAAAAAATCCATAAAAGTATTTTTATTGGCCAAAATAGATGAAAATGCACTTGAACCTTTAACTAGATCGATCTATCCATGTGTGAGAATACCTCTGAACTTTTGCTTATGACTCAACAGGATGAAAATTCTGTTTTAATAAATTAAATGATAATTTTTTTTTTTTTTTAATCACTATAAAAACTTGCGTCGACATATCAACTGCACTCAACAATTGATTAATATAATCTCAAATGTGTACGCTTATTGCAGTTATATATTTTGTAACCGACATTTGACTATTAAACTTAATAACAACTATAAGTATCATTGTACCTGTTAGTGCATTTATGCACTTTTTCCAATTAAATTCTTTGAAATCACCATCAGAAAATCAATCAATAGATAAAAAATAGTACATATCACAGAACTATTATTTAAAAAATGAAAATATTTTTTGTATTTTATGCGGATAAAATTATATAATTCTCAAAATTTTTGAATAATTTTTTTTTCCAGATTTTTTAGAGTGACATTCTATCCTGGAGTTATATTTTACATAACATTCTCGACGTAACAGAAAAATTAATATTTTATTTATTTTTTTTAATTTTTAATTAAATAACTTCCTCAATATTTTATTAATAAGGCACTATGCATATCATTAGCATTACATATCAGGACGTCTGTGACGCATAAATTAATTAAATTAGATATTTATGAAAAAAAACTCGAAGAATATTTTTTAAATTTACTGGCTAAAAAATAGGATATAAACAAACAATATAATTTTTATGCAGTTAAATTTTCATTATAGCCATCTAGTGAATAATTTATTTATATACTTATATTAATATAAAAAAGTATTTCAATTATTAGGATGAAAACAATAATAAACATATCAAATTGCTGAATGCAATACATACATATCAGTAGCATTAATTAATAATAATAATGACAAATCAAATTAATAATATAATAATAAGGCCATACCGTATATCAATATAAGTATTTCATATACCCTTCTTTTTGCTGTCTAGATATAGTTATAGACATATTAATTAGTAATTATTAGACATTTAATATTTTAGACGAAATTCAAATAGTAAAAATTAATATCGAGTTAATATTACAATTACGTTTGTAGGCGATTACAATAATATTAAATTTGGAAAATATAACAAATATTTACTGAAAATTTTTTGGATTTGCTATTGAATATCCACCAGGATAATTAATTATAATATAATTTGGGAAAAATAATAGAAAATAAGATTTTGATTGAAAAATACTTTTATAAAAAAAAATGAGAACGATCTTTAAATTAATTATTGTTGTGATTTAAAATAGGGCCTAAATCGCAACAAAATTTTTAAAAGATCTTTCAAGTTAATAATGCCTAAGGGTTAAATCGAAACATTTTGCTTCTTATTGACCCTTTAGTATACTCGAAAGTATGATTGTTTCAATATTTCACATCGGAGTCTAATAAGGACATGATTACATAAGCATAGAATGGCTTGAGAATTGATAAGGAATTTAAAATATATTTTAATTAATTATAAGTGTATTATTTTTAACTACAGATTGTATTAACTGCTTCTTTAAATTATTATCAATTTTTTTTTACTTGATTATAGTAAAAAATCAGTTTTAAATAATTGCAATTGTATCTATTGATTTGAATTGTGTCCATTTAACTTGTATTGTATTTAATTAATATTAATATTAGTTTACTCAATAAAATTAATTTTGAACCTATTGGTACTATTTATTAATATTATATGTTAATACCTATTTGAATGTTCTATATAACATTTTCTTATTTCGAATTTTTATTAAGTTAAAAAATAATTATAAAAAATTATACACTAACTTATTTTATAAGAAATTCAATTAAATAATTAATATTTCATTAAAAGTATTTATTTAAAAAAGTACAATATTCAAGAACGTATACGAATAATTTAATTTTTTTTATGGTAACTATTTTATTAAAATGGAATAATTAAAAATGGAAAATTTTCATTTCCGCAACAGTAAACAAATGAAACAAACGACATTGAAATTTATTTAAGCAAAATACTTTTTAAATTATAAAAAATATCTATATGTTAACAATACTGAGTATTTTGTATAAAGTATAAATATAATAATAGAGTATGGCAGGCAGAAAATTAATTTTTTATCTTCAATGTATGCATCTGATTTAGTATGTCTTTTACATCATTATTCTCAACATTACATAATGAGATAAATAAATTCCGCCTGTTTCCAGCATCTTCTAGTTCCTTAGCAAGTTCGTTAGCACGTTTAGTTATGTTTGCTTTTATTCCCGCAATTCTCGCAGCATTGAACCCGTATGATTTTGGACACGCACCTTCGATCAACTTATATAAGAAAGTAACAGTCTCTTGAGTAGCGTCAGACTCTTCACTCTCAACTAAACAAGCCATATGAGCGGGTGAGACATTTGGATTATTTTTAAAATCTTCCACTAGTGCATGATAATGAGTAGAAAAAATTGTTCGACACTTAAGCTCGATAAGGGCTTTCAAAACCGCCGCTGCAATCGCTGTCCCGTCGTGCGTAGAAGTACCTCGACCAAGTTCATCAACAAGAACGAGAGAATTTTTAGTAGCGTGTTGTACAAATGCAGCAGCTTCACTTAATTCAACAAGGAATGTACTTCTTCCAGTTATCATATCGTCATTAGCACCAAGTCGAGTAAAAACACGATCTATTAATGAAAGTTTGCAACTTTCTGCTGGTATATGGCAGCCTATATGTGCCATAATACTCAGTAAACCGACTTGACGCATAATTGTTGATTTACCACCCATATTGGGCCCAGTTAAAACTACTAGAGGGCCATATTTGTTTGTTGCAAGTGACGTATCATTGGGAACAAAGTTGTCTGAGGTAATAAAAGGATGCTTGCCATCTTTTATATCCAACATAATTTCATTAGTATCAACTATTTCCGGAACGCACATACAACCACTTCTTGAGTATTCAGCAAGTGAAATTAAAACATCAAGAACGGCAACTTTGTAAACAGCCGTCGCCCACATGTCGTAATGCTCGCTGAATTTAGCAAAAGTACGTCTGTCGGAATCTTTTACCACTTTTTCACGCTTTTCTTCAGCTTCAGTCTGTCTTCTAAGAAGTTCTCTAGTTTCTTCAGTCCAATAACGTTTGAAACCTTTCCTTTGGCCTTGTAATTGATAGCGATCAGTAATTTTTTTCGCTTGACTTTCAGGTACCTCAAGTTGATAAGCATTTTTTTTAGTTCCAGTATACTTAATACTAGCCCCAAAAAATCTGCATTGTGTTTTTAAATAGGCGTCGGCATCAATTTTTATCTGTTCAATTTCAGCAATTACTTTGTCATATTCGATATCCATTCCTTTTTTGGGAATAATACATCCTTTTTCTAATGCTGCTTCTGCGTCAAATCCACGTTCAAAATGCCTGATGGTTCCGTTTAAATCAGGAAATTCTCCATTAGGCTCCAATTGTGTTGTTCGGACTATCAAATTACTTTCAAAAGGTTCAAAAAGTTTCATTATTTTGAGTACTTGATCAAAACCTTTAAGACAGCTTACAAAATCATTGATTTTTCTTTTATTGTAGGTACCCATTTCAAACATAAATGCTCGACCATCGGGATGACTCTTCAACTTAGCAGCGTTTCCGTGAGCATGTATTTTACTCAATAACCTTTCGAGATCTGGAAGAGTACTCAAAATTTTTCTAGCGTCTTGACATACGTGATAAAGGTCAATAAGTTCTGTAATAGCCTCTTGACGACTCATTATTAAATTTTTCTGACAAACTGGACGACAAATCCATTCTTTTAGTAATCTTTTCCCAAAAGCTGTGCAACAGTGATCTAAAATTGTTAAAAGAGAGCAACTTCCTCTAAGAATATTCAAATTAGTTATTGCGACAGCATCGATTACCATATTTGCAAGTGGTCCAATATTTTGCCCATCAGCAACATTCATATCTGGAGGAACATAAGTTTGAAACTTTTTTTGCGCCAATAGTTGCTGATCTAGCTTGTAGTCTGTCAATATGTAAACGCAAGCACCCAGAGCATTAACTGCCAGTTGTTTATCGTCTGCTGGGCTCAAACCAAGAGTGTCTCGCTCATTTAAATAAGGCTTCAGACTTTCAGGCCAAGAAAATTCAGATGATTCATACTTGAAATATTCTCCTTCGTGAAGTTTCTCAAGAACTTTTGTCGCTGACCAGAACTGTGAATCTTTTAATAAGGCTTCTTTCATTGTTGTGGTTGGCAATTGAGTATTGATTATTTTCATTGTTACTTGGGACAGATTTCCTTTTTCGTAAACCACGTGAACAGGAGTATAATGAGATAACATCGTAAGTAAACGCGAATTATGACGATCGTCTTCAAATTGACCTAGATAAAAAATTCCAATACTTGTATCGATGAAACAAACTCCGTAAGTAGACAGCTGAGTTGAGCTTTGTTGCTCAACTATGGACATTAAGTATTTAGAATGAGCTGAAAAACTTTCAGTGTCCTGAATGGTAGCCACTCTTGTGCCTCGAGTACTGATTTGACAAATTTCACGTTTAACAACTTTGTCAAATTTAGTTGTTTTTGTTTTTTCACAACGCTCTGCCATCATTGCCGGATTTTCCGTTTGTTCAATACGAGCAACTTTGTAACCTTTTTCGACGAGCATTGATGAAAAACGCCCATAGCTCACTTCAGGAAACCCTGAATGAGCCCATTCACCTCGCATAAAAGTCAAGCCGAGGGCATTTACCGCAATTACGGCATCCATATGATATAATTCATAAAATTTACCAACTTTAAAGAAAAAAATACAGTCCCAATGTTGAGTCTTGAGTATCCACCACTGACGCATCGCTGGAGTTTGCTTATCAAGAAAATCTTTCGGTACATGAATTGTTTTGGGATCATATTCCGGATGGTCTGGTCTTCTTTCTTTAGCATCGCGAATTTTTTCCGGCTGAAGAAATGGGAGTTTCAAATGAGGCCAACTCTCATTGCCTGATGCTGGACCTGAAGGCAAAGCTGCTTTTTGCATTTGGAAGGATTTGTTCGATTCATCCTGTAATTAAAGTTTATGTCAATAAAAAGTACTCATCTATTGATCGGTCATAATTATAAAAATAGCAGACATCCAACAACTTTGACAGACAAATGAAATATTAAGAAAAAATAAATAATAGATATTTATATCCATTACTTTTTGAATTTCAGTTTTTTAGTTTTTTAATAATATATCAGAATGTATGCTATTTTTTATGTCATGATAAATAAAGCAATAATCCATTTATTCTTACATCATCAACAATTTTCTTCTTGGCTGGCCATGATTTTTTAACTTTACCAGTATTTCTTTTAGGTATCTAATTAAAAAAAAAAAAAAAAAAGATAAATTATTATGAAAGAATTAAATTGATAAAAAAAAATTTTTAAATGCTGTATTACTGGTTCTTTTTGAGGTGTCGGTTCATCTTCAGTTTGTGTGTCTAAAGTAGTATCTGCTTCAGATGTAGGAACACCTGATGATATTGAAGCATCTGAGTCTTCAGCATCTTCATCGCCTGTTATTCGAAAAGAAATAAAACAGTCAGTTTTTAAGAAGCACAAAATAACAGTTATACACTAAAAATTATCTATGTATCCCGTGTCTTATTTTTCATAGATCTTAAACTACTTTACCTGGCTTATATTCATCTGAGTCGTCCCCACTTTCATCTGAGGGAATAATAATCCTCCTTCTCTTAGTCTTCTTAGGGGTCTCTTCATCCTTGTCTACATCTTCCAAACTCTCATCATCGACCTTGGGTTTTTCTTTTTCCTGTCGTTTCCTTTTCGGAGTATTAGATCCCTCTTTATTCTCTTTTCCATTAACAGTAGCTAGCAAAAATTGTTTAAATAAATTCTATGATTACATGACACAAATACACTTATACTCAATGTAATCTCTCTAATTAATTTCATTATATAATTATTAATTCATCAAAACACAATATAAATAAAATAATATTAAAGTTAGCCGACGTTTTTAATTTTTTGATTTTTTTTTAATAATTAAATTAGAACAAAAAAAAACATTTTTTAAAAATTGCACTTACAGTTTTTAAAGTTTTTTACAAGTGAATTTTTTTTTTTATTCTTTTGTAATCATTTTTTTAATAAAAAAAAAAATTCTAAAAATTTTCAAATGTTGGCCAACTTAATTTTCATATAAATAAATACAAAATCAATATCGAATTCTTTTGTCCGAGCTCATGTAATTGTTCACACAAAGAAAAATATTGAATGTCAAATTACACATTACTCTAATTTTATATAATAATTATTAATCAAGACAATATAGTTATATTGATAATTTGGATAATAATAATTAAATATATAAATAACAAAAATAATTAACACCAACCTTTTGTTTTGGGATTAGTAGCACGTTTAGGTGTTGTGGGTTTCGGATTCGATTCAACTTTAGTCACTTTATTATCCTCTTTTTTGGGTACTTTCGGTGATGTAAAGTAATTAAAAAGAGTATTAGTCTGAGTAGGACGTTTACTCATGATTAATGATTTATAAAAACACGCTGTTGAGCAATGGCTTCACTTATAACGTTTTTCTATTGTGAGTCCATACAACATAAGCACCTACACCTCGCTAGCTTCTCTGCTCTACAACTCTCGTATATTATAAACTATATTAACTGAAGACGCAAATGCCGAAAAATGCCGGATTATTCGCGGTTGAATGAATTAAACTGGCGGGAATTTGTATAACCTTAAAATAACAAGCAAAGATGTCACTGATGTCACTAATATTGGTTAATTTTCAACAGAAAAAATGTATTTATTGTAAACAAGCCTTGAAAATCAGAGGGTGTTGTTTATCTCATAAATGCCACAAACAAGAAGCAATTGATTCTCCATATATGTCATAAGAGAAAAGGGAATTGTACGGATATTTGTATTTGATATTTTATTTTTCATATATTCAATCTAGTATATTAAAATGCAAAATCATGATATTTTAATTCAAGAAATAGAGGGTATTGATGATTATTTGGGTCCAACATTTAGGTATGTATTTTTTTTTTTCTTTAATAAAAACAAATCAAGTTAACATAAAAATCTTGCTGATGATTGTTTGTAAAATACGCGGGGGTGTATTTCACTCTTGTACGCATGTTTATTGCAATTGCGCAATATAAGGGTTGAAAATAAGGGTAAATGTAGATGAGGTATATGAAGCCGGGTTGTCAGTACTTTCTTAAAAGCAATATAATTATTATGTCTCACGTATCTCAGAGACCCAATGTTTTGTCAACGTCAGCTCCTAAATATGAGCATTTATTATTTGAAATAGAATCAACTGATACTAGTAGCGTAGGTTTAGTAATAAGGTATCAAAAATTTAGTTTTTAAATGATACATATTTTCAAAAAATTCAATCGTTTTATATTTATTTATTTATTTATTTTTTTTTTGATATTTCAGAGCTATTTATGATGGACACGAGCATCAGAAGTTTATGGAAAAATTGGACGAAAGAATCAAGAGTCATGATAAAGAAATAGAACGAATGTGCAATCATCATTATCAAGGATTTATTGATTCTATTCGCGAACTATTACAAGTTAGATCTCTTGCACAACAGTTGAATGTTGGTTAATGTTATTTTTAATTTTTTTTTTTTTATCTCTACAGAAATTCTGAATGATATTTTAATAAAAATTTTTTATTTATAGACTGAAATATTGGATCTAGACACAAGAATAAGTGCTTCAACAACGCAAGTAATCGAAAAGGGAGAAGAGTTGGTTAAAGCTAGAAAAGTAGAAAGTAATATCGCAGCTGCAATTGATAGCTTGACAACATGTTTACCTGTTCTTGCTGCCTATGCAAAACTTCAACGGCAATTAAAAGACAAAAGATATTATCCGGCGTTAAAAACACTCGAGCATTTAGAATCCTTTGATTTACCTAAAGTTAAAAATTATCGGTTTTCATCACAGATTACTGAACAAATTCCTTTGCTAAGAGAAAATATCAAAGATGCTTCCATGTCTGATTTACGATTTTTTTTGGAAAATATACGAAAATATTCACCGAAAATAGGTGAAGTAGCAATGAGACATAGCGCTGAGCAGCTTGTCAATGAGTCAGAAATAATTGGAAAAAAAAAGAAAAAGATTCAGCAAAGTTCAACCCCAATAAATGAAGGCGAAGACGAATTAAGTGCACAAGACCTAATGGACTTTAGTCCTGTTTATCGTTGTATGCATATTTATACAGTATTACGTGAAGGTGATACATTTAAGAGTTACTATCAACAGCAGAGGCACCAACAAGCACGACTAGTATTGCAGCCACCGATTAATATGCACGAAAGTATTATCGGATATCAAACTTACTTACATGGAATCATAGGATTTTTTGTAGTTGAAGATCACATTTTGAATACAGGAAATGGATTGACAACCCGACTTTACTTGGAAGAATTGTGGGCAATGGCATTATCCAAAATTGTAAATGCTTTACGAACCCATTCAGCTTACTGTACTGATGCAACGCTTATTTTAAAAATAAAAAATCTCATTATGCTATTTAACACAACCCTGAGAAATTATGGATATCCCGTTGGTCAACTCTGGGATCTATTACAAGAAATCAGAGTTCACTACAACGAAGTATTAATGCAGCATTGGGTACAATTATTTAGAGATATTTTAGATGAAGATAATTTCCTTCCAATTCAAGTATCGTCACAAGAAGAATATAATCAAATATTGGAATCATTTCCTTATCACGATCCAGAACTAGAAAAAGCGAGATTTCCTAAAAAATTTCCTTTTTCTATGATGGTACCTAAAGTTTATCATCAAGTTAAAGAGTTTATTTATGCTTGTTTGAAATTTTCTGAAGATTTAAATTTAACCCAGACTGAAATTGACGAAATGATTACTAAGTCAACAAATCTTTTATTGACACGAACTTTCAGCGGGTGTTTATCTTCATTGTTTCGTAAACCGTCTTTAGCACTTCTTCAAGTAGTACAAATTATTATAAATACAGGATATCTAGAGTCTTCCACAAAATACCTTGAAGAATTTGTTTCCAATATCACGGGAACACCTCATGATGGACAGCTAAGCTGTGGTGGAGTCAAGTCAGCTATGTTTCGAGTTGCTAGAGATGACGCCGAGAAACAAATTTGTGACAAACTCGAAAGAAAACTTGATGAATTTTTAGAGCTGGAAAATTATGATTGGATTTTAGCGGAGCCTCAAGGACATGCTTCAGGATTCATTACCGATCTTATTGCATTTTTACAAAGCACTTTTACGTGTTTTACAAACTTGCCAGTGGGTTTATCATAAATTATCTCTTTTTTTTTTACATTTGCAATAATTTTAATAATTATTAAGATAATTTTTTTTAGGCTGAAGTTGCACAAGTGGCATGCAAATCAGCATGCCGTCATATAGCTGAGGCTATTTTGAATATTTTAATCAGCGAAGATGTTAAACAAATATCCATGGGAGCTCTTCAACAAGTTAACTTGGATACAATTCAATGCGAACGTAATTATTAGATTTAAATAATAAATTGAAAAATATAATTCTTATTATGATAATGATAATAATAATAATAATAATAATAAGAATAAGTATAAATTAAATGAAAAGAAAATAAACTTTTGGTTACTTATTCCAGAATTTGCTGCATCAGAGCCAGTTTTAGGCTTACCAGAAGGTATATTGCTACAATACTTTGCACAATTGCGACAACTATTGGATCTGTTCATGACATGGGACTGGCCTACATACTTTCATGACTATGGTCATGAGTCGAGTAAATATCATTTAGTGACACCCAACATGGCAATCTTATTATTAGAAAAGTATGTTCTTATTTCTATTTTTTTTAATTTAATAAAAAATGTACGCCGCTTATTAATAATTTTTTTTTCTTTTATTCAGATTACGTGAGTCAGATAAAAAAAATGTATTTTCTGTACTAAAAAAGAGCGAAAGAGATAAGAAAAAATTGATGGAAACAGTTTTGAAGCAATTACGTCAATTAGCTCAAACAACTTCACAGTAATAAATATATTATTTAATAATTTAAATTATTTATGTTAAGCAACGAATTTGTAGATATTATAAACTATATTTTGATGATACTATTAAGTGGTTGATCTAATTATTTTATTTATTTATTCTTGTTTTTATAAAATCATTTTATCTTGTTTTTTCAATTTTTTTTATACAAATTATCAACAAAAATTCGAGCATATTTCGTCTTTAAAACTAAAAATTTTAATTATTGGATATTTTTATATCAAGCCCCTTGGCCTTATGTAAAGTAATGAAAATTATTATTTTTATTACTATTTTCGCGTCTTGAAGATTTTAATTTATGTGCTTGTTTAAAATTGGTTATTATATTTCATTTACATCAGATATATTGTACAATACATTTAAAGAAACTATTCATTAGATACAAATTCAAGTTTCCCCAAAATTAGGCTTTTAAGCTATTAGCGTTATTTGTATTTTTATTTTTTTTTTTTTTATATTTAATAATTTTTTGTATTTTTTATTTTATTATAAATTATTACCAATAAACAATCGACGATCACTCTATATGAATAAATTGATGAATAGGTACACAATAATAATATTGATAATAATAATATTAATAATAATAATAATCATCAATAACATAAGTTGTAAAATAAACGAAAATATAAAATGTAAAGTGAAATTAATCAAAGAAAAAAAAAAAAACGAAAGATAGTTCACATGTTTAGTCGTGAATCGTACGCTGTTATATGTTAATCGATCAATGCAGATAAAACAAATTGTAGATCATGATCATTGTGGCACAATTTTAATTAATCATGAATGAGCAAACTAATTATCGATATTATCAGTGTCCACATCTTCTGGTAGCATGGAATATTTATTGGAAGCCACAAAGTTCTAAAATAATACAAAAAAAAATTGTCAAATGTTAGATCAATATATTTTTATCGAATATTAGAAAATAATGCTTCCATATGACTTACGGGAGTTTCTTCATCAGTGGCTTTCGGCATTGGTGGAACGTTATCTTCTCGATCTTTGGATCTACGTTCTCTGAATAGTTAACAAAAATAATAATTAGTTGAGTCATTACAGTATTTGCAATGAATGTAGATAAATATTCAAAAATAAATTTTACCTCTCGGTAAAATGACGACGAGAGTCAGTGGGTTTACCGTCACCACGATAATTACCAGATCGTGAATTGTGACCCTTTGAATTTCCTTGAGAGTCACCGCGTTGTTCTAAATAAAAGTAAAAAAAAAATGAATATTAAATGAAACAGATGCTGTTATTTAAAATTATTAAACTAATGAAACAAAAAAAAAGTACCGTAACGACCAGAGGTATTTCCCCGAGGAGGATCCTGACGTCTGTCCACTGGCCTTCCTCTGTTAGAATCTTGATCTGAGCGCCAGACGGATCGTGGCTTTTCTTTTTCACGATCACCACGACCTTCTCCGTTGCGCTTTGGCCAGGCTTTGTTTTCTCTGTGTTTGAATAACAATTGCGTCATAATCATGTATTTGAAAACAATTGATAGAATTACATCAGCATAAGAAAAAAAAAAAAAAAAAAAGCATTAGTAGAACAAAAAAACAATGATGCTTACCCATCATCAGACTTGTTTGCTTTCTCAGATGAAACCTTGGCAAGACGTGCTTCAATTTCACGTTCTCGGGCAGTAGTATCAACGGGTTTAGCAGCACCAAAAATATTAGCTGATGGTACTGGTGCTGGAGCCGGAGTTGCTTCTGCTTCTGCTTGTTTAACTTCTTCCTCTTCTACCTTTGGTTCTACTACAGCAATCGTTTCTATCGGTTTAGTACGTGGCTGCAAGTTCAATTTTGGCCTTGTCCGTGGTTCAGCGGATGCTAAATGAATGAAAATGAATAAAATAAAAATTCAATGCGTCAGTTACAAATATATCTAGTAAGAAATAATAAAAAGACAATATTTATAAATAAAACTCACGAGGATTATCAGCAACCGGTTGAGCAGATGGTTCAGAACGCCAAGTACTAGAACTAGATTCATCATCTCTGAACCCACCACGACGGCCATCATCATCTCGATACCCACGACGACCTTCTCCTCCTTCCCTGAATCCACGTTTATCATCATCGCGGTATCCACGTTTGTCACCAAAAGATGAACTGCCACCGCGTTCCTCATCTCTGAATCCACCTCCACGTTTATCATCATCACCACCGCGGAAACCACGTCTCTCGCTGAAAGCTGGAGCACTGCGCTCGCCCTCTCGCCAACCTCCAGGTTTATTATCAATTTCACGATCCTCTCCACGTCGTTCGCGAGCATCAAATCCACCACGACTTCGGAAACGATCGTCTCCACCAGATGATTCTTCTCGGGGCTTGCTACGCCAATCTCCCGCGGTTCGTTCCGGATCGTCGTATCCATCACGCCGATTATCACGACCCATTCCCATGCGCCCGCCACCACGACGATCATCGTTGCTGCTATTAGATACCTCGATTCTCACACGTCTTGTTTTGATCATCGTATTGCTCATTGAAAGAGCATCAATAAGACTTTGACGATCTGCGAATTCAACGTAACCATACCCTCGTAGCTTGGTTGAATCTTTGGGAAGACGCATATTAGATACCTCCATGCCTTCAAAAAAATCAGCAAGATCCGATTCAACTACATCGTAAGGCAGATTTGAAATATAAGCAACGTAAGGTGGATTCGTTGGTATATTCTCTTCATCAACTCCTGGTCCACGAGCTGCTCGAGGAGCCGTTGGTAAAACAACCGGCTCTTTATTACTTCTTGACATGTACGACCCCAGATCTATAATTGGAGTAAAATTAATATTTTTCGTTATCTTTAACTATAAAGTGTTAATCAAAAGTTCTCAGAAATAAAAATAAAATCATCAAAATTAAATATGTAAATATTTACCATGTTCGTCTTCAACATCGTCAGCCCAGTTGGTTGACTTGATTGGGACTGTCGGGACTCCTCCCAAAAACTCCGTCAATGCAAGAGTCTGTCCCTTGGTTTTTTTATTTTTCTTACCTGCAAATGAATATGTATACACTTACAATCACCATAATTAAAAGAAAAATATTTATTTAATGATAAATCAGTCAATAAAAATGAGGCGTACAAAACGGATGTTAACTTCTATCAATATATTTGGTTATGTATTACACTAAATAAAGAAGTATAATTGTAGTATTTATGAATAATAACTCAATATAACTATCGTTATTACGTGGATAGATAAATAATTTTGACATATTTATAACTTACGTGAAGACATAATTATTTTTTAAACGTGCAAAATTCTTAGTAAGCACGATTAATTTCTCGATCCGTAAGGCATGAAATGCACGACAATAAAATTCGGTACATGAAATATATAATGATTGAAAAATAAAACTTCCTATATTCTTCTACAATCTACAGTTAAATATTTTTCGTTTTGAAGTTGGCTATAGTCCTCAATGTTACTATTTGAAACGTGTAATCAATCCTAACATTTGATTGGCTGTCAGCTACTGTTGAAATGTTAAAATTAAAACAACTCTAATTACGAACTTATATACAAATATTAATTACGAAAAAAAATTATATTCTATAAATTTATAATATTGTATGTAAGTTAACATCTAAAATCACTTATATTATTACACAGAATAAAAAATAAAAAGTCATTATATTTTTTTACACATATATACATTTAAGCACCGGTAAAGTAGAATGTACAGTTAACAACGCAAAATCTACACAGTTGATTGTCGCAAAAAAAAATTTGTTTATTATCTGTAATCAATAATTTTACAATAAATAATTCAGGCTAATTCATGAGAGTGTTGTGTCTTTAAAAAAAAAAGCAACGAGTGACAATAATACAAGTGGAGGTGTACTCCTTCCCCTATCAGCGATAACAATAACAATAACTAAACGTAAACAACAAACTATCAAGTTTTTTTTATTTACATGGGTCACAGTGTAAGAGACCGTGAAATGATTAAGGTGAAAGAGGAATTTGAATCAAAATTAAGTAAAGAAGCCAACAATGATCAACACAACTTGTTGAGCAACATGGTCGACGCCAGGGCTTGCTATAAACCCAGCGAAAGAGTAAGGAAATATGATTATTTTCATCGTGTTTTGTATTATAATTTTTTTCTGTCATTATCATTTTATTATCAGTACATTCATGATATATATAAAAGTGCTTTTTTCTTCACACAGGATGAGATACAGCTTGGTTTGCTATGACTTTGCTTTTGATTTATCTGATAGTTTAAATTTTTATTATAAAGCCGGCATTATATTATTCATCATCATTTCATGCTTGATATTTGACATTTAGCTATAAGATATATAGTTCAAATGAGTTAAAAAAAATGTTTTCTTTTTTTTTTTTTATCTTCCCCAAGTGTATAAGCGCACAATTAATATTTATGAGAATTAAGTTAGCCGACATCTAAAAATTTTTAGAATTTTTCTTTATTGAAAAAATAACGAGAAAAAAATAAGAAAAAAAATTTAATTTGTAAAAAACTTTAAAAACTGTCAGTGCAATTTTTAAAAAATATTTATTTTGCTCTAATTTAATTATTAAAGAAAAATAAAAAAAATTAAAAACGTCGGCTAACTTTAGTATATTATTTAATATTTTGACGTTTGGGGCTTTCTGGTATCTACTGGAATAATGTGTACAATATTTCAGAGTTTCAATTCTGGTTTTGTAAATTTGTGTTTTTTAATTATTATTAAAAAAACAACGTTTCATCGTAAAAACATTGCTTTCAATTTAAATGTACTGAATTGAAATTAAAATGTATAAAAAAGCAAGTTCAGAGTAAACTAATTAGTACAAATTAGGTAATGGACCGTAATTAGTTAGACGGACAGCGTGTCCGTTGGTAATAATTGCAATGATCTTCATACATTTAAACGATATAACAAATATCATGATACACGATATATAATATACTCCGTAATATAATCATCATGATGATAATTATAATTATTTATTATTTATATCTGTTTTAAATCATATCGAAACTATTGATAATCACTCGAGATATAATAAATTGCTGTATTATCGTTATTAAAGCTCGTAAATTTATTTTTATTCTATTAATTGCGGAAGAAAATTTTTTTTATTCACTTATAATTTATCTTTTACAAATAAAGCCAACAGTGAAATCTTAATTTGAATCTCACATCGCTTACTGAGAAATAAAAAATTATCAAGAATATTTTTTTTATATAACTGATATATACTTTGAATAATTAAAATATTCCATTAAATGATTACGAAGTTAATAATATAACAATTTATTATAATAAACAATAAGTATATTGTAGATAATATGAAACTAATTAACTAGTTCTCGATTGTTTAATTAAATTTAAGTTAATTGAAATTCACCTGTGCAATACGATCCTTATTGACTTTTGAAATGACCTCGCTAAAAATACCTCTCCCTCTTTAATTGTCACCTTTCTCCTCCTTGTTAGAAGATTTTCCCGGCGTTATTTTCCTGGGCTCGTGGTTCATTTTACGATGAGCTAATCAACCAATACACGATTAAAAAGCTATTAAACTCTTGAGAGTGATCGATGATCATGCATACTCACTTAATAAATAGCGTATCACTATTTATTAATTTTTATTATTCATAAGAAAAAAAAAAACTAGTAAATAAATTTGCTTTCATAATAAAAAATAAAATTTTCTAAATTTACTAGTTAAGTATTTAACTTAAACAATGTAATAGCAATAAAGCGAAAGCTTATGTACGCTTTCAATTTTCTTGTTTTCTTTGAAAATATGTGTAATATCTAATAAATCAGCAGAGACACACGTTTCCCATTGGTTAATTTCATAGCTTTTTATTTATCTATTATTTACTCATTTTTTTTTTTTGCTAAGTTTTCTCTTTCTCTTCTTCATTCTTCTAAACAAGTTTGTAAAGTAAACGATGACATTTTCTCTAAGTGAAATCGATACGACAAATGTTTATTTTTATTTGTTTGCTTATTTATTTATCGATTTCAAACTTTAAATCTGCTTTATAAATTTATTACCATAATAAATCTATGAATAATCTCTTTCTGTCTAATCAATAGTTCTGTAATTAATTGATAAATTTAATTGCAACTTAAAAGTTAATAATTAATAAATTACTGCGTTATATTTAAATTTAAGTAAAAAATAGAAAAGAGCATATTGAAAATATTGATAAAAATTTAATATTCAACTATCCGGAAATATAATAAAAGCTTTTCTTTTTTTAAATATTTACGTTTAAATGTACGTGTTATATGTACCGAGGCTAAATATTCTATTATATCTCACGTGTATTATTGATATCAATGTGCATATAATAGCATGATATTCAGTTAGTGCAGTTAATGTATAAAGTACAAAGCAATACTAGCTATTACGAGTATATGATAGTACATAGCATAAGCAGTAGAGTATGTACGATAATGCATGAAGAAGGGAGTCTACAACCGCTGACGTTCCGTTCCCTGGTAATGTTCAGTAACAGCCGACCGCTTGCTTGATGTACATCTTCATCAGAGGAGTTGTTCACAAGCCTTAAATTATAGTGCGTTTTAATTCACATTCCATCATATATTTATCCATAATTTATCAAGTTCCTCATTTTATTAGTAGTCATTCTATCATTTCTCATTAATTATTTATTTATTATTATCTTTTATTTTATTTTATTATTTTTATGATTTTGTAGTTAGTGTTTTTTTTTTTCTTACTTAATTTCAGTAAAGAGGTCAAGTGTCTACCCTTAGAGTACAATTAAAAAACTAAACAGAAAATCTACAGAAAATTTTGTCTGCTGTGTACTAGTTGGTCTGTTCTGTACTTCTACTTTGTACAAATTTTATTTTGCATGGGCATTGAGCTTGAATATTGGAAAGCCCACTGTATGAGTTGTCGAACACACATGAACGTTGAGCACTTTGAAATTTATTAAGATTTATCAATATGACTAATGATAAACAGGTAAGAAATTTTTGTTTCAATTTTTATTTTTTTTATTTACTTATTTTTTTTTTTTTTATTATTTTAATTTTTACTGTAGGTAGTAAATATATTTATGATCTAAATTAAAAATAACCTAAATTAAAAGTACAGCAATAACTTGGCACTTGTAAATAGAAAATAATTAATAAAACTTTAGAAAAAATAGGTTGAGGTTTTTCCTTTGTTTATTTCTAATCAATAAAGCCGAGTAACTATGGTGCAGAAACATTTAAGTATTAATATTTCTGTAATAGAAAAAAAAATCTTTGGAGAAAAGAAAACAGAAATTATAGCGTGACTTGAAATTTTTTTGATTCAGTAGATTCACTTGCGAAGGTTTCGCTTGGTAGAATTCAATAATCGAAACGTTGATACGTTCATGTGACAACAGAAAACTAAAAAACAATATTAATTAAAAATGTACACTTTTTAAAAATAGATAAAATGAATAATAATAGTAATTAATTACTTTTTTTCTACAGTCATGGTTTCGCGGAGTACGGAGTAGCAAATTCCGACATGTGTATGGCCTACCGGCGAAACGGGATAAATGCTACGACAATATAAAAATCACTAAAAATGCTCATGACTCACAATTTTGTGCAGTCAATCCAAAATTCCTGGCTATTGTCACAGAAGTAGCTGGTGGTGGTGCATTTCTTGTAATTCCTCTTGACAATGTGAGTATTATTGAGAAAAAAATAATTAATTTAAACAACTTGACCGTTATTTTTAAGCCTCAAATCCTTGTAAAAATATATACACGTTTTTATATTAAGCGGAAGTGCCGAAACGCTCTTTTGCGTTCGAAAATAAATTCTAGTTTTAAATGAGATGAGAATGTGAGTAAAAGAGATGAAATGATATATAACACGTTGGCTGTTGAAACTCATGCATTGAATTATTTAAGTAGCATTAGTATACATACATGAATCATTTATATACAAACGTTCATGACCTTGTATATAGCACCATGTACACATATGTAATAGTTGGTAAATGGTGGTAATATAAATATGTGTGGAAAAGCGTTAATGATTACGAGTTGAGTCGAGTAGAAGAAGAAAAGATGCGCTATGCTGTACAGTATTTGCCCAAAGACTAACTCTCGTACTTTCACTGGCTATTTCGCGATGCTAATCGGCTCTCTTAAATTTACTACGATCATTACAGTGTATTTTGATCTCTTTCTCGCTCGCTCGCTCTCTTCAGATGCTATTATATTTACAATTTTAATCTACTTTCATTCAGAGACATGATCATTGCGTGAAAAGACGAGTGTAACAACAAGATAATTAATTCACTTGACCCAACCGAAATTCTCTCTCAATTATTTATAATTCATATATTAAAATTTTTAATTTTTTATCTAATTAATTATGATTAATGATTATAGACAGGACGATTGGATTTTAATGCAAATAGAGTAACTGGACATACAGGTCCTGTTTTGGATATTAAGTGGAATCCATTTAATGATAATGTCATCGCATCATGTTCCGATGATTGTACGGTAAGATATTTTTTTTTTTTTTTTCAAATTTAATTATTATAATTTATTTTTATTACTGTATTTTGTCGCATTACAGTACATTCGCTTATTTTTTTTCTTTTAGGTCAAGCTATGGCATATACCTGACGGTGGTCTTTCAAGGAATCTCAATGAGTGGCTAGTTGAACTACAGGGTCACAAGCGTCGTGTGGCCTACATCGAATGGCATCCAGTCGCTGACAATATTCTATTTAGCGCCGGGTTCGATCACCTTGTCATTGTATGGGATATCAACCGCGGAGAAGCAATAAATATTATTGATCGCCATCCAGATGTTATTTACAGTATGTCCTTAAATAGGGATGGTAGTTTATTAGCTACTACCTGTAAAGACAAAAAGTTGCGAGTTTTTGAGCCACGTTCGGGCATTGTTATTTCCGTACGTACATTGATTAATTAGTTAATAGTAATGTTTCGCTTTTGTGTTAATTCAAAAATTCTTTATCAGGAAGGAATATGTCATGCAGGAACAAAAGCAAGTAAAGTTGTATTTCTTGGCGGCTCTGGACGTCTTTTGACGACTGGATTCAGTAGACACTCTGATCGTCAGTACGCCGTTTGGAGTCAGCATGATTTGTCAAGTCCGCTTACGTGTGAAACGATAGATTCGTCAAGTGGAATCGTATTCCCATTTTGTGATAACGATACTAACATGGTTTATCTTGCTGGCAAGGTAAAAAAAAAAAAAAAAAACAATGAAATAATAGACAAGAAAAATAATCTTATGATACTATTACGCTTATTGCATTAAAATAAAATAAATATTATATACTTTATTTACTTTAGGGAGACGGTAACATAAGATACTACGAAGTTGTAAATGAAGCCCCTTGGTTACATTACTTGAGTCAATTTATATCGGGTAATCCTCAGCGAGGACTGGGCGTAATGCCAAAGCGAGGTATTAACACATCCACGTGTGAAGTATTCAGGTTTTTTAAGTTACACGCTACTCGTGGTATGTGCGAACCGATTTCAATGATAGTACCAAGAAAAGTACGTATTAAAAGATCAATAGAGAGTTGAGACATTATTAGCTACTATATTGTAATATCTAATCTCCTTTAAATCTATTATGATAGAGCGACCAATTTCAAGAAGACTTGTACCCCGATACAGTTGGGACAATTCCCAGTTTGTCAGCAAAAGATTGGATCAGCGGAATGAACAGTCCACCGATTTTAATATCACTAAAAACTGGTGGAGGTATCACAACTCATAAACCGCGTGTTTATAAACCAGCTCAATTAACACCAGCGACAGATACTAACACGAAAAAAAAATTTGCATTTTTATCCACGGAAACAATACCTGACTACAGATCAATAGATCTTGATATTTCCGAGAAAAGTCAGAAAACATCAAGTAATCAGAGCACAAAAATTCATCAGCTGCAACAGAGATTTGGTCATGTGACTATTCAGGTGAGAAATTTAATTGTGCATTCGTTCGCATTGTTTTACTCTATGTATTATGTATTAGTCGTTTGTCTGTTGAACTGTAACATAGTTGGCTTCTCTTTACGATTGTAACTAAGCTTTTGTTTAAATTATACAGCTATTATTAAAGTGAATTTATTTTTAAAACAGCTCAATACAATGAATGTGCGTATAAATTTTTTATTTTTTAATATTATCACAATTACTTTCAAAACAAAGCTCAAGTTGCTATCGATAAAGTTTATTGTATTTTATGCTGTTTTATTTAAATTTAAATATACAAACATCTTTATAGTATGTACTTAAATTGAGTGAGTAATTAAAATAATATGAATTCTTTATTTGAATAGAATTTCTCAGATCAGTTTATTATCGAAAAATTTGAGCCTGTTTAAATGTTTGTTTATTTATTTATCGGAATGTGTACAATACTAACACTTTGCATGGTTCAGACACCGAGATGTAGCACCGAATTCTATGAGCTCGTTAGCAAGTTTGGAGCCTATACGAATTGTTACAAGGTAGGCTAATTGTCAAAGATTCTTTGTTTTTATTTTCATTGTCATCTCAAAGTTGAATTAATTGATTCGATAACTATTAATCGTTGTAATTGTCATCGAACGACTTTAAATCATCGCTGGAGCATCATTGTGATTAACAACTTCATTATTAACAATCAGAGCATGGTAAAAAAAAAAAAGATGAACCATTTTCATTTTATATAAGTTATAAATTATAACGCTTTAATTTGCTATCTGATTACTTATTAAAGCATGTACATATTAATTATATATGAAAGAAATGAAAGTTAAGATTAAATAGAATAATTATCATTGTTACGATGTTATTAATTGAAATCGATATGAATAATATGTTTCTGTACAGAACAATAATTCATCGGACAATAAAATTTCCGAGTCTGTTGATGTGCCGAATAATGAAGCTGAGCTCCGATTAGCTTATGTACGACAAATGGATGAATTACGATTGGTCAAGCGACAATTAGCTAACAGTCAACTGCGTGTCAAAGAACTTGAAGAGCAGCTAAGAAAATTGCAGAATCACTGAAGCAATTTATTTTTATACTTATATATAAATAACTATTTATATAACGATTTATTGTTCGAAGACACAAAATTTATGTTTAATCGCTGCAGAGAGTGGAGAAAATAATGTTTATTTATCAACTGCTTGAAGCTACAATGAATTATAAAAAATTTATATATTAAGAGTTTCAGTACAAAGCTTCACATCATAAAGATAGCAAAAAACAATTAATGTCTTAAACAATACTGATAGAGTGAATATAACTATTCTTCTTGGTTTTTGTCATTTATACAAATATAAGAAACAAAGTATTTCTTTGCGGTAAATTTATCTGATATATTATATATTGTTTTTAGAGTAGTAATCTAAAAGGTTTCCGACCTTAGATTCTCTGTGATTCATTCCTTAATTTTTTGTTTGTTCCCTTGTTTTATTGTATTAGTATTTTTTTCGTTTATATATAAATTGTAATTAATTATTGATGAATTTATATTAGTTGTTTATTTATGGAAATCATTGATTGAAATGCGTAATTTCATTAAAAAAAAAAAAAGTTATTTTTTTTTTTAATTTATATTTTTTATAAATTTAATTTTTTTTTTTTTTTTTTTCCCAACAATAAGTATTATAATTAATAAATATTATTTTATTTTTTGATAATAGTGATGTATTTTTTTTTCTTAGACAATTTTACTTAGAAATTAATGATTTATTTTTGGTTTAAAGCGATCAAAATTATTGAAGTAAAAAATGTTATCTTGATAATAATTGAAAACTAAGTATTTGCGATTATTTAACGAAAATTCATACTACTAATTTATTATTGTACTAATTTTGTATGATATCACAATATTTATACGTATTTTTTCATACCTCATATAGTCTAATTATTATTTTTAAAAATTAACCCCAAGGTCCAATTTATTTTTAGTATTCATAGATTCTGAGAGTTATGAAAATAATCAAATTGCACAAAGTGGTTTCGCATTTGATGTAGTTATTTTAATTATAAATTTTTTTGATAAAAAATGAACTACGCTGTCATATTTAATACACATCTATAGCGTGCCTTGATAATAACTAAATATAAAAACTGCCGCCTTTTTACTGAAATAAAAATTTTATGTGTCTAAAATAAAATGTAATCATCGATTATTATTCATTATAACGAAAAACATAAAAAAAATATGTACGTAGCTGCGATTAAAAAACGATTTTTAAAGAGTTTTTAAAAAGTTATGATAAACACTAAGCGCACATAATTGCCAATTAAAATTTGTTATTAATGCTATTATATATAAAGTTGCTTTTTTTATATAATGTCATATATAAATTATTATAAAAAAAAAAAAAAATGCAATAGTCGATAGAAAAATATCATTTGGAAAAATCTCTCTAAATTATAAACGTGGTAAAAAGTACTCATATATGAAATTAAATGAATTAAAATTAAAATAAATAAACAATATATTTGTAAAACAGATGCCTTAAGGATAAGATAGATTACAAAATGCCAAAGAAAATACATAAACTTAGAAATGATTTTAAATACTTTACAAATAATTGACATTTATACTAGAAAATTTTCTTACTTTTTAAGCTAGCGTGAAGCGCACTCAATGCATATTAGAAGTGTGCAATGATAATACATATTCATTCATTCATATACAAATGATAAACATTACATGGGTTATTGTCAAGCATTTTATAATTTGTAGCTTAATTGAATAAAAATGGATAATTTTTTAGAGGTAATTATTATTATAAAATCAAATGGAGTCAAATTGATACCTTATTAACCTTTATTTATATTTTTAACATGTATTGAACGAATGTTAAATAATTTTTTAATCGTAATTCGTAAAGAGTCGTTCCAAAAATTAACTCAACAAGACTATCAGTCATTTCATTATTACGATATCTAGCAACATCATGGATCAATCCCAGGTGTTTCTTTTTATCATATATACCAAGTACACAGACAACAGTCCAAGAAGTATAACGTTCGGTTGATTGATGACAGCCAAGCAAGGTCTAAATGAGGTCCATTAATATTTGCCCCCAGAAAACACCGCAACACAAATATCAATGTATAATAAAACATACTAAGATAACTTCTTCTCAAACCATGAATCATGGTCCATGATTCATAAATGCTACTGCGCAATAAATAAAAAATTTGTAACACGAGACTGACACAACTGACACTTGAAAAAAATATTTCAGTCATAAACTGCTTTAATAATTACAATACTGATAATAATTTAATGTTGTAATTAAAAAAATACCAAAAATTATTTTCCATTTTTTTATTACGGCGCCTAAATTAATTATATTAATTTTACTCAATTTCGGTTGAAAACAACTATGGTGCTTATATTAATGATGATCAAAAAGCAACAGGTGTACGATAATTTTTGATATCTTTTGAATTACAACATTAAATTATTATCAGTATTATAATTATTAAAGCAGTATATGACTAGAATATTTTTTTCAAGTGTCAGCTGTGTCAGTCTCGTGTTACAAATTTTTGCTGCCGTAACAAAAAAAACGGCGGACAAAATAATCAAATGACAAAATATCTAGATCGTAAAAGTTTATAATTAATCCCTCGAAAATAGAACAACAAGTTTAAGCTTGCTATTTTGATATGACCTTTTTCATAAATTTTGTGTGTGTTAACGCGAAAATATTTTTATTATAATATTTTGTCGTTCGGTTATTTTATCTGCGAATATTTTTTCACATAGTTATTTTATCCACGGTTTATTTATCTTCGGTTATTTTGTCGCGATTATTTTGTCCACAATTATCTAGCCGCAGCACCATTAATTAATTTATTGAAGAAAGGTATTTTATCAAACATTTTTCTTTGATTTTCATTCATGATCCTTGAAAAACTATTGTGAAATCTTAGCAATCACACAATAAATTGTCGGCTTATAAAAAATAAATCAACGCAATCATCATAGTAATAAATATTTATTGTACAATATTAAACACAATATTTATTCATAAAAAAGGACGTATAAATGTAAGATTCAATAACTTTTAGATTATTTATTAATAAATAATCTGAGCATTAGACGGAATCTTTTCAAGTATTTTTACAGCCTATAACTTATTAGCTATGTTATTTTATTTTATTTTAACATAAACATTTAATTAGTTTGTCATAACTTATTAATTACAATAGTAATTAATAAATTTTGTTCATTATTACGGATCTATCAATATACTAAGTATATGATTACTATTCAATATTTTCTAATATTTAGAAAAATACGCTAGGCACAAATTTTCTTAAAAAAACAAATTATAAAACTAAGACTATGTCTTAGATCATTTGGCTCACAGTGGACGGGACGTTTGGGAGATATTAAAATTTTATACAAAAAGATAATTAAATTAATATTATTTTTTACGAGTTTGACTCATTTTTATCTCCGAAAAAAGTAGATTATAGCTAAAGTTAAAGCAACGATTGTAATTACATTTGGTAAATGTGTTGAAGCTGGATTACATCCATCAGAAGAGCATGTGTATACACAGGTGCGATACTTCAATGTATCACCAGGCTGACCAAGATCATAGCTGCACGTGTTTCCCATATCAACTGACGAACACATACGCTTGGTTCCGACCCCACCTAATATTAACATGTAAATATATTATTTATCATAAAATATTCTTCTATCCAGTAAATAAAATAAACAAGCGAAGGAGTACAGTAAATTAATAGAGATAAGCTGAAGAAAAAAATTATTCATTAAAAGCGATGCTTTATTCTTGTTGAAAATAAAAAAAACTTTTGTCATTAAAGTAATCGAAAGTATTAGAATTCAATATCTCGTACGGCGTCAAAAATTTCACTTATTGATAGATAATCAATGCTTTAACAAGTTTTGAAATCTCTATTGTAACTAATAAAAACTTAATAGCTTTTATCTTTTGATAAATTCATGAAATATACTTAACTTTCAAATCTTTTATAATTCAAGTTCAACATTTAAATCGTTGAAGAGTCTATTTCATAAATAAAATATATTTAAATTTCAAATTTAATGTTACGTAATTATCAAAACACAAAATTACTTATATGAATTCTTTTGATTTTTAGACAAACAAGGCCAAGTAATTATAATAAAGTCAATCAATGACTTTTGTTAATTAATTATATTGATATAATCAGCATAAATAAAATATATCTTATTTATTTAATAACATTTTTTTAATTAATTGATTTGCAAATACACAAATGTCAAAGAGAGATAATAATAAATAAAAGAAGATAATTAAATATAAAAAAAATAGTATATTACACACCGAGGGAAGTAAAGTAAGAAATGTCTCAGATCACATGTAATTGTTGTAACAAACATGTAATCTGAGACATTTCTTACTTTACTTCCCGAGGAGTGTATGCTATTTTTTTGCTCGACGAAGGCAGAAAGTGGCAATTTCGTTTAGCGCAGCAGGCTGAAATTTGACGCTTTCTGCCCGTCGAGCAAAAAAAATTAATAAATGAACAGATAACGGATATCTTGCATTATATTTAAATAATTCTAACAAATTCTGAATAATTTTTTTCTTTTTAATATGAATGTGATTTCTGAGATTTTTATGTGTTAAATAATTATGAAAAAAAAAAAGATGTAAGTGTTAATGAATTAAGAACCTCCATATCGCCCAACGGTTGTGACACAATGCTGGGCATTATCAACAAAATCGCAGCTTTTAAGTGTCATTGCTTCCACCACTAAAGCATGATCACCACATTTCCAGTCTTCCTCCGTTGTACACTGATAGCATTTGATTCCCAGTACTCGATTAATTAAATTTAAAAAATAAATTCCATTATGTTAGTAATATGCATAAATTAAGGATTAATTACGATAGCTAATTATTATTGTGATTATTAGTATTATTAATTGAATCTATGATTAAATTAAAAAATATCAATGTGATGTAAGAAGAAAAAACCTCCAAGTTCAGAAGAATAGATATTACAAAATTGT